ATCCCCATGCAAGCTGGACCATTGAGGAAGAACGCCGACTTGTACGCAAAACGGATATTCGGCTACTCTCATGGCTATGTCTCATGATGTTTGGGCTGCAGGTAAGTTTTTGTGGGGTTGAACCGGAGCGTGGATACTGATCGGTGTAGCTCGATCGCGGAAACGTATCAAACGCGCTTGCAGATAACCTCCTGGAAGATCTCGGCTTAACCAGCGATGATTACAACAACGGTACAACCATTCAACTGCTTTGTTTCCTTTGTGCGGAATTCCCAGTGCAATTGTGAGTATTCGAGAGACTGCATTTTGATATCTGTCTGATTGATTCTCTGTTAGCCTCACCAAGCGATACGGCTTCAAATACGTCCTTCCGACCATGATGATGGCCTGGGGAACCGCTTCTTGGGCTCAGTCATGGATGCACGACCGTACTTCATTCTACCTTGGCCGCGCGGCCATTGGTCTGTGTGAAGGTGGCTTTATTCCTGGAGTTATCTTGTTTGCGACCTACTTCTACACGTCAAAAGAGCTTTCCATACGCCTTGCGGCTTTCTGGTCCACTCTCAACGTCGCCCGTGTCGCTTCCGCTCTGCTTGCCGCCGGAATTTTGGAAATGCGCGGCGTTGCAGGAAAGCCGGGATGGTTTTGGTTATTCCTCCTCGAAGGACTTTTGACCGTTGTTATTGCTGGATTATCATTCCTGTACTTGCCAGCTGCGCCCACATCTACGAAAAACGTACTTTTCCCCAAGGGCTGGTACAACGAGCGAGAGGAAGTCATCATGGTGAATCGCATTCTCAGAGACGATCCGGCCAAGGGTCTCACAGCCCTCAAGGAACCCGCCACTTTCAAGGATATCCGCGCGGCCTGGTCTGATTCTTCCATGTGGGGTCTGTACTTCATCGGTCTCATCGCCTACATTCCCGCCTCGCCCGTTCAAGGATATCTGACACTTACGCTCAAACGTCTCGGTTTTAGCAGATTCGACAGTAACATGCTTACGATCCCATCTGCTGCGCTCCAAGTCATTACCATGTTGGCACTCGCATACTCGAGCGAATATTTCAACGAACGCACATTCCATTGCATATTTGGCGAATTCTGGATTATGCCACTGCTCATTGCCCTTTTGACGCTTCCGGACGGTGGACGCGAGTGGGGCCGCTTTTCATTGATCACACTGATCTCCGGATATCCATACTTCCATCCCTTAGTCTCGTCCTGGATATCGGAAAACACATTTGACGTCAAAAAGCGCGCAATTACCGCTGCAACATACAACGTCATTGTGCAGATTGGATCTCTGATTAGCTCGCAGATTTACCGCAAGTACGATGGCCCGTACTACAAGCAAGGAAACTCAGTGTTGGTAGCCATTTGCGCGCTGAGCGTGGTGACATTCCTCGTGCAAAGAATGGCGTTGATGCGTATGAACAAGAACAAGCAGAAAAAGTGGGAACAAATGACTAGCGAAGAGAAGGCGCTGTACCAGGCGGATCTTGCCGCACGCGAGCTTGATGGAAACAAGCGGTTGGACTTCAGATTCACACTGTAGTCCGGATCAAGAAGGTCGACCGGGCCATGTTGAGGAAGGGTTACTGCTTACGTGTGCGGGGTACTGGGCGACACGGCACATAGCTTGGATTCTGTAACTTGGCGATGGGGTCGCCAATGGAGCCGCAACATGCTCATCAGCCGAACCGAGGTTTTTGCGAATCGCGGGTGTACGTAGCCGCAGGTCGATATTCGAATTCGAGTATGGACGCCTTGACACAACCGCCTTCCATTAATTTTTATCTTAAAATTTGGCATCAGTTTCCCATTCATGCTGACAGAATATATCAGGTTACGTTTTGTATTGCAATCTAGTATCCCAAATCTCAAGATAGTTGATAACCGATTAGATCTTGGTCAACATCTGGTAACACTGAAAGGTTATCTTAATGGAGACTGTTAGTCTGACCCACTTCTCCAATCGTACTCCACTTAGCATCATGGCGTTATTGCGGGGATGGATGGCGAAATATCACTACACGTGCCGTTGTCGTCTGGACTTCGAAAAAATTCAACAACATTGAGTAGCGCCGCGATCTCCCAAAGAAGATAGCGTCTCCGATGCAGAAAGCCTCCTGACACTTTTGGCTGTCGCGAGCGGGTTGTCCCATTTTGGTAAAGGTGGCACAGCTTTTCACCGTTCAGTCGACTCATCGCTAGAGCGGAGTGGTTACACACAACGGCTTGTTACTTGTGAAGTTTTGCATCCTTTTCAAACTCAAGTCGAACTTTATTCAGTCATTACACGTGCCTGTTCAACATTTACAAGATGGCGTGGGAAGAACCTCGTAAGACCGGTATGCAATACCGTCGCCTGGGTAACTCCGGGCTGCACGTCTCAGTACTCGGTCTAGGAGGATGGCTCACGTATGTTGTCCTGTGGTTTTTGCACATATGCCAATGCTAACCGATTTATAGATTTGGTGGTCATGTCGAAAATGGTTTTTGACCCTGTGCTTATGTCAATTGATCACATGACTAATTCCAGCATCAGAACGCACATTCTCCATCATGAAGACCGCATATGATAACGGCATCAACTTTTTCGACACTGCGGAATCGTATGCTGGAGGCCAATCTGAGATCATCATGGGCCAGGCCATCAAGAAGTTTGGCTGGAACCGTAACGATCTTGTAATTTCCACCAAGCTCAACTGGGGCGGCGCAAATGGAGAAGTCCTCGTAAACAACCATGGTCTTTCTCGTAAGCACATCATTGAGGGACTTCGTGCATCGCTTAAGCGTATGGACCTCGAGTACGTTGATATCGTGTATGCGCATCGTCCCGATCGCCTTACGCCCATGGAAGAGACCGTCCGCGCCTTCAACCACGTGATTGAGCAAAAGGGCTGGGCCTTGTACTGGGGCACATCCGAATGGTCTGCAGACGAGATTGCTGAGGCTTGCGGTATTGCGAAACAGCTGGGTCTCATTGCACCAGTCGTCGAACAACCACAGTACAATTTGCTTGAGAGGAAGAAGGTTGAGAGCGAATTTCAACGCCTATACTCGCGCTTCGGACTTGGTCTGACTACCTTTTCCCCCCTGAAGTTTGGCCTCTTGAGCGGAAAGTACAGCGACAGCCCAGATGCGCCTCCAGCAGGCTCAAGATTTGCAGAGGGCAATGATAAGTTCGTTAGTGGAATGCGGGATAGCTATGGAAACAGCGAGTGGAGCAATATGATCAACAGCGCCAAGGCTCTCAAGGTTTGTCTTACAACTGCCATTCTTCGCTGAGTTTCATTGCTGACATTCCCACAGCCGGTTGCCGACAGTCTGGGTGTTAGCCAATCCCAGCTATCGCTCGCTTGGTGCTTGAAGAACCCGAACGTTTCTGCAGTTATTACAGGTGCCTCAAGGCCCGAGCAAGTCATTGACAACTGCGCGGCTTTGAAGGTCATTGATAAGCTTACGCCAGAAGTGATGGAGAAGATCAACGAGATTGTTGGGCACATTAAGCTTGACCCTGCGCGTCAAGATTAGAGTATCTGTTGATGTGGAATAACGTCATTTTTGGGAGAACACTTTAGCGAAGCTGCTGGATTGTGTTGGAAAAGAAGTATAGTCATATATCGCAGTGAGAATCTATGAGCTCGAAACAATGCCCAAAAACAGAATTTGCATTGATGAAATTCCAAGACTTGATTCAGATATTGATTGCATACAGGTGACACAGGGTCCCCGTAACATTCATGTTTTGGCTAGGCGAAAGGGGCTAAACTTCATAGGAGGTCGACGGCTGTCGCATAGGATGGTATTCAAAAATTTAGAGAGATCTAGGTCAGACACTGTCGAACACGACACGGCCGACAGCCACCGGCGAATGCAGTTGGTAATTGAATAAGAGCTCATACTGTCGGGCGACAGTTGTTTGGCGTCTGCCGTCCCATCGTCGCCCTGATGGTGATCCGATGGTGTGGCTGACGAGCGGCACCAATCGACACCCGTCGCTTGCAATCCACAGGACCCACCAGCATCCGACAGCTGCTCGCAACTGGAAATGGAGGTAGTGAACAGCAACGGAGCAAAACCTGCGGAATAGTTGCCTTGGGTCAAGCCACTCTACGTGGATATGCTCCAGAAATTGATATCGGCGGGCATTATCCTCCTAGCTGCAGCTCTAGTTCCTTCGCAGCCAATTTCAATCGCCCCGGTTAGCAGTCCTTCTAGTTAGGTCCCTGGAGTCTCTTTGGCCATTCTGACATCCACAGAGAATTATTTGACAGTTAAGCAGACAACATAGAGCCTACCTGATGCTATTACAGTATGGTATTTCAGCCCGAGAGTTTTGGACGCCTTCTTTGTTACCGTCTCTATACTTGCACAGTGAATATATATCAACCAATGAATAGCCCGATCACAGAATCACACGATACCGCCACTTTCTCCCATATGTGTTCAGCTCACAAGTGCGGAGTGTGTCTGTTGTCAATGCTACCAATCATAGTGCGTTGTAGGCAAACTTTAAATCAGCCATGGCTGCAGCCTACATGAATCTCGATCGTTACGTTTTCAGCTCACCCACATTTTCGAGCCATCGGGATATTTTTCATCGCAGAATATGTGTCAAAGACTCAACCTTTGAAGTCTGAAGATAGTCTTTCAATGATCGCTTTCATTTGTCCGTAATCTCGATTGTATGAACGTGTGTATAGATTTTCCCATTCGAGCACTAGGTTTTTGATGCATCTAATGGGTGAAAATTCCAAACACTGAGGCTAGGTTTCCTAGCCTTGCTTCTTTCAGGGCGCGTGGTGAGCTGTGGCTTCACTCTTATCTGGATTAGGTGAAGAGGCGTCCAATCATCCACTCGACCATTTGGGTATCAAAGCTGCGGCTGCAATATTGACAGGCCCCAATACTAAACACTTTAAATCCCCAGGTCCCTGCACCGGCTGCAACTGAATCCCAAACCCTTCCCGTATCGAGCCTTCACAATTTGTACCATGGACGTTGAAGCGATCAACAAAAGTCTTCTCAAAGCTGTCGAAGAGGGAGATTTACCTGAAGTTCAGAAAATTATTCTTGGTATTCCAGAGTCAAGTAACGGTCAAAACTGGTCTTTTCTGTCGCTAGGGCCAGTGTACCGCGCCTGTAGCAAAGGAGATGTACAAATCGTGGAGTTCTTGCTCAAACAATGTCACCAGGAGGACTTTACCGACTTCACAAGCCGCACTACGTTGCTTCATCGAGCTGTTCAAGGAGAAGGGACAAACTTTTGCTACACAGTAGGGTTTCTAACTGGATTTGCTGCTGGCCATGGTGGGCCACGGACGGTGAAAAAGTATGTGAATATCCCAGATCATGAAGGAAAAACGGCTCTTCACCATGTAGCTGCAATGGGCGATTATGCAATGCTTGATATCCTCTTTGAAGCAGGTGCAGATATCATTGTCAGAGACCATCGAGGCCTTTTGGCCGCACATATCGCTTGCATAGAAAAGAAATATGAGACGATGATATGGCTGTTCAAGAAAGATCCAACGGGTATAGACGAGATCATACATCACGATTTGGCTTCGGGATCTACATGCCTCCATCTGGTCGCAAAGAGAAATTGTGGAAGGGAGCTTGGTTACCTTCTCGGTTTGGTGCGTGCGCCCGTCAGCATGATCCCCGACATCCAAGGCATGTATGTGTGGGATCTCGCATGCAAAGGAAACAGTCAGTTGTTCTATTTGAGTTTAGCAAGTCCCCTGCTAAAAGATATAGTTCAGGAACAGCCTAGAGTATCCAGGAGGAGGGTCACATCGGGAAAGTACCCTTATATAGACCCGGAGCTCCTATACGACAGTGAGGGGAGACCCAAAAACAGCGAAACGGTCCAAAGGTTTCCCATCAATCTAGAAGCAGCTAGTGTACTTATCTTCCAGGATCACAGTCGTGCCTGGCCTGGCTATCGATTCGATTGGAAAGTATATCACTTTCCTGGAGCACTCTGTCATTTCTTTCCTTTGAACTATGTAAGCAAGCACAATATTTTCGTACCATCAATCACTAATGACGAATAGTTTAGAGGAATATATGTAAAGCTACCGATTAAGAAAATAATGATACTGGAACTATATTGACGAATACAGGCATTGTTCGGAAAACTTTTGATCGAGGATCGTATCAAAATTAAGGATATGGATAGATTCATGGAAGGTTTTCAGTATGAACAGTACATAAGGGATCCAGATAATCATGGACCTGCGGTCCTGAAGCATCGAGAGCCCTCCTGTACTGTGACCCATGGCGGAGGCTCCAAATCTTTCACAATTGCGGTACGAACATTCTAATTGCCTTCAGCTGGGATGCTAATCTGGGCAGATGCCGTACTTCAAGGTACTCACAGAAGATTCAATCTCAAAATGGAGGAAACCGGAGTTGGTGAATGAAAGCCTAAAGCCTTTTTTAACAGACCACTATAGCAAGTCACTAGAATCTCTCAAAGCACCCTATGTACCACTAACTCTCGACGAGTACTGTTGTCCTGCGCTGCCAAAGTCAATGTTGGATCGTAGGAACGGAGACCAAGTACTTACTAAAGCCGAAAATACAGACTCATATCCTAAGGAGCTTGTTACCGTGTGTCAACTGTGGATTCTGCAATGCACAGATGGGCTCATAACTGCACACGAACCGGAGAGAGAATCAAGTACTAACAGCTCCGAGCCCGACTTTCCCTCGTGGGGACATGACTGCCTGGCAGGTGATGTTAAGCGGTATATCGGCATCATGCTATCTCATTTCGTGGACAGTCTTAACCGTCCGTCTGAAACAGGCTCAGGCAATCCCATCCTCAACACTTTCGAGAATTTTATTGCCTCATGTGCTCATGGTGTGGATGAGTACAGCAGAGGGGAGGATGTGAAGAAGTTTGACATTGACAAGGAAAGAAAATTTCTACACGACATTGATGATATACGAGGAGAATTGGAGATGATCAAACGCGTCATTCTGCAGCAGGAGGAGGTCTGGAAAACTTTTGCAAGCAATGCCTGGCCCGAACACTGGACAAGTGGTCCAGAAGGGCACATGGTCGTGAAAGACGACGAAAAGAGATCTACTCAAGAAGAGGATGAATGGCAACTTATTTTACGCACGCAATCTCAGTTCGATCGATTTCGACGTCGAATCGCGCAACTAGACGAAGACGCCGCCCGTATGGAGAAATCCATCATGGCTAAACTGGACCTGAAGCAGAAACATGCAAGTCTTCAAGAATCCCATGCAACGGCCGTCATCAGTGCAGCCGTTCTCGGCTTCACAGTCATAACCATCATATTTACGCCCTTGTCTTTCCTCACTAGCTTGTTCGCTCTGTCAATTGATCGGTTCCAGAGAAACCAGGTTGATTTCTTCATACCCGACCGCGAGAACGAAGCCGACTTTACCAACCGGACTCGAGTTTACACAACAAACTATATTGGAAAATGGGCTGGTAAGTACTCTCCGCACGTTGTTTCACAATAAACTGACAAAAACAGCTACCACAGTTCTTGTATCTAACGCTATTGCCCTGCTATTCATGTGGCTCGTCGTCGAATACGGCATGGGCGTGCCCGTGCTGCGACACAACGCATTGCGGTTGCTGGGCTTGCCAAAGCGGATATGGAAATCCAAGTTTGTGAGCAGAGGAATCGAACGATTTAAAAGGAAAAAGGTTCCAGAAGAGAAGGATTCTACAGCAACCTCTCCACCCCCTTCCTCAAACAATTGGCCACTTCTCGGATAAGCTCATCGTGCACAGCGCCCTCTGGCCAAGAAAAATTGAGCGTTGCATTTCCATCACCACCAGTCACAACACTAAGTGCAAACGCGCTCGCCACCACATTAGGAGACTGACTGAAAACCATCCTACCAACACTCCACATACTCTTCTCATCTTTCTTGTTCGGCCAAACCCCCACATTGGACAACTCCGCAGTGGGTTTGCGCGGCTTTCCCAGCATGCCCATAAGAAACTGCGGCATGGATGAAACGTATTTGAGAAGCGCAACTGGATTGTCAGTCCCGGATTTTGCTACTTCGGCAGCAATGATGGATTTGACCGCTCTGGATGTTTCCCAGGAGAAGTTTTGGAGGATATCGGTTGAGGGACCGTCGGACGGAGTAGGTCGATCGTGGAAGAATTCGTATTGCGTGATTGCAGACGTCATCTGCTTCTCTCCAATGTTGAGAAATCTTCTCGCTGATATCGGGCCATCAATTCTCAATCTCTTGCATTCTTCAGCTGGGAGATTGGCGAAGAGTGAGGCTGCTAGAAGACATTGCAAGGTCGCTGTCACGCTTGTCTTCTCTTCCCGACACGTCTGAACTAGTTTGCTTGTAGTCGCCCTGGATAGTACAACTGTGAGGAATCGTGGTTTTGGAAGTACCGTGACATCTTCTGGGACCGGATTGCCAGTCCACAATTTTTCGGAGGCGATGGCGTAAACAGGAGCCAGTAGAGTGTTCAGAATGGTCTTGCTGAAGAAATACCATGATATTGGCATGGGGTGTAGTTCCTCAAATGGCGGTAGCAGGGCTTGGTCAAGCGTTTTAACGGCCGGATCCACGTTGTTTGTCTTTTGAACAGAATTCAGACCTGCAAGAAAAGACCCGTGGAACAAAAGGGCCGAGGTGCCGTCTGCTAATGCGTGATGCCACATCCATGTCGCAGTGAATCTAGATGTATCGGATAACGACCTCAGCACGAGCAAACGCCAAAAAGGCTTACTCCCCAGGTTTTCCTTGAAGTCGCGGCTGTGCTGCTGTGCCAGCAGTTCGTCAAGCTCATCGTCGGCCTCTCCATCTTCAGGGAATGGGCTCCTGCGATCATGAAATTCGGTACAAGTGCATAGATCGATTTCGGGTAATCGTGCGAAGTATACGTCTGGGTAGGATTGGTCTTCGTTGAGAGCAATGGCGCTCAGGGCTGGGTGTTGAGCGATGACATGGCGTAGCGCGACGTAGACCTGGCTTTCAAGTGGAGGTTCCAAATTCCCTTGAGTTCTGTATTCTGCAGTGAAGCCTACATTTTTGTAGAAGCCCAGGTGGTGTCGTGCCGTACTGAACGTCTCCAGTCTGCCACATGGGCGTAATTTTTCGAGGCTCCCCAGATCCAGCATTGCAATGTTCGCGTATATTTTCCCCCTAACTGCAGCTCCAGTTGCATATAAAACCACTCAGGTATTCTCCTGCAGAGAAACACAATCTCGATACCCGTCAGGGTCTCTGCTGCTATTTGTCCAATCTATGCCAAGATGAGAGGGATATCTGCTTTGGATTAACGCTGCTATTGTGTGATGAACATCATAATGTCGCTCAACATGATTCGAACAATAAGATTAACTGGAACAATAAGGAAATCAGGGCTGAGACACAAATCGGGCGAATGGAATCGAGGAGGTCTTACCTTTAGGTAAGAGCAGGAGAAGGAGGCTACTACGGCTTCAGCATCTTCAGCCTCAGTACCGACGGTCAATATTTCCCCCTCGGATTTCCGCGGAACTACGAATTGCACTAATACTCTAGATCCATAACGTTTATCATGAAATACAAAGTGGTTGCCTAATGGCATTCCAATTAACTCATGTTGGGGTCCTGATCCTATCTAGGCCTAGTGCTTGGATACTTGACTCGTGTTGATCATCCGTCACGTGACACTATCTCAGGTGCAAAAAAATCACAAAAACATACAACAGCGGGGATTCGCCAGTGGTCACCCACCTGACTACTAGTCCGCCGGTCGAAGGTTTAATGTCTGGGGAGCGGACGAGACCCAATTTTGTACTTCGCCGATGGTCGTATGTGCCAGAAAATTGGAGGTTGGATCATTATCACAGAAGAACATGGGGTTTTGCAAAGTAACGAGACCTGTAAAAATCTTGGGCGATTTGATGAACCAGTAACTCAAAATCCCCGCCATAGGCCATTGAAATATTCAAACTCCATAATGAGAGCACCGACATGGTCAAGTCCAGAAATCTTGATACAAAACAAGTTGGGCACAGATGGTCTTCCAACATGCGCCTCCCGACCGCAAGTGTTCACTACTATCAAGGATAATGCCAAGCGCCCAAGAAAGTCAGCCGACAGCACTCCCAGCATATCTCTCCATTTTGAGATTGAATGTATTAAAAAGGTCGAATTCGTACCACCACGACGGTCAAAAAGCGGTTGAAAGTAAACTTGGCACAGTCATGGCCTCTTACGCATGCCAACCTGTGACTGGATAGTCTTTTGCACAATATCACCATCCACATCCGCATACCATTCTCCCCACAATCATCGCAATGCCATGTTGTCGAACCATGATGTGCTCCACATAAAACGTTGCTTGAGGTTGGTCAAGTAATAACAAGCCTTTAGCCGAAATGCAAGAACGCTATATTAGCTCCCCAACTGCCGACGGTGAATAAGTGCGCACGAGGTGACAAGGACAATTTATATTCACGCGATCCTACTGCATGCTGTGGGGCCGGCAGTTGCAAGGTATCAGTCGAGATATGGGGCAGTGTGAATACTAAGCAGAAGACTCGAGCGTCTGAACCGTATACATTGTCTTCGAAAAGATATGAAGACCTGTACACAAGACCTTCTCGACAACGTATTCTTGTCTCTCACCAGCACTCTGTTTCCAATACAACTTTATCCGTCATAATGCGTTTCACGCCACTCTTTTTCGCGGCCCTTGCAGGCGCTGTGCCGCAGTTCGGCAACAACCAGCGCTTCACGATGCTACGATTTGGCTGCGCTCAAAGCGTCATTGATCGTATTGATCCTCTCGTGAACCCAGGTCTCGCACCTTCACCACATATGCACCAGATTGCAGGTGGTAACGCGTTCAATACCACGATGCCGAGTACAGATATTTCGAAAATAGCCAGCTGCACTACGTGTGGGTATAGTGAAGACGTACGTTTCTGTCTTGTAGATGCAAATATGCTAAAGTGAAAGAGACGAAAGAATGCAACACAGCTGACGATATATAGTTGAGTAATTACTGGACAGCGAATGTCTATTTCAAAGCAAGGAATGGGACGTACAAACGTGTTCCACAGGTGCCAAACCGGTTCGTATACACGACCTTAATCTTTCTAATTCAAATGTATTAATGATAGTCAGCGACCTCTTCAATGACAAGTACACGGGCAAGACCACTGGTGGTTTCGTAGTATACTACGTTTCTGGTAGCAAAGGCGATGTTACAGCGTTCAAGCCGGTAAGCAAAAGCCTCAAATCCGCCCGATATCCTAGGGATAGCGAAGAGAGATCTAAACCACCTATGTAGGGATTCCGCATGCTCGTCGGCGACGCAGCAAACCGTGTATCCAAAAACCGCAAGTCCCAGACTTGCTTCCGATGCTACACCGGACCCAATTTCGGAGGTGACAACGCTGCACCGTGCCAGGACGCCAAGTAAGTATCTCGTTCATGTCTCCGCTATCTTTTACTAACGTCTCGTAGACTCGACACAGAAGGATTCCCTACTACACCCTGTCCAGGTGGTATCCGAAGTAACATTCTTTACCCCACGTAAGTAGCTTGCTGTTACCATCACATCACTGCTGATACAACACAGATGCTGGGACGGCGTCAACCTCGACTCACCAGATCACAAATCGCACGTCGCATATCCGACAAACGGACCTGCCTTATTCACCGGTACCAGCACAGGTGGAGCTTGTCCATCCAGCCACCCCGTTAGAATCCCACAACTCATGCTTGAGGTACCCTTCCCCCCACCCTATTCTATTCATTCACTGACTGTGACTAGATCGTCTGGGACACATCCAAATTCAACAACAAAGCCGACTGGCCCGCTGATGGTTCCCAGCCCTTTGTCCTCAGCACAGGTGATAAAACAGGGTACGGCCAGCACGGCGACTACGTGTTTGGGTGGAAAGACGATTCCCTCCAGAAGGCCATGGATGATGCGAAAGGCTGTATGGGAGCGAATTGTGGAAGCTTGAAGACGCAGCAGCCAGCTGATGGGAATAAGTGTGTTGTTCCAAATCGGGTTCCCGAAGAACGGGATGGGTGGATGAAGGCGCTGCCGGGGATGGATGGCATGCCTATGGAGTAAGCTGCTTGGCTTTTGTGGCGGCTGTTGGGATATGGGTCGTTGAATGTTCTTGGTATGTCACAACGCAATCTCAGTTGTAGCTGTCCTATCCAGAAGTTATGTGAGTGTTCTCAAGAAAGCCATATTGCTTTTCTAGTGCCGTATACACCTGAGTGTCCTATTCAATGTGTCACATGTGACTAGAGCTATATGTCACGATTGTCATTCATCGCCGGTTTCACGACATGGCCAAAATCTCAATAATTTTTCGAGCTCATTATCACTGTGATACGGTTGCTCTGAGCTCTAATTTGGTTATCTACTTGGCTACTGTGTGATAGCTCACCTTCACCGAGGGTGAGTGCCAAGCCTGGTTAGTCGCAATTAGCAAACGCACTCAAGGCAAAATACCAGTAAGACACACAGACTCTACTTACTCTCGCCTTGGATTCAACACATTCGAAAACCTTGCCTTGAAGGTTGTTCTTGTGCATTTACACCAAAGGCGATATGAGCAACATCACTAAGGCCGCTGGTCTCCTGAGCGACCTGCAGAAGCTAGACGAAGCGGGCCGCGACCGCATTTTAGATCTCTTGTCTGTTGAAGCTGTAAAGGACGTTCTCAAAGCCTCTCTTCGGCAGCATGATAGAGGTGAAGGTAGGTTACGTGCAATGGCGCCTCGAAATTTTACTAAAGTATCATGAACAGACAGCGTTGTGCCACAGAACTTACCTGCGACCGAAAATTCTAGTGGGACGATCCAGGAGCAAGAAGAAAGACCGGCAAAGCAGGCCAGGCAAATTACTACTCTTCGATACCGTAAGCGAGCTAGGATTGAGAAAGAAAATCCACGTGGTCGACTGGCTATGGAAAAACAAGTCATTGAAATTGTGTCCGACCAAGAGAACGATAAGAACAAAAACAACAAATCGAAGGTCCGACGATCGACTCGATTAGAAAGGTATCCCTGAAGAAATCCCCTAATTGCTCATTGCACTGTAATCCAATTGCGAGGACCACAAACAAAGCAATTTCTACTATATTTCGGTACCAAAGATAAGCGCTAATTCAACCATTCTCCTTTAGAGATCCATGCCTGATACATGATTATAATATAACCCGCCAATATCGGAAATTTCGAGGATGGTCAATTCAACCCGAGGTACATTTACAGCATGCTTTTCGCACACAGTTCAATCTCCACTCGAAGCGGGAAACTGCATTAGCCCGCAGACAATAGGTGTGTCGATGTCAGCTATCCTTGCACCAGTTTCTGTTGGAAAGTATACATGCGCAGGTATATCATTTGCCTGGTACCCCTACCCGAAGCCCTACGCATAGGCAAGTCTTTGGACGAGTTCGGGTGTTGCGTACTTTGAAAGCTGATTGCTAGAGTGACTGTGAATCATTAGTCGAACTCAGTATTGAGGATACATTAGCACTCTTGGATGAATTTCGCCTACTGTAGCTGGAAGCGGGAAAACAAAAAACCTCGCAAGATATGGAACGGATCCGAAGCGAAGCTGTACAATAATAGAAAAGTACTTACACGTCTGTAGCACAGTGCAAGGTTGAAGTAGTCGGTAATCATTAATCGTCGCATCCCACATAATTTATCCCGCCTTCGCAGCTAGACATCTTCTTCATCAAAATCGTTAAGTGAATTCGGCCCTCAAGTGAACATCTCATCTCAGGTCCCGCCCACAGCAACCCACTCGCCGCTCCAAATGCCATCCGTCTTGCAACCCGGACAACTTGCGTGATCACATCCCGTCGGCTTGGTGAAATCGTACTCTTCCCACGTGATAGTTTCTCCTGCATCTTCATCCGCCATAATGGTGACTTCCTTGGTATCCGCCTGTGAATTAGGTACGGCAGCAGGAGCAGTAGCAGCAACAACAGGTTCTTGAATCTTGACCTCAGTCTTGGTCCCCTCCTCCTCTTTCTTTGCTTCCACACCCTCAGATCCAGCCTCCTTCTCCTTTCCGCCCACCGCGACCCCCACTTTCTTGAACCTGCTCCCCGCTGCGACTGCCCCGCCACCACCCCCAATCTTGGTGAACCGGCTCCCAACACCAGGCTTCTTGTTCGCATTCTCAACATCTATACTGCGCATATCCAGGCCTTGTTTGGGTTTGGTGCTGCTCTCGCCTTCGTTGGATGCAGTCAGCTTCTTCATGTCCGCAAGGCGCTGGCGGTGGTTGTGATCATAGGAGCGAAGGTGGTTTTCATAGTCGAGTTGGCGCGGGTATCCTTTGTCGCATATTGCGCAGTTGAAGAGGCGCACAGCGGCGGGGAGGGGATTGTTGCGCTGGCAAGCCATGTAAGTATATATGTATGCATGGTACAAGAGATGTAGGTAAGGTAGACGTGACGTACTGGAGGCATTTTGGTATCTCCCAGAAATCCCTACGATAAGTCTCTGAATGTGGTGAAAGACACAGGAATTCGCCTTTCAATGCACTGGTGGGTTCAACACGCGTCAGGTGCGTCTCACAAACGCGTAAAGTTGTAGAAACATTTAGTGTTGCGGCGCACCGCCTCGGTCCACACCAACTGGCACAGACCCACCGCTACGGACCCACGCACGAATCAACGTCATCCCAAGTCTCAGCCAGCAAAGCAATTCCCCATCCTGATGCATTTCCCCATACTTGATAAATCCCCGTTTCCCGCACTCACCTTGCACGACTGAATTCGCCAAAAAAAAATCATGGAGGTCAACACTGACCTGCCGTTCGACGACGACGGCAGCGTCATAGGGCTGACCGAAGTAGATCCCTCGCCCGTCGACACACCGCCCGAGTACCGAGAAAAGAGCTATTTCCCAGACCAAGAGCGGCCCGAGGGGGGCGAGACAGAGGAAATGAGGGGGATCAGACGGATGAATACTCTAGGACTTAGGTTAGGTGAAAGAGGTCCTGCTTGGTGGCGTACGTTGTCGCAATTGTCCTTTTACAATTAATTCGCTTACTGATGTACCCTCACGACAAAGTCCTTCGCATCCAAAAGTACTCGTCGTACACATTCACCGCATTTGCCGCCCTGCACATAACAAACGTGTCCATAATACCATTGGCTACCCGCTCTGTCGTTGAAAGTAACCGCTACCTTCTTCTCACCCGTCCCTACTACCAGTCCGCTCTCACAGAACCCCTGCTCGTTGCTCTGCCATTGGCCGCACATATTACATCTGGAATTGCGCTGCGATTCTGGAGAAGACGGCAAGCGCTGCTGCGGTATGGCGCTGAGACACGAAGGGAAAAGCGCACCATTCCCTGGCCGGTGGTCAGTGGGACGAGTGCTTTGGGGTATGCGTTAGTACCCCTGGCTGGCTTTCATATCTGGACAACAAGAATATTGCCGTTGTATGCACACGGCGATTCGTCGCTGATCAGTCTAAATTATATCTCACATGGCTTTGCGCTACATCCTAAGGTTTCCTTCGCCGGCTTCACAGCCCTTGTGAGCGTCGGCGCATGGCATTTTGTCTGGGGTGCCGCCAAGTGGCTGGGATTTGCACCAAGCCAAGTAAAGAACACAGAAGAGAACAGGGCATTGGTCAGGAAGAGGAGGTGGTACACCATCAACGGAATTAGTGCTGCTCTGACTTTGCTATGGTTGGGTGGTAGTCTTGGTGTTGTAGGTCTAGAGGGATCGATGCCAGGATGGGTGGGCAAGGAGTATGATGAATTGTACAAATACCTACCAATTATTGGGAAACGGTAAAGAAAAAGAGAAAATATAGAAAGGAAGAAAGAGGAAAGCGCGCGTATTGCATTGTACTATACCCCTCCTCATAGCAAGCGAAAGATTCAATACCATTGTAGATATCGCTGAAGCACATGATACTTGCCAAGTGAAATCAATATAGTCTGTAGAGCCATTATATACTAACTCTTCGACACAGCTTGTGGCCTTTGAATGGAGAGATTACCTCAATTATTACCCTAGTTCATCACTTAGAAAAGGAGATTGGGAAATAATTCAATAAGACATCAAAATGCCTTTACATGATCCATAGTCTCGTGGCTGCAAGGAGCATATGATAATCTGCCGGCACATTCCTCATACTCGTGACACAAGAAAACCAAACCATCTACCTCCTCCCCAAATCCACATCCAGTACCTCTACCATATCCCCATTCTCCGCTCCCTCAAGTCCAAAAAACGGCTTAATGCCCTTTTCCACAGCCCCCTCCATCAACCCATTCACAAGTCCCTGCAAATCGCTCCCCGTCTGTCGGAAATCCGGAAAAGCATTGACTTCTAACAGCCACGTATTCAACCCACCAGTCTCTTCATTGATTCCAACCATGAAATCCAGACCAAAAATCTCAAAAGAATTGGGAAGGGGCTGGAAGTGAATAGACATTCCTCTCGCTGCTGCTTCGAACGTTGATCCAGTAATATCGCAGATTTGCTGGAAGATTGTATCTTTCCAGTTTGACGGTACGTTTATTTTGCGTCCTGCATCTCCACCCTCACTGGTAGATGATCCGGAGAAACTTGGCTGGGTGGGCAGAGTATCTGGTAAATCCCAGAATAAACCCACGGAACCCTCTCGATCTCCGCTGTCCTGCAGACAAGTGTTGGTCAAGTGGGCGCGCATAGCTTCCTGGCTGTTAGGCTCAACGTCAGTGGACCAGGGGGGCAGGTAGGGATGGGCTGCGAAGAGAGCGAGCATCGGTTTGTAGACGTGGAGCTTTAGGGCGCCGGTGGCGAGAATGTAGGTCCTTATATGGAACTTTCGGAGGTCACTGGTGGGGTTGTTTGGTGGGGTGAGGAGAAGAGGCGGATGTATGTATGGTTGAGCGATGAAATGGCGGAGCTGGGAGGTTATGATTCCGTTGTCCTCGTCTTTTTCTATTTTCAACTGTTGCGTATTGGAATCGCTGGGGGCATCTTCTTCTTCATCTTCGTTGTCGCTGTCTGGATCCCACTCCTCAAATATCTCGGTGAGTTCTTGCTCACTGGAGAAGAGGCGGATGCCTTGGCCTCTATCACTCATTCCTGGTTTCAGGATCCACCATTCCTTTCTGCTGGAAGAAGCACCATCTTCATCATCACCAAGCTCTTCGTTTCGTGCCCAGCTTTCCTTCAGTTCCCATGCTTCTACCAGCGCATCGTCCAGAAATTCGGCATAGTCGACCTCGAATTCCACACTGGGCTTGACGTGTTTCTTGAGAACCGAGTCAGGGTACTTGGTAATCCAGTTGGCAATGGTGGTGCTAAGATAATGCTTCCGGATCAGTGCTTTGCGGATCACGTAGGCGTTGGCCAGAGAGGTAGATGAATGCTCCATGAGGTGGTCGAAATCAATGGATTCATACTGAACAAACTGCAAAAGACGGGATGAGGGAGTGGGAAGTTGGGATAGCGAAGTGATGAGTTCGTACGACGATGATGGAAGTCTTTTCTCCAGGGCGGACAGTATGAGGGGCTGGACGTAGGGATCTTCGTAGTTGATCAGGGCGTAAATCTTATCGCCGATCTCAGACCCTGTGGACGCCATGCTGCCTGACCTAAACCCCTGGACCCTTCACTTTTCCAGTGCCTTGATTTCTCTCCGGACGGCGTCGCTATGGCAACCACCTGCAAGAAAAAGGAGAGAAGCTTAAAGTGGGTATCTCGTGTATAGCGTCAACGATGGAAATGCAGGGCCCAATGTTGGGTATGTGAAAAGAAAAATTGATATTGTACACTAGTGAAAATCGTTACTGTAAGGCTGTGGTGAGCCTCCATGTGGTATCCAGAGCCCAGAAAAGTCGAAATATCCGTTTTCGCTTAGCTCTAGCCAATCAGCGAGCTGTATTTGTAACGCCATACCATCATCCCCTATGATGTCGGGATATTCTTCGCACGTCAAAACGCCTTTAGCACAACAAAAATCAATCAGACAACTTCCAAATCATCATCGTCGTCGTCATCGTCGAGGGCAGCGATGAGTCCTACGTCGAGTCCGCCAAGGCTTTCTCGGCCAGGCTCACGTATGCCCTTTCCATCTAACAGTAGACGAGCCCTCTTCTTCGCAGGACTCGCCTCACGCGTGCCGCGAAATGCCGAAGGTATTACCTTCTTGGGAGACGGGATTCGTCCGTATTTGAATGCCCACCCTACTGGATCGGTCGATGTGACCGATTTGCCCGAAGCGGCTCGTTTTCGTTTTACAGGTGCCAGGGAGATGTCTTTGGACGTGCGATTGAGTAGGCTGGAGAAGTCCGTCTCGGCCGGCTTGTCTAGCCTTGAACTTGTCGAGATGAGAGAAGAAGGGCGTGCTCTGGTGGGTAGGCTCGGAGTGCCAGCGCCTTTCGACCGCAAGTAATCAGCTCCAGTAGTGCCGTCTCCCATAGTGCCTAGCTTCTTAGCAAGTTCGCGCTCCTTCTCTCTCTCAGCCAGTTGCTTTCGAAAGCGGTCTTCGCGGCTCACTCCCCCTTCCCAGTTTTGGTGATCCCGGTCGATGAGCTTGGCAGCGCCTCCAGGTCGTGGGGCAATGTACACAGTCTCATGCAGTTCGCGATCATGATACCTTCCTTCGCGCTTGAGCTCGTCACCTTTCGAAGCGCCACTTCGACCAAACATGCCAAACTTGCTGCTACCCGGGCCTCCACCAAAGCCAGTCATGGTGTTGACTTGCATACGGCCTTTCTTGGCCTTGTCCACCTGAAGTTGGATGTGAAACTCGCAAAATTCCGTTTTCCGGCCATCAATCCATTGACCACAATCTTTTCCATCTTTCCTCTTCGCGTTGCAAAAATCCAAGTCCCGTGCAGTTCCAATTTCAAGTATGGTGTCGTCTGAGCTAGTCAGCTTCAAGGAAAACTTGCCTGTGTCGCGGTTCCGTGGCGGCATGATGTCGGGGTTTAAGATGGCAACAACTGTGCCGAGGGGAAGTTTCCAAAACTGGGAAAAGCCGGTATCAAACAAGAACAGATCCAGCTCCCACTTAAGGTCAGTCAACTTGATTACCATGAACTTGCCGTTTTGATCCGTTGCCGATTCTTGACTGCTTTTAGTCTGATCTTTAGCGGCATTCTTGGAGTTGTGCGGTGTTGACTTGTAGCAAATGACACCTAGTACAACATAGTCGTTTTCCCAATCCGGGGGTTCATATTCTGGTGCCTTGACCGTCTTGAGCAACTGGGGAATAGTGAGGACAGTCTTGCCTTCCAGAGTACGAGTGACGACATTGTGCTGCATTTCGCGCGACTTCAAGTGCAGACCAGAAAAAGGCTCAAAGCTAGGGGCCTCTGAGCTGTCATCTCGGGACGAGATCTCGGCGTATCGAGAAACGGTTGGGATTGAGCCAAAACTAGAGGAAGATGCCTTGGAAGACGAGGACACCGGACGTGAAGTGTCGTTGCGGAAAGACAAGGTGGAGCCAGGTCGAGGGGAGGGTGGAATTCTCAAATCAACGGAGCGGCTCTGAGGTCTGGTACGTCTTGAAAACGGCGGGGGCATCTCGCGCGAACTCGGTGTCTCAGAGCCTTGAGAAGAACTGGTCCTAGAAAGTGATGGCCGTTCTGCTAAGCCTTCGATGGTATGCAAGCCAAATCCTCTGTTTCTCCTCAGCTCGGCCTTCTCCTCCCTCTCTTCACGGTCTTTGTCTCTGTTCCTGCTTTCGGCAATGCGCTCGCTGAAAGATTTGATCTTAGGGGTCTCGCTGCCCTTGAGCGACCCCGCTCGCGCCCGCCCGGCCAGAACGCTCGAAGGCCGCTTGAGACTAATATCACGTGCCGTCAGTCCTTTGTCGATGCCCAGCATGACTCGTGCAGGACTCTTTGGCTCGTCGGGTGGTGGTCGTGTTCGGGTGGGAGAGCGTGGCACCTGTACGCCCGCTTCTTGACTGCTCAATGGCGATGGGTCAGCCCTGCGCATGGTGCTGGCTATACTGGCTCGTGAGGACGCTCCATTACGGTCAGCGTCGGCAGATTCTGCTTTCTTCTTTTGCAATGCCTTTAGTTTCAACTTTGCCTCGATGGCTTGCAACTGGAGACGTAGGGTTTCTTCGTCATCGTCGTCCCCATCGCTCGTGGGCTGGGTGTAGTCGCGCGACATGGGGCGGCGCTTCGAGGGCGAGGGTGAGACGGAGTTGCGCTCGCGGCGACTCTCGTATTTTCTGCGTGCAGAGGGCGAGCTGAGCAATGCTTCCACAGACGATTGCGGGGGCCAGTTTGGTTGATTATCCTTGACTGTACGGATACACTCAGCGCGTGTGTTTATGGTAGTCTCAGCGCGAATGACGCACCTTTGGCCTTTGGACTCTCGCGCACAATCATTGTTGTGGTGGTGCAGTGTTGTGAGCGTGTATCTCTCAACAGGGCCCATAGCAACACGGGCAGAATGAGGCTCTCAACGGGCGTGTGCCTGGGCGTTTGATAGTGTGAGTGTGAGCGCAAAGGTGTAGCCGAAAGCCGTGGGCGTTTGTTGACACCGGGTTGCGTGGTTGATCCCAGACATGACAGCGCCTGTGGGAACGGCTTTCTCATCTAATCCGAAACTGGCGTCTTTGCAGGGGTCGCGCGTTGCTTGCACGCGACGCGACTGAACACCACCCTAGCACCAGGAACAGAACAGAACAGAACAGAACATACAACCCGGAGATTGCAATAGACTTGGTTTATACAGACATCAAATACCATTGCTGCAATGGCACGAACACGCTCAAAACCCGCCAAGGCGACACCTACAGAAACTACACCAGAGCCCACCACATGTACCTCAAAGTCACTCCCCGCAAGTGCACCAAACCCACCCAAACTTTTTGTCTTGCCTAAGAATGCCTCTCGGGATGCGCGCATAGTCACTCTGGATAATCCTGCAAATGAGGCACCGTCGCGCTACTTCTTTTGTCCAAAAAGGGGCTTCTACGAATTCACTCGCATTGCGGCCCCAAAGAAGGACTGCCGAAGTTGGCTCATCACCAGTAACGATGGCACTACACAAGAACAAGAGAAGGAAGATACAGATGCCTCAAGAATAAGCAGTGGATATGTCGCCAAAAGCGCAGATCTTTTCATCGCCACGCCCATCGATCTCCTCTTCCTCATCCTGCCCGCGCTCGCACCCAAGACCGCAAAAGACACAAAACAGCACTTCCTTGCGTTCGACGACTACCTCGACACGCTGTCTTCTTCATCGCCGCACTGGAAGGCCCTCCTATCCCAACATGCATCCCTAAAATCCATGCTGGAGAAGCGCATCCACCTCATCTGCGACACTGTCGACGCCGGCGACGAAACCATGTACCGCATCTCCCTCCCCAAACTCATCGAAGTGCTAGTCGCAAAAGCCGAACGCATGATCCAGCGCGGCCTCCCCGCCTCTCTTGAAGAAAAATTCATAAAAACCGCCTTGGAAATCCCCATCATGAACATCAAGCGCGAAGAAAGCACTCTAAGCGCCGTTTCAACCAGCAACACAGAAACCGGCGAGTCAGAAACCACCACCACAATAACAACACAAGAAGACACCGTCACCCCAGCCCTCACAACACCCCCAGAAATCCCCCACCTCCTTCGCCTTCGCACATCCCTAACCTACCTCACATCCTCCTACCTACCCCCACCCCTAACCTCCCTCCTAACCCCACTCCTAACCCCACGCTTCACACCGCTATCCACACACCTCTCCGCCATCGCCGCGCTCAAAGCCGAAGCCGCAGCCCTCCGCAGCATAACAGACAACGTGTCGCGGAAGCGCGCAGTGCTGGAAGACGATGACAAGATGGCAGAGCGGGAGGAGAAGAAGCGGAAGAAGGAGGAGGAAGACAAGAAGAAGAAGATGGAGGGGAGGGGCATCAAGCAGTTGAAGAAGGTGGATACGAGTGGGATGAGGAAGATGAGTAGTTTTTTTACAAAAGTGGATAAGAAGAAGTAGTTTTGTTTCTGCGTTCTGAGCTTGGAACCGCGAAGGCGATGAGTGGATCGTTTTAGTCTTTGGTTTTTTCATGGCTCTCTGGCTAAGAGATCAGAGGGGATATATATACCAGATGTATTAGTAGTAAAACATGTAGTTTATATAATTGAGCGCTTCTAGCAAAAAACCATGGTCATGAGATGGGAGTAGGAAATTTGGGTACTTGGTTATATTTTCACATTCATCTAAACTACAAAAGTCGCCTTTACTCCCCCCGCCGTCATTACCCCCGTATTTCCCTCGACCCTGTCCAGAGGCGCCCGAGGGGGACCAATACGATCCCGCTAATTCCTAACGTTTCCGAGTCGCAGCTCGTCATCTATATATGTACGCTACCTACATACCATCCTCCCTTCGCGCGAGGCAATCAACGAACATGGTCGGAGCCCTCGCATCTCTCCCCAAACATTACAGAAATTAAAAGAAGCTCGGGCTTGCAAAACCAGAGTGAGCTACTTGGAAGAAAAAGTGCTGGCTTCAAGCTGTCAGACACTGTTTTCCTCTTCTTTCGTAATCATGGGGTATCCTTTTCTTTCTAGAAAGAAGGAAAAAACAAAAAGAGGTGGGAAAAAGAGCAAGAAGAAAAGAAGAAGAAAAGTAGGTCAAACAAAAACAACGCTTGCTATGCAAATATGACCAAAAGCGGGTTATGTACCAGAACATGTCAGAGAACCTAATCTGGTAGGTGACAATGGCCATTGTTCCGCCATTCCCGTTAATTACGCAAACTAACATCAAGACGAACGGGCTGCGTTCGGCCGTTAGACCTTGTCGATTGACAGGAAAGAGGTGGAATGCTCACTTCGAGCTCGCTTGTCGCTGGCCTCGCGCTCAAGCGGCTCCCCACTGCGTTTCTTGGATGACTTGGCTGAACTGCTGGAGCTGTGTGCTGATTTGACTCGCGTCCAAGAGTCGAAAGAGATTTCTAAGATCAAGTTAGTATTAGATAATTCGGCGGCGATAGTTGAGAAAACTTACCCTTCTTGAATTTGCGAACAGTAGGCGGCGGTGTGGTGGCTAGAGACGGGGCTTGAACAACGTTCTTGCCCTTGTTCCGGCTCGGCGTAGCAACCGTCGGCTCAATGTCGGTTGCCGCTTCTTCGTCGTCCTCATCCTCAATACCGTTCGCACGATTGCGCTCTTTGATCTCGGCTTGGAACAGGAGTTTTGGCTTGATAGATGACCGAGTGAGCGGGCGACGGGCCTCGTGACCAATCTGGCGACGAACTCGTCTGTCATCGGTAGATAGTTCGTCTTCTTGCTCGGCGTCCGAGGCGCCAGATGGGGCATCGTCATGGAACTTGCGGAAAACCTTGCGGCCACGGAAAATGTAAACCATACCCTCGTCACGGTCGACTGCCTCCTCCATCTTGGCCGATTTGATGTCTAGTGTCTTCTTCGATTTTTGTGGAGCCCTCTTTGCTTTTCCCTTGCCCTTGGTAGTGAGGAACGGGTTCTCTTCTTGGGCTCCAGGTGTGGGAATGCGCTCCTTGGAATCCGTGTAGATGGGGATTTTTTCCGTGGTCTCGTCCATGTGCTTTGCGAAACTTTCAAGGGTGTAGAGATCCTTAGTCTTGCGCGATTTGCGGGGAGTTGGCATGGCCTCGTCAATGGTAGAAGGTCGGTTGGTAGGGAACAAGACCCGCGCAGTTGAACTCACGTCGTCGATGCGGCGCTTGCGGGGCGTCTTGGCTGGTGTTGGTAGCATGCCTGGTGCCATTGTTGCAGAGAAGAGGAGGCGTCGGCTTGAAGAAGGTGCAGCGCAGTCGGAGTCGGAGTCGTGTAGAGTAGAGTCCAAGGGTGCGCGGCGGGTGGAGCGTGGAGAGCGGAGTTGCTGAGGTGAAGAGGGAGGTGAGAGAGCCAAGGCGTTTGCGCGGGCAGCTGGTGACTTTGACGCAGCTGTGGGAGTCACGTCGCGCCTAGCTCGTGGGGTTGATTGCGCGTGGTGAATGTGAATGTCGCGTCGAGCGGCGACTCTGCTGGACCGACGCGGTGAAAACGGCTCGTAGTTGTCTCCATGGTGCGGTGCAGGCGGAGTGTGCAGGCGACGGGGCGGCGAGGGGGTGCGTTCCATGTTGGGTGTTTGCGTGTTTGTTTATGGGGGGCAGTTGCGATGTTGGTGTAGCAATGGGTATGAATAGTGGGTATCCAAAATCAAAACAAGTCAAGCGAAGCTCCAATGACACTGCGCGCACTTGTCCCAAGGCTCAACGGATGCTGTAGCGATATGCGCGGGCGTGGATGCGATAGCTGGGCTTTGTGGTGATGGTGAGGGTGAGGGTGCAGTCCAAGGGCGGGTGGAGACAATGGGGGCTGCCTCAGATAGGGAAGGGTCGATGCAAGATGAAGGAAGTGACGAGGCTGGGAGATGGCGGGTGCTGTTCCTTGGCAAAGCGGTCAGGGCGGGCGCACATCAACAAACGCCCGGACCCTCCACCCCCGGCCTGCCCTAACCGCCTAACGCCTGCCCCGCCAACCCAAATACGTCAAACACGCCAAACACCTGTCAACTCGTCCGAAACCCTGCCAGCTCGAACAGTGCTACGTGTTCTGCTCTGCTGAGAATACAAAGGCAAAACGGCGCACAATGGATCCACCAAATCTGGGCGCGCTGCACCTCTCCGACTCCGATACGGACGGCGACGCGTTGTTCGACACCCCCGCAGCGCGCAAAACGAACAAGACAAAAGATGTCGAAAGCGATGCAGAAGGCGCCACCGGCTCCAGGCCACGCGCAAAAGAATCCCATTATACTGCAGAAGAGGCGCGGGAGGAGGCTTTGCGTAGGGAGCTAGAGAGCATACGAAACGTGAACAAAGTCATTGAGGGTGTCATTGAGAGCCTACAAAAGGCCAAAGACAACATGGCTGTAAGGGACAAATTTGGAAGATACACAATGCTTCAGCTGACATGTTTCCAAGACCGTGGCCCGCACTGTGCAAAACGCATCCACCCTACTGCAGACATGGACCCGCATCCTGTCGCAAACCGAACACAACCAGCGCCTTATTCTGAACCCACAATGGCAAGGCGCGTCGCAGGATCTAGTTGATATTGAAGAAGAACAAGCGCATCGCCAACAGGCTGCACAACGTCGCGCAGCTGAAGAGCAGGCACGGAGAGAGGCCGCAGCAAGGAAGATTGAAGAAGACCGTCAAAGGGCCGAAGCTGCAGCAAAACCAGGCACGCGGGGTAGGGGCAGGGGCCGACCGCGAGGTGCCTCGACATCTTCTACAGGCAATTATGTTGGAGTAGGCGGACAAGGAGGACGAGGTATCAGCCGCAGCGATTCAACCAGGGGCAGAGCTGGTAGTGGCATAGGCCGGGGATTGCGTGGCCGGGGACGAGGTCTGGGCTAAGCATTTATCCCACCAAATAGGAAAAAATGCTCAAAACATCCAATTCGACTTTTCCCACTTTGGATCTTTCTACCTCGGAATATGGCAACACTGTCACACTCGGCCCAAGTCAACTCAGCATTCGTATTTTCGATGCATCGGGTACTGGCGAATGTTGGTCATTTCGATATCCTTAGTGCCCCTGAAACTAAAGCTCTAGCAAGAGCCTGCCCTTTGGGTCCATGGTCCGTTGTCCATCAATGGCGCTTGCACTGGCAGCTGATCAGCCTTGTAGCTTGTACCCTGAAGAAGAGTGCGCCATCGGAACTAAAGACGGTACCTGCAGCTCGCATGCTCGATGCAGTCAACGGTCCGGATCTGGTGTCGTCGGATGCACTTCTCGAAATGGCTAAGCTTGGGGACCCCACTTGTCGTCAGTTGGACCCCGCTGCGCCAGTCTGCGAGATCTTGCGACTCTCCGCGAATTCAAATTGAATCCTCCTCCCTGTTTTTCAAGCTCTTTGTCGCCTGATTTCCTCTGATTCTTCTTTTGTGCCGTTCAGACTTCCTATCAAACCACGTCCACATCTGTCAACATGGAAGTTCCAACGGCATCGTCGCTACGCGACATTTACCCAGAGGACGCGCTCCCAGTCGAGACCAAGCGATGGGACAGCTTGTTAGTCAGGTTCAAAGAGCTCTATAGCAAGCAGGCCGACTTCGTCGCCCGGAGTCCTGGTCGCGTGAACATTATTGGCGAGGTAAACACTATGGTAAAACGTTATATGATTGGCGGCTCATGATATAAAGCACATTGACTACTCTCTCTACGAGGTATTACCAATGGCTATCACAGCCGACTTCATCATGGCAGTCGCTGTCAGACCATCTGATGAAAAGCCCCGAGTACGCATTGCGAACCTCAACTCAGAGAAATTCCCCACGCGCGAGTTCGACATCCCTGAGGGAGAGATTCCGATTGATGCGACAGAACATGAGTGGACCAACTACTTCAAGTCCGGTCTCAAAGGTGTAACACAGCTTCTGCAGAAGAAGCGCGGTAAATTCACCTCAGTCGGAATGGATATTGTTTGCGACGGAACTGTCCCAAGTGGAGGTGGACTTTCAAGTTCGGCCTCGGTTGTCTGTACGAGTGCATTGGCTGTGCTGAGCGCGAATGGTGAACAGAACATTGACAAGACCGAATTGTGCGAGCTTGCGATTGTATCTGAGCGTTCAGTCGGTGTCAACTCCGGAGGGTAAGCAAACACCTCGGTTCGTTATCTTCATAACTAACGCGTTTCAGCATGGATCAAGCAGCATCAGTCTTTTCTCTGCGCGGCTCTGCCCTCTATGTTTCATTCAAACCCAGCCTCAAGTGCACAAACATCGAATTCCCACAAACCGACCCAGAGCTCGCCTTTGTCACAGCTCAAAGTTTCGTCGCAGCAGACAAGCATGTCACAGCCCCAGTCTGCTATAACCTGCGTGTAGTAGAGTGCACTCTCGCAGCAGTTTTCCTAGCAAAGGCATTTGGCCTGAAGAAGGATCTCCCAACAGATTCCTCGCCACTAGGAGTCAGCCTACGCGGCTTCCATGACACCTACTTCGAAGACAAAGAGGGCGTAGCCGACAACACCAAAATCTCCGTCTCAGAATTCGAGACCCAACTCACAAAGTTGATCCAGCACACAGAAAACTACCTCCCACAAGAAGATGGCTACACACGGGAACAAATCAGCGGCCTCCTCGGCATCTCGGTCGAAGAGCTAAACCAGCGCTACATGTCCAAATTCCCCGTCCGCGCCGACAAATTCATGCTCCGCCAGCGCGCCCTGCACGTCTTCACAGAAGCCCTCCGCGTCATCAAGTTCCGCTCCCTCCTCGCGTCCCCACCTTCAAAAGACAAAGACTACCTGCAATCCCTCGGCGACCTCATGAACACAACCCAGGACTCGTGCCGCGAGATTTACGACTGCAGCTGCCCTGAGCTAGACGAGCTGTGCGACTTGGCGCGTGCGGCGGGCTCGTGTGGTAGTCGTCTCACGGGCGCGGGCTGGGGTGGATGCAGTGTCCATCTTGTGCCCAAGGATAAGGTCGAGGCTGTCAAGAAGGCTTGGATCGAGAAGTACTACAAGAAGAAGTTTCCCGATATTACGGACGAGAAGCTGGCGCAGGCGATTGTGGTTAGTGAGCCCGGAAGTGGAAGTATGCTGTACAAGGTTACCGGTGAGAAACTTGCTTAGAATCTAGTTCTGGTTTGCAGCTGTGAATGTATGTGGGTTGGGTCTGAGTAAAAGGGGACCGTGATTTAGATGCTGGTAACTTCACATGATTCTGGATGTGTGATGCTTGAGCTAAGAAAGAATTGAATCTTTTGCCTAGATAGATCAGTTTGATATCTACACATGACTCGATCTAGTCATCACTTCAATTACTTTTCACCTTCACAACATTCACTTACCTGTATTTTCCACATGATATAATACATGTTGCCCTTCACTACCCCAAACACCGCTATCATGACATACCTATAAACACTCGACATAAGTCTCTCCAATACTCCACAATCTCAAGTCTTCAAGTTCCGTGTTCCTTACCTACAAGCACACGTCCTCTTCCCCTTCTTCCCTTTTTTCTTCGCCTCCTGCTTCCGTGCCAATATGGCTAGACGCCGCAACAAGAAAAAGCCGCGAAAGCCACCGGCCCGCACCGAGTCTAGTGAAAACGATAGACTCGTTTCCCCGCAGCATGTCGATGCGAGAACGAATAATGGGCGGTCTCGAGGTGCGAGCGAGCATGTGTACGAGCCGGAGTGCACGAATCTGGATCAAGGTTTCAGCGAGGAAAGCATACGGCGTCAACTTGGGTTTGGGGGCGGAAGCCCAGCACGGACGAATCCGTCAATACACAGGACATGGGACGAAAGCGGGGTGGATTCGTGGTCGTATGCATGTGGCTCGTATGCGTCGCTGGGTGGTATGGCTCCATCATTCAGTCCTGGTGAGTGGGAGACGTGGCAGAATTGTGTGTATCAAGGCTCATTTCTGCATGGTGATGTTGCTGGGGCTCAGAGAGATGCGGAAGGCATGGTTTTTGGGACGTCATCTTGCGGGTCTGTAGCGAAGCGGGGGGAGGGGGAGCCGCAGTGGGATATTAATGCGTACTTTGCGCCGCTGGGTACACGTCATATGCAGGTGGTGAGGAGGGGAAATGGGAGGGCAAGAGACGAGTGGGAGTGTGACTTTTGCGGACTCGAGTGCTTTTGCTGGGGTCTGACAGACGGAGTAGCAGACCAACAGGCGGTGTCATTGTAGACGGACTAATTGGCGGGATGGGATTTGGATGCCTCATTGGGAGCCGTTGCTGAGTGGCCAGATTTGCAGTCGTTGGCGTTGAAAGGGAACTATGCCGACTCGCGTTCCAAGTTGGTTGTCGGTATTCGGAAAACGGCAGGCAGAGCATGATGGTATGCGTCCAAGAAACATGAAGCGTCCTACGAATGTGAGTGCTCTGGATGCCCTTTTTTCTGCACTCCCCTGCTGCTCTATTGTGCCAGCTTGCGCGGTTCTGCGTCGACGGGCAAGCATCGTATCCACGTGATTTTGCATGCGGCTAAAGCGAAGTCAATCGATGCCCTCTTTGTCCCGCGCGGAAGCAATTCCATTGCTACCCATCCGTATTACCGAGGCCGTGCTCCTGGGAAACGGATATAACGCGCACGCCTTATGGCAAACCAACCTATCGCCCGCTATCGTTTGCAGATAACTTCATCCGGTCTGTTTAGCTCGACCCAAAGATAAGCTCGCTGGGGAGCCTGTATGCTGAGAACCTGAAGCTCGCTCATTGATGGCTGTGCCCCTATTGGCAGCTAATCCGATGAACCCCCTTGCTTTCGGCCGTAGGACGTCGCGTGCCTGTGCAATGTATATATCATCTACCTCGTCCTCCCTCGCAATCGTCTTCTCGGACCACAAGTGAGGCGGACACCCCTAGCTGCTGAGCTGGTGTTACGATGTATTGTTGCAGGGTTTGTCAACCCATTCGTTCAGGGTCGAATGACCACATCCCATGCCGCGCCCGTTTCCGAGACCCACTGTTCTGAGATCACCAAGCATCCACGTGCAGTTTGTGGCCACAATCGGTAAGCTCATCGTAAGACAAAAGGTGGCAGTTCGAGCCCATGAGCTTCGACAGGGGTCTCGGGTCTCGCCCTGAATCCTTCAAGAGACAGATGTTCTCTTCGCTTGCGAATGCGTTGGTGTAACGAAGCAGCAAGACTCAGTCGTCGACCAATTTCGCTGGGGGCCTGAAAGACGGCTTTCTGCCAGTGGGTAATGCGAATCAACCTGAGCATATCGGCCGACCACGACGCTCCCACGTCTTCATGTGTAGTCGTATTAAGCACTGGTAGTTCTCGGCCCAAGATCCATCCTGATGGGTGTCGGTATAGTGAAGGCGGTAGCGGAAGAGGAAGCGGGGGATCTTCAAACTAAAAAGAAGGAACCATGACCCTTCGACCATTAGCTAATAATTAACAGTGGGGGGGAAAGCTATGCAGCAGCTCTATACCCAAATGGGTTTAAAACACGTCATTTTGCGATCACTAGTAGACTGCATGTTTCGACGTAGCACGTCGGTGCAGATACTGTAAACGAGAGGACATGCATGACAGGTATGTTGAGTATTGAAACTAGCATCACCAAGCAATCCTTCCTTCAGGGTTTCGATGCTAACGTCCTTGGCTTGTGCTGCAGCTCACAGAAAGTCAGTTTTATCCTGAGTACCTTGCTCTAATCTGTCAGCGTGAAGGACTCGATAGTGAGGGTGTGAATGAAAACGATACCAAAACTGACCACCAAGACAGTATATCAGCACAGCGAAGCTACATGGAAGTGCTAAGATGCCTGCGATCAAGTTTTGCGCCTAAATATTGAGGTCGATGCGCTCAACGGTCTGGACGTCTGGTAGTAGGCGTTCCAAACTAAGACGGGAGATGACTATCAAGCGCAGTATGCACTCTGGACTAGGGCGATGCGCATCCCCAACCCATCTAGCACTCTTCAATCCAAAACATCCGATATCTATGACCAGCTAATATCTTGCAGAAACCACGAAAGTGAAAACCCTGTGAAGAAGATAGTGATCAGAACAGCAAGATACTATGCATTCAGCAAGAGAACATTGGATTCTTTACAACAGCAAGCAACGCATACATACCTCTTCGCAGCGCTTCACAACCTCTAACTATCAACTGTCTCGTCAAGAAAGGAGAACAAATGCAAAGGGAATTTTGATGTTCACATCCCTTTGTTTACGGTATTCTATCTGATTACCAAATGGTTTCGATCTCGCTTCCGATCCGCTTCCGGACCGCTTCCGCAATATCCACCGCTTCGAGCTAGTCAAGTATGTGCCGCGGTATCCCGACGACTCTTACAGGGAAAAGAATACAAGCAGGCTTACGACGACAAAGCGTCCTGCGGATCAATGATGCCGACTTCTGTATCGGGAAATCCATGCCCCATCTTTCGATTCTTCGGTACCGATGTAGAATAGAATGGCCGGCCGATTCAAAACGTCATGATTCAAATTGCTGGTGTCCCCGTCATGTATATTCACAGGAAATTAACCTCTCTGTTCATCCTGCAGAGCCCAAGTATACCGTTGTATTTGGAGAAACGCTCCCCACTCGCCCCTCGAGACCTACCCGGCATAGGAAAAGCCACCACCAAAATGCTTTCCAACGTTTTACCAATGGCTCACAATGTTCGCGCATACAGACCAAGTTACATGACAGGGCAGATCACATACCAGGGCGGTTGTTGTATCGCTGCAAAGAAGAGCTAAGACTGATTTGCCCGGGCAGCCGAGAAGGACAGATCGTGTAATTACGGGCCTACGATCCTCAACAGTACATTTTAAGATCACGTCAAGTGCCGAAGCAATCATACTAAACGCACTTGCTATGCATCTCGGCTAGAAGACAACCTTAGGCTCAGGCAAATCGGAAGAGATGGAATTATGCCCAGAACGGATCAAAGCTCGCTTCTCTGAGGCAGACGGAACAATAGACCCGAAAACTCGAGCCGTCCCTCTTTGCATCCGACTGGCTCAGACGGCTGGACTTGCTCAAACGGCTGGACTTGCAGATACCTTCTCTGATAAGAAATGGAGGTAGTCCCGTCGACCCTCTGGATTGGACCGATCTCCCAACGGAAATCGGTACCCGTCGACCGCTCTTTTTCGATTTTGGTGAGGCTCGGATATGTATCGCGAGCAATCAGAAGATGTCATGACAATGCATGGAGAACATGTGACAGGAGCACAGACTTTGAACGCAGCCCTCAAGCGCATCTACCTACGGCTTTATGAAGAGAATCTCGCACTTGGGAGCTTCTGTCCAAGATTACGCACACCACACCTGCATTGACGAATATAACGTTGAAGCCACGTGTGTCGATGCTGCACAATCTTGGGTATTCAATTAGCCGTGATCAAGTACCGAAGATTCTCGAAGAGCGCGTGCAAAAGTACGGTTGGACAGATGGACCACCATAACAACGTGGCTTGGTAATTGGCGGCGAGATATGCTGCAAAAGAAACATTCTCTACTCCCTGTCAGGGGCTATCTACCGGGCTCTTTCTAGTACAAAGCAACCACTGCTGGGGTTTCAGAGCCGTTCGGACACGTCAGTAAGTCTGCAGATTCAACTCAATATTTTGATCCATAATCGGGTCAATGGTTGATAACGATTTTTAGCACAACCTCTCAGGAGTGTCACGTCAAGCGACATGTGTGAAGCTTCTCGGACCAACCATTGCAAAGCAGTTGTTCCAGATTCCAACCACATCTTCCGGATTTCCGTTGTCAAGGTATCCCGGTCCTGACGTCGATTTTAACGAACGCTATGTACTCCCGAGATCTATTCTATGCCTAGAAACGGGCCGCAGGAATATTGCTCAACGTTTATGTCGAGCGGCTCATCGCAGAGAGAAGGTCGGGGAAGCACATCATTTCGGGCAAGGTTCCTTGGCCTCTAGTGGCTGTGTCCATGGGAGTAAGATGCAGGCATTGTTGCCACGCAAGGACTGCTTCTTCGTGCTCCAGCAAGCACTGCATCTACCATCGCAATAGGGAAGGCATCGTAACAGAGTTGGTGAGACAGGGTACAGTAGCGGAGTCGATGACAAGCTCAAATTGGCAGGTGTTTTCGTTTGGTTGATGGAAAAAGGCGATGCGGAAGCAAGCGCTTCAGCTAGGGATCCAGGTTTGACCAAAACGGCCGAGAAGGCGCTATTCCTGAGGGAAAAAAACACCGAACGCCAATGCACTTCACGTGTAATTCGTCACCGCCCAACGCGTGTGCCCGATTTCTATATGTTTGTGCTGCTACATGATCTTAACTAAGAGCAGCGCCTCAGTATGGCGATCACGCTTTGAATGGTCCACAGCATAAGCGGCACGTAGCGGATCTTCAGGCCGACAGCCATCAGTTTTGAAACCAAGACTCGGTTATGACGTTTTGGAATAGGTCTAAGATTTCGCATCCTCGCAGTTCATCCCCCGCAATGGGTACAGTGAATATAAAAAAGCGGGGTCGTTGCAGGGACTAGGACACCGTGCTCTGCAATGCTTGCATCCATGGTGCCTCAAGTATCCGCTATAGTCTCTGCCCCTGGGGCACTATTGATGAGTCTATCTGGCCGGTCATCTCGTGTGTGTGTGTATGTGTGTGTGTGTGCAAGCTCGAAATATCCAAGATGCTCAAGACGTTCGAAGGCAGTACTATGAAGGAGGTCCCGGAAAACATTGACAAGTCATCACAACCACCACCTCCGACTTACGTGGCCAACCCATCGGCTTTACCCGATCCCCCTCGCCGCCGCCAAAGACGCAGTTGTGATGCGTGTCGACGCAGCAAAAGAGCCTGCGATGCAGAAAGGTTTGCTGACTTTACAGGCCAATCCTGTTCCAACTGCCTCCGAAAAAATCAGGCTTGCACTTTCAACTGGTTGAAAGCTACTGTCAACTCAACTCAGGAACCTCAACGAAAGAGGACAAGATCTGGGACTCAAAGTAGCATTGACAGCACCGAAGGATCCACGACTCAGCATCACGGCTTCCAGGGCAACGCTAGTTTCGAGGTAGCTGACCGAAGAAGACGCTGGGCAAAGTCTTTTGAGGAAGAGGAGGATCAAGAAGATGACTCAAACAACATACCACTTGAGGATATCGATAACGAGATGAGCGGTTCCGGCTATGCTAGCGATCTGGTGCCAGTGCGACCACGCAAGAGCTACGGGCGAGGCCCGTTCTTGTCATCATCACACTCCCAACGATCCTCATTCGATGGAAGGTTTAGAGATAAGCGGCCGATGGGTGACGGTTCATTTCAGCTCAAGGACATGCTCCTAGGGGAAAGGAGTTCACGTGGTTTTGTAACCAACGGCCTACTTCGAATTTACAACGACAGCATGGAAAACGCCCTTTCATGCTGGCTGACCGAGCACAATTGTCCGTACACACTACAGAAACACAAGCCGTCCGCCTTATCAGCAGGAAGGGCAAACAGGGAATGGGGTTCGATATGGGGTAACCGAATGTACAACCGTGTCATCCAGCTTGACAGAGCGTACAACTCCATTCGTATACGAGCCTTGACGGCTGAGGAAGAGCGTACAGCCTCCAAGGCACTTAACATGGCCGTCGTGGCCTTTGCATCGCAGTGGGCTCAAGCAGGTGACCGAGGTTCGCGGGCTCGGCCAACAGACTTCAACTTCTCAACGGACGAATTCCCAGAGTCGAATCACTTTGAGCGATCAATGCAAGAAGGTCTATGGCACCAAACATCCCAGATACTGCACCGTGCAGCTGGCATCGACTCGTTCCGCGTCGTCTTCGCAATGATCATCTTCTCGCTCACGCAGCGGCCTCTCGACATATCCCGCCCTTTTCCATACAGCGTCTCCCAACTGAAAGCCAAATACGAATACTTCAAGAGCATCATACAAGACGACGAAGCACCCATATTTCTGGAACTAGCATTGCGCCAGATGATGGCTCAGCGACGCGCACTGGAGCGTGCAGAACAAGCCATGTCTAGGACAGCAGACGGGGAGTTCCAAGACCCTCTCCGACAAGAAGACCGCGACACATTCAACCTATTATACTGGCTCGGCGTCATGTTCGACACATTATCAGCCACAATATCAGAACGCACAGTAGTCGTCGATGATGAAGACTGCGAACTCCCTCGACCAGAGAGCCACAAACCCACCCAGCCCACTCCTCCCCCCGCCGCCACTTCTGCCTCGACCGCATGGCCAGTAATACCAAACATGTTCAACACCCAGTTTCATCCTGTCCCTCCAGACCCCACCATCGACGCCGCGACTGTGGAAAGTGAGGCATTTAAGAACCCAGAAGACAACAAAGTATGGGGCAACTTGTTCATGCGCAGCCCAGACTCGCAAGCAGACCCCGGAGCAACGAGATGGCCATGCAGTTACAAACTTGCTGCTTCAACACTGAGCTCCGCCGCGCCGGTAAAAGTACTATTGTATCGACGGGTATCGCAGATTCAAACGCTCGTATCACGACGAGCGTCAGCAGATAAAATAGAGGTAGGTCAAATTCCGTCATTTCAAAAAGGAACTTGAAAGATCGTTTCCACAAATCCATCATCTTCGAGATGTCATACTAATGACAGAACAACAGTCCGCCATCAACGCCGCCTTCCAAGTATATACGCATTGGACCCGCACCTATGCCCCCTTCATCTCAGACTGCATAACCCACCATGCCACACTCCCCACGCGCATTCAATCCTGGTACATTCTCCTCGCGGGTCACTGGCACCTCGGCATCTTCCTCCTCTCAGATCTCCTCCACACAATCGACACTGCAGCCTTATCGCTCCCCAACGAGCGCGCCTGCCGCTTAGCTGCGAACCTCGTGGCGACGCTGCGCCGTCAAAATGCGCTGGCGGTCGCGGATCTGAGTCTGGCGAGTATACATTCCGCAGCGCAGAGCGAGGAGGACTTTGCAGCTGCGGCAGCTGCAGCCGCAGGGGGTGTACGGAGCGAATTCCATTTTGCCCTCAGTGAAGCGGCGTTACTGACGGAACCCTGGACCGTCGTCTTCGTCCGTTCCCTATGCAGAGCAGGCTACATACTCGTTTCCATCGCCGCCTCCACGGACTCCACACGCGAAGAACGCGAGCAAGCGCGGGCGCGATGCGGCGATTGCATCGAAGGACTATGGTATCTCGGCCGGAAATCCGACATGGCCTTCCTAGCCGCCCGCTGTTTGAGCAACATGCTGGATGATGCGGTTATGGAGATGGGAGGTAGAAGCGCAACAGCGACGACGACGGCGGCGGCGACAACGGAAGATGAAGATGGCGGCCGGATGAGTGGAAGTGAGGAGAGTCCTACTGCGACTGGTGCTGGCGCTGCTCCTATCAACACAGCCGATACCTCATCCTTCTTTCAGACCTGGGGCTTGGATGATATCATGACTGATACTACACACTCACACCCCCAAAGCCATGCCACCGCACCACCACCACCACCACCACCACCATCATCATCAGGCTACCACCAACATCAACATCAACCTCCCAACAACTTCTCCCCCCCTCCTCCTCCGCCGTCAAGCTACCAAGGCTCCGTTGCGATAAGCTACCCCGACTCCGAGTCCCAACTCCCGTTAGCAGACAGCGACATTTTGGATTTCCAACCCCCCTTGAATTTGGATGGCTCGGGCGTTTGGGATTTTAATATGCAGTCATAGGGTTCTTTGCTCTAGTCGGGCGTGTTTTCAATGAGACATTCATTGTAGATTGATGATTGGTTAATGGGTGAAATGAATTGAATGACTATACCACATGGACCTTTTTGTTAGTTTATGGATGTTTTTTGATGTGACTGGTTGAACGTACATTCTCGATCGGCTTAGTTTCTGTTTTTTGTGCCCCTTTGGAGTGTAGGAATATGTAGGGACAGATCAGATCAAGGAGAAGCTTTGGTCAATGCTGAATAGTACTGTTCCAAGTCCGTATTGATAAAAAGAAGCTGACTTGTAGTTTGACCGAAACTTGGACGAGGCACAAAGCGCTGTCGGGTTACTTGCAATAAAAAACCACGTTAACATCCAAGAATGGAGTCCTGAATCCACCGTCTCCAGGACCGAACCCTGTTGGCGAGATGAATTAGTGACACAAATATTACCTCGGGGCAGACACATCTAAAACAGCAAAAATGGGAGGCACGGCTTGCATTTGAAAAACTAGGTATCATTCACATGCTGTCATCCTTAGACAGACCTAACCGTGACGCCGCCCATGCTGGGATTGCCCACGCTGGGAATACCCATGCTGGAAATATCCATTGCCGTATCGTAACCTTGACTTTTATAGTGTCGTAAGCCATAGCAAAGAACCACGCAGTCGCTTCACCAGCGAGTAGCTTATTTCTTCTTGGCGTCAGCCTCCTCAGCCTTGGCCTTGGCGCGCTTCTCGCGGGCACCGACGTAGCGGGCCTCGGCGCGGGAGTCACGGAGCTTCCTGTAAGCGTTCTCGGTGGCCTCGTAGTTGCCAATGGGGCCCTCCTCGAGCTGGACGGTGTTCTTGATGGGGAAAACGGCAGAGGTGTTGCTGACGAGGTTGTCACCGCTCTTAGCAGCCTTGACGTCCTCGGCGGAGGCGTCACCGTTCTTGGTCTTGCCGTTGCGGCGGGGGAAGAGAATGAGGCGCTTCCTGTACTCCTGGAGGCGCTCGACGTTGGCCTTGAGGCCCTCCTCGGAAAGGTTCTGGCGGCGGGGGTCGACAGAGATACCGATGGTGCGAGCGAACTTGCGGGGGATACCGGCAGCTGCACATGTTAGTAGTGCTCAACATAGTTGAAGTAGAATATTTACCCTTCAACTCAGCAAGAGAGAAACCACGGCCGGGGCGGACACGGCGGTTGTACTTGATGGCTACGGCGGTTAGCAATTTTGTCAACGTGCATTCGGCAGAAAATAATTACTTGGGCAGCGGACAACAGGCCTCAGCTTGTCAACAGGCCTGGGGGCGACCTTCGCAGCCTTGGCAACACGAGCATTGCGTCTGGACTTCTTCTTGCCAGGCTGTTTGCAATGTCAGAAATGTGTACACAGGCGCCACTACTCTCAGCGAGGTGAGAGGGGAATTACCTGGTCGAAGTGCACGCGGACGTAGCGTTGCCTGTCTTGCAGTTAGTTTACTGAACCGTTGCAACAATTTTCCCATTTCTCCAACATACCAGTCCTTGTGGAAGTGATTCTTCTGAATCTGCTGGTTGTGCTTGATGGCCATTGTATCGGATTGTCTATGTTCGAATCAGCCCTCTGTCGCCCAACCGTGCTTTGTTGTATCGAGTGTCGCGTTGACAATGGAATGTTGCGATTGCGCTCGGTGCGACGCGGAAATGGCTAACGTACCTCGATGGCGGACCTGGTGGTTAGTGAATCGTACGGCTGTCGGGGAAAGAAATCTCGACAATCCGCGAATTTTCGAGGTGCCGCTTAGCGTGCGCGAGGCGAGCTGGCGGAAAAGCGTTTCGCCGACGCTAGTCCGCTAGTCAGTGGGTCGACGAGACGGCGCGCATCCTTCGGGACATGGACGTTTGAACCAAACTATGTACAACAACGGTGATCACACATCAGTCGGAATTATTTTTATCGAGTTGCATTCTAAAAGGATATAGGGCTATGCATGTTTCTGCGTAATCAGATCGCCATGACTAATTCTACAATTAACACCGTATGGCCATTGTAGCAATTCCCCCATTTGATACGCGAGAAAAGAATAGCAAGTATGGAAATGATAGAAAGTGAGAAGGGAGAAAAAATAAGAAAAATATACCAAGGAACAAGTCTAAAAGAAAATACCTCCAAACCCTTGACCATAGGGCAAATATATACATGAAAGTATTACAAAATACCTAAAATATAGCCAAGAGAATAACTCTTCCATAGACACCTGCCCTGTTTTTCCTAAACCTGCCGCCCTAGTCTAACATCCCAACCGAGAAACCTAAAAGCCACCATCATCAGCATCGAAGAATTCAGTACTTGCGCTGTCGGTACTCTTCCAACTCTCCCTTGGTATCTTGTCTCGAAGCCATGTTAAAACGGCATCTGTACCCTTTTGTAGGACTTGTCGGTTGGGCACCCTGAACTTGTTTCCTTCAACCTCGAAGCCAGTCAGAGTGCCTTGGAGCAAGCCAATACGTGGCTCCAAGCGGTCAATGTCATTGTTTCCAAGGTTCACAATTCTCAGGTTCGTCAGACTTTCAGCAGAGACCTCTGCAATCTTATTGTCCGATGCCAACAGAGTGGTGAGCGACGGGAATGAGGTGTGAAGGGTAGGCAGAGCACCACTCAGGCGATTTATCGAAACGTCCAAGGTGACAAGGTGCGGTGCTGTGAGGTGGGCCGTCAGTGGTGTCAAGCTTGTCAGCTTGTTGCTAGCAAGACGGAGATCGCGAAGTTGGGCGAGCTCGAGCGGTGCTGACAATGCAACTCCAATAGCGTTCCTGGAAAGATCAAGAACAGTGAGGTGTTGAAAAGTCCCAACAACAGGCGGAATAGCGATGAACTTGTTGCGCTGCAGTTGGAGTTGACGTAAGCCATTAACAAGAACTTCTGATGTAGCGTCGTCAACTTCAAGCTCGTCCATATCTTTGCCTGCTAGATCCAAAGTGCCAGAGGGAGTAAGTTCCCATTTGGATTGAGACTCTTGAGCATCTTCATTCACAAATTCTTCATCAACCTCGGCTGGGAGATCATCAGCTGGCAACCGAGAGGCCAAGTCACGCTTCAAGTCTTCGGTACCCATGGAAAGGAATTTTCGATCACGCAGGGGGTTGGCAGCCACAGTAAGGTGGTCAAGACTCTCCATAAGTGCAATCTTTTCGTCAAGCTGGGTTATGTCGTTGCCAGTAAAATCTGCAGTACGGAGCTGCTGAAGGGCGGTAAAACCTTCAGGCAGAGCTGTGAGTTTATTCTCTCCCACTAGTAGAGTGATGAGATTGCTCCAACCCGATACTGCAGGTAGAGAGGTAAGTCGGTTGATAGAAACATTCAAGACTTTAAGTGCGGGCAAATCAATTGAGTCGTCTTCGCATAGCGACGTAAGAGAGTTCTGAGCCACGTGCAGTTCTTGCAGATGCGTTACAGAATTTGTAGAAAAGAGAGCACCCTCGAGACGATTCTTAGACGCATGCAGCTCAATGAGGGCGGAAGAGAAAACCTCGGTGGGAATGCTGCGGAGCTGATTGTCGGTTACGTTAAGCGTGCGGAGTTGGGTCAAGCGCTCGAAGCCACTGGGGAGGCTATCTAGCTTGTTTGCTTGTAGTTCTAGAATCTCCAATGCCGTAAGATCACACAGCGATGGTGACAGGGGACCTTCCAGGTTGTTCTCGGCTAGCTTCAACTCCCGAAGAGTGGGTATTTGGGCAATCACGTCGAATACCTCCATGGATAGTTTATTCCTTGACTGGATATTGTTAGCATTTTTGTATAACATACAAATGGAGCCAGACTGAGGGAACACCGCCGGCTTGAGCAAAGACTTACAAGGTTCAGTTTGGACAACTGTGTAAGTCGTCTCAGTCCCATGGGCAGCTCTCGAAGCATGTTGCCGTGAAAGTCAATATTCTGGACTCCGCCAAACTGAGGACCTGCCTCGTCGGAATCAATCATGTCTTCGACGGTAACGTCAGGAAACATGCTGTCTGGGATAATTTCAAGCTCATTATCCGCAGCTAGAATAGAAGTAAGATCTACAACTTCGCCCCACGCCACCTTTGTGTCGTTGGGATCATAAGTATACATTGAAAGTACATCATCTGGTATCTCTTTAAGGCCCATTGCAGCAATGTTCAAGCGGCCATCTCCACGAGCTGTATCGATACGCCGACGCAGAACAGAAGCGCCACCTTTGGTGCGCTGGTTGAAAGGGTCTTCATTGAGACCAAAGTCAAATGTTGCGATTTCGGCCGGATCGGGAATGATGACATCCGAAGGGGGTGTACTGTTCCTAACGGGCTCGGCCCTTGCGCGCTTGGCAGCCTCCCTAGCCTTTGCGATTTGTTCTCTCAAGGCATTCGAGGAGCTCGCAGCCTTTGGCGATGCTTCGACGGGTGCCGGAGCGATATCTGGCTTCTTTGCCGCCTTGGCCTTTGCAATATGATCCCGCAGAGCTGCTGAAGAGCTGGCGACTCTTCGAACGGTGTCTGGGGTCTTTTTCACGGGGGTCTCGTGACCTGATACTGGAGAACTTACGGCAGTACCGGGAGGTGAGGTTGCTTGTGCAAACATGTTGCCAAGGGATGCCCGGGTTCTCGGTGTGCGGGCAGCCAGATTCTTAGTGTTGGTCATCAGACGCGGCTTGGGTGTGTCTTGGAGATTGTGGGCTGCCGATAGTGGCTGCTTCTTAACGGTTGACGCGGAACGCACAAGGGATGTTTGTCTGGTAGGCGTCACAGCTGATGAAATGACATTGGCACTCGCACTTCGTTTGCCCGGGGATGTCATGGACATCCTGTTGGTAGGGGGAACAGCAAGTCTCTTTGGAGTTCCTGGGATGGTCTGTTGCGAGCCATCGCTGGTCGATGGTCTGCTGCCGTTGGACGTGGCCGACGCTGGGCGTAGCGGTGGTGGCATGCTGTTGTCGTTGTTGAAGAAGCTCGACCTGCGCCTTCCCTTCTTTGGTGCTGGTGAAGATGGAAGTTGCGATAGACTCTCTATGGTTCTTTCCGAAAGTGAGGGTCGTGGCTGTTCTGAGCCATCTGAAACGGCGGCCTCATGTTCCGCGTCGCTTTCATGGTGTGCTGCCCGTGAACTTGCGCGTGAGGATGCCCTTGAGGCCGACCTGAAGCCTTCTAGCCGGCCTAATGTGTCTTCCGGACCGCCAGGGACAGATGACGAAGTTGGACGTGACGATTCCTTCGGCTGGGACGAGACAGGCCGGGCCAGAGGTTTCTTGAAGGTTGAAGCATCGCTGTAATTGGAGGAAGCGCTCGAAGCAGCAGTCGAGGTGCGGCGTTGGCCAAAGTTGGGGATGCCACTGACTCTCCGGGAAGAGGAGTAGGGGGTCCGTCCTGGAGTCGAACTCGGGGGCGCGGCAACCGAGGGGGCAGCAGCAGCAGGAGGAGGAGGGCCGTTGGGGAGGACGAGCGAGGCCCTGGATGTCTTCTTCTGTAGGGTCGAGGCGGTTGGGCGGGAGATGGAGGCTAGGGAGGGCTTCTTGCGCAGTTGCTCGGTCGAGGGGGTGGCACGCAACTGCGACTGGCTGGCCGACTGACGCAGGACGGGCAGACGAGAGGCGGGGGCGGGCCTGGGGATCCCCGAAGGGCGGGTTGACGAAGACTGGTCCATGGTGTTGGGCGCTACAGGATGTCACGCTCACGCCTAGGGGTTCCGAAGGCGTTCATGCAGACTCGCATAGACAGACAAAGGAGCTAGAGGCACGCCCGGCCGGGAACGAGGGTCGAGGATCGTGTGGCGACAAGACAAATTGGCTGGGGCCAGAGTAATTCTCCGCGCCGGGCGCAGCAGCCAGTCTGAGCGTGAACGGGAGGGAACGGTTGCCCAGCCGACACGCTGCTGTCTGTGTTTTATCGACATGGCGGCCGTTTGGGCCTAGCGCCGCGTGCGCGCACTGCAACCAAGGCAGCCAGCGAGCCAGCCAGCCAGCCCAGCCAACGCAGGGCCCGCGACGCTGCGACCGCCCACGACACGTCTGCCACGGCCTATTTTGCCCTTCACCCTCACCACCACCTCTGCTACTCTCCATCCCTTGTTCCCCCGCCCTTGCCCGCCACCGCAAGCGGCCCACAGCGCGCCCCGACGCCGTCCTCGCCTTCTCCCCACACGCACAAGTCGCGCTCCCGCGTCGCGTATTACCGCCGCCCGCCCGACGCCGCCGCAATGGACGCCCACCAGCACCCGCCTCAACACCAGCCCGCGTCGCCAGGCACCTCCAAGCTGGCCTCGCCCACTCCCCGCACCACGTCGTCCATGACACCTCCCCCCTCCTCCTCACAGGCGCCCGCTGCTCGCGCGGCAATGCGGACGCCTTCTCCCCCCACTCCCCAGCTCACTTCTCCCCCGCCCACCACCAAGCTGCCCGACCAGGCATCTGCCCTGGCCGACTTGGGCGCAGGCCTGTATCCCCAGGACCAGGTCAACAGTGCCTCTGTCCAGGAACTGAGGGCCATGGTGAACAGCCTGTCCAACGCACTGCGCGATATGCGACTCTCGGCAGCCCACTACAAGCTGCAGCACAACATGGCCGTCATGGAGAGCCAGGAAGCTGCGAGCCGCATGGCTGTCGAGCTGGCCATGGCCCAACGCGAGCTCGACGTGTTACAGCAAGCCGAGGAGAAGCGCCGTGCCACAATGGCCGCGCCAGAACAGACGTACCATGACTCGGCCAACGCGGCCAATGCTGTCATGGTGTCTGAACTGACGCGCCAGAACCAAGTCCTTCAAAGCGAGAACGACGAGCTGCGAGAGATGCTTGAGCAGCAGAAGCGCTTGACTGAGCACCGCGAGGGCGAGCTGGCGAGTCTCATTGAGGAAAACGACAGGCTCAAGACAAGAATCCGCAACAACCGCGACCACATTGCCCCTCTATTGGAGCAAATTGAGCAATCCTCGCCCCGATCTACCTTTGGCACCCCAGCCCAGCCTACCCCAAGAAACCGCCTCAATCGCGTCCCGCCGCCTCCACTTTCTCAGCAAAGCAGGAGCCAGAGCAACTTTGAGGCTCTGTTGTTGGCCGACAAGATGCTCAGCCAAGACGCGTCCACAGCTCCCTCGACTCCCAACAGAGTGCAGGCGCCAAGGGCACGCTTCAGCCACCAGCGAGGTGCACAATCCATGTCATCACTGCCTCAAACACCCAACCAGAGAGCTGCCTTCCCCCGCGCCGAGGTGCCTCGCACACCGCCCCTCTTTGCGCCAACCAACATTCCCCAGTCAGCACCCCCCGTCCACTACCAGCAGAAGCCCGAAAGCATTCGGCGCCAAAGCAGCAACTCCACCATTACTGCGTCTAGCATTGATGAGGAGGAGGCTTTTACAGATCGCGAAGACGACCAGGTGCCAGAATCCCAAGCCAGCCAAATGGCACGAAGCCTGCTGCAACAACCGCCTCCAGCAAAGGGCATCATGTCCGCACCGGCCTCGCAGCCTTCGAATCTGGTGCAGAGCAAAATCTTTGGCCAGGTCAAAAAGGGCCATGGCCTGACTCGTGCCAACGAGCTCAAGAGGGGCCGCATGCCATCAACAGCGGACTTGCGAAATCAGACGAGTCCGCCCAAGCGCGGACGCGTCGATCAAGGTGTAGGTCTTGGCATTGGTGGTTTGTTGCGCGAGTGAAAGATATGAACTGTTCCTGACCTTTTTCGTGTGCCAGGGCATTTATTATTAAGTCTTCACGAACACTCATGATTATGGCGACAACGGGCAAGCGAGCAATTCGGATTTGCACCCTGGCAGCTGGTTTTGTATTTGTGCTTTGTTTTTGTTTCGGGATACCCTTCTAGCTGCGCTATGAGACGACGCAGCGACTTGTTATTGTATGTGTTTACATCCATGTGTTGATATGTTTTGTATGAGATGACATGTAGTGGACTGAGGAATTATTAGTTTATGTAGCTCTACGCGACTCGAATGTTAAATCCTATCATATGTGTGTGATGTCACCGACCCATGAGACCTGTAGTCTCTAGACTTGATGGGTACCTGATCTTCCTTTCTGTGTCCTGTTTGCATTGAAAAGGACGTAGCATGGGTGTGCCTTCCTGTAAATTTGCCAGTGACCCACTCCCCGCGTTTTCCATTGTGGCAATCACCACCATCACATCGCTAGCGTCGCTGCTAGCCCTTTACATTGATGGTTTCTCAGATCTCTTCATCACACGTGTTTGCTAAGCTCATTGCATACTCAGGAACTCAGGTTATGATAAGTTTCGTCCGCATGAACGATAAGAGCCGATAGATCGGACTGATTCTAACCTCACCTTCACTTTGACTTTCATCATCACGCAAGACGGATATATCACCGCAAACCACTATTCCCTTCCGGACAACGTACAGTTAACATCTCAACTCTGTGCAACAAAATCACAAAATCACTAAGAAGCCCAGCACAAGCTTGCCATGGCATCTCCCAAGATTGAAGCAACTGCTAAAGAGAACAATGACGAACTGAAAACACTCATCGTACAGGAGATACAGAACTGCAGAGGTGTCCTTAATTTTGTTCGCCTTGAGTGGCAAAATATGAAGCAGCAGGAAGACAATATTGTTAAGGTCGAGAAGAAAAGGTTGGACGAAGCCCATAAACCCATCAAGCAGCAAGAGTGCACTTACAACGAAGTAAAAAAGTTGCTCGAAATCTTACGGACAAATCATAGCGTCCAACTCGTGCACGATACCTTGCTTGTCGAGCAGAAAAATGAGGCTTTCCTTATCGAAGAGTCGTTTAATGCAATCAAGATTCCAAGAGTAAAGCTCGGTGAGGAGAACTCACGTCGAACTCAAGTTTCTAAGACTGTATTTGAGAGGGAAACAAGGACACTTGAGAGAATAATTACAAAGCTTCAACAGATGGCTGAGACGGCTGGCATCTTTCTGGACGATGTAATCATTGTTGAGCAGAACACTTCTGGCTTCACTAACACTGCTGAAAACGTTCGACTCTCCCCTGCAGCCCGGTCACGCCATTTCGATGCTGTTATTGCTCAAGGAACGCCATGAAGACGTCCCGCTCATGCGCATGCCGCGTCAGTTGTCCAACGTCACTCATTTGGCCCCGATATGCACCAGCGTGTCGAAAAAGACTTACAACAGCCCGTTGCTTCAAAGGTCAATTCAAAACAGAATGAACACACTCTGCCAGAAAGGGCACATGAAGAGACGTCACCTGTAAGTCATCTCGTTCAGAGCAGTCGACACACCCTAACAGAAACCAGAAACCCCTAACACCGGTTCGACCGAATACTCCAGGACCTGACCCAGAACGCGAAGCGATGGGTGGTTGGATGGCGGGCTTTGTAAATTATGGTCAGAACATCATCTGTGAAAGATACAAGCGCGATATCAATGCGGCCAACAGGCAATACGAAAAATACAAGCGTGCTATCGAAACAGCTCTGCAAAAGAACGACGAATAATATACACGAGCTTTGCGAGTGAATAAGATAATGGAGCCCTTTTAGGAGACAGAGTATAACAATGAATGGAACGAAGCAAGATAAATTATCGAGGAGCACCTGAAGTTCATCCAGCAACAACGGAAAGTGCTCACCAACCACCAGCCCAAATGCTAAGAGCATCTCTTCCGTTGTCAAAATGAGGCCAGTACACTCTTTGGAAAGTAGTCAAGGTTCTACAAAGTGCTTCTTTGTCGAGTCGAAAGCGAAGCTGCCAGTTTCAACCAAAACTTGGACGATACTAACTGAAGCGTTTGCAAGGCCCAGACCATTTATTGCATAAGAAACCATGTAAATGGGGAAATGGAGTTGGTTCTGGTACAGTACTTGGGTTAGATTTTCTCATAGTACATGATGATGTCTCTTTGATACCGATGCTGACCCTCCATCGACCCTGTCCCAGCCGTTGTCGCTTTCCCCGCACAGGGTGCGAAGATGCTTGTGTATTACAGGAAAATGACAATTAGCAAACCTTTCTATACATGATCACTATTGCCCAAGCTCCCGTTTTCTTGTTTGAAGGACCAGTATCTCAGCATCTATTAGCAACATTGTCAAGCGGTGCGGTACGACAATCAACATGGAGCGTGTAAGTCATGAATCTATGCCTCTGGAACTGATGATAGGTTATCTTATGAGATGCAAATGTCACTACCCATCGATGTAGATGATAGTCACATCTACCACCTACTCAACGAATTTACCAGTAACTACTGACTGGATCATCAGGTCCGTAAAATATGCACCCTATGCAAGATTGAACGACAATTCGAGCATAGCACGAGACGCGATACTAGCTGCCCTCTCCCACGACCCTCACGAGGATATACCAACTCTCGGGCTCAGAAAGGAAGAAAGGTCTTCACTCACGATACTACACGAACAAGCGCACCGCTAAAGAAGAGAAACACTCTTCGTAAGAAGAACAGAAGTGCTGTTATGAGTACACAAGGTGCTACTAATCCACTGGTGCAATAGAACTCAGGCTTACAGAGCACAGCAAAAGACGGTTCTACAACACGACAGTCAAACAAGGAAGACACTGGAGTCGCAAAACCCGCATGGCTGCGTACATGGCTCAACAAGCTTCCCATCACCACATGTCCCAAGCCCCCCACATCTTCCCCATCCAGTATCTCTCCTTCCCCGCGAAAAGCCAACAGCGTAGACTTATCCCGCATGATGCCCTTCCACCGTGAAGAAGAAACACCCACCGCCCTACCCAGAAACACCCCCACAGCACCCGTCCCACACTGCACCCGCACCCGCACCCGCATCGCCCCAGCCACAAGATCCAGCAGCACCCCAAACCTCACCCGCCACTTCTCCCTCTCCAAAAAACCCAGCGTCCACCAAAAACCCACACCCAAACCCACCACCCCATCCATCACAACAAAACTCCAAAAACGCGCCCCTACCGCTCCCCTTTGCCCCAAATCCACAACCCCAGCTCCAGACTCAAACCCCACTACAAAACGCCCGCAAACTCATAACCCCGATCCGCATCCAGACCCGTCGAAAGGAGCGGTCGCGGGTGATAGACGCAATAGTACTGCGTACTTGACTATCACCACTACTGCAACAGGCGACGAAGATGAAGACGGCGAGTTCGAAATGAGTGAGACGAGGAGGTTGTTGTGGGAGTATTGGAATGTGCAGTGTAGGTTTTTGGCTGAGGAGTGGATTGATGAGTGATTTAACTGTAGTTGCTGTGGTGTGTTGAATATTGATTTTTATGGGGATGCGAGTTTGGGGGTTTTTTTTTCTTATACTGCGTTTCTTTATACTTTGGGGATATGGAAGGGGGGGGGGGGGGATCTAATGATGAGGGGAATCTATAGAAATTCATACACGCGGAGAAGAAGATAGGAGTTTTGGTAGTGAGGCATGGGAAAAAAAAAGACTCATCAGTACTACACCGATTTGGACAAGAAAAAAAATAAAGACTTTCATAGTTTTACAAAACAATCAAGGACGATGAGGAAGAAAAAGTGGGAGACTGCTAGACTAGACCAAGCCACGGGGTTAAACCCTCTAGAGAAAAGAAAAAAAATCTTATAAAACCTACCCTTTTTGCTTGCTAGTCTTGCAGTCGATCCCTCAGTTTTTGGACAAAAGAAAAAACAACAAAGAAAGAAAAAGAAAGAGACCCATCATGCCCTGTCTAACTCAAGTCTTCACTTCCTCGCCTTCCCTCTCGACTTACTCCTCGTAACCCTCGCCCGGGGTGCATCATCATCCTCGGTACTCTCCGTAGGGGGGACATGAACGCCCAGCCCCTCATCAGCCCCAATCATAATGCCATCATCTTCCGTCTCTCTGTTATCCGAATCGATACCTCCATCAGGACTCTGAGTGCGGAGATGGGCTTCACTTTTTGCACGGCGTTCAGCCTCCCACCCTTTAACAAGTCGTGTAAGATCGTCTTCACGGACTTTTTCCTTGCCGTTCCATGCACTGCAACCGCCACAGCGCCAGCGGCCGACGTCTTCTAGTGTACGCGCTCCAGGAGGGGCTTGACCGTTGACGAGGCGGCATTCTGTGCAGATTAGGGCGAAGCGGTTTTTAGCCTGGGTTTCGTCTTCTCCGAGCAGGGCATCGAGAATACGGTCGTACCAGTGGGTTTCGGGGACTGTAGGGGGCTGGATGGCAGGCTCCTGCTGCTGCGGCTTGTTCAGGTGAGATTCAAAGGCATTGGGAGCGAATTCAGCACCGGGTGCATTGAGAGGAGGCAGCGATGGCGGAGGTGGAGGCGTCACAATCGAAGGCACCTGTTGCGGAGTTGTCGGAAGCTGGGGAGGCTGAGGTCGGTTGATGTTTGCAGTAGGCGGAGGAGCTATGCCAGTGCGTGGACCTGGCGGCGGTAGCGGCTTCTGGGGTCCCCTTGACCTGCTGCGGGCAGGAGAGTCATCTTCATCCTGAACCAACTCTTTTGGCTTTGGCGAAGCACCGCCGTATTTCTCCAGCAGTTGCTGCGTCGAGTTGTACTTTGTGGCCTCCTTTAGGCGCTCGATAGTGGCGTCGCGCTCCTTATCCAACTTTTCGAGATAATGCTCCGTGTTGCGAATGCGGTAGTCAAAGTAGCTCATGAGCGCGTAGCGTAGACCGTAGATGCTGCGGCATGGTGGTTAGCCAGATATGACGCGTTAACGGCTCCAAAGGTGGGATGTACAGTAGTGGGCCGCCCGCGACAACAGACCCCTCAATAGGACCCCAATTCTGCCAGCCAGTGACAAAAGTGAGGACGACGGCGATCAGAATATATGCAAAGCCAGCATAAAGCGTCCACATGACACGCGCGCGGCGCGCGAGCTGCTTCTGTTTGTCATTTCGCGCGGCGGCTCTGTTGATCTTGCCAGTGAGGGCGTTGAGTGTTCTCTCAAAAGACGCGGCGTCTTCGCTGCCCTGTTGCCGTTAGCGTAAGAAGGCGGGGTTAGTGAGAGAGGAAAGTTACCTTCCAGGGCCAGAAAGACACCATGGTGGCTCAGTGGCAGATCGAAGCCCGGCGTGGGAGCTCGATTTGTACTGTAGAGGCCAGTTGTGCGTGCTCGTGTGTGGACCTCTGTGAGGCCTGACATCAGCGCCGATGCAACTGTTGGATCGCCGACAGGGATCTTCCCGAAAGACAGCATCACGTGCAATTAGTCTTCTTTGCGGACCTCCGCGCCCACGTTATTTGCTATCCATTCACCTCTCACGTCGACACAACATGGCATTGGCAGCTTACCGGAACCTGCTGCGGTCTGCGCGCATCGCCTTCCAAGGTACGGACACCTCACTGTCTTTTGAAAACATGCTCACAGCGATAGGCGACACCCACACACTCGTGGCCGCCCGCGCAGAGGTCCGCAAGAACTTTGAGTCGAATCGCAATCTGCGCATCGGAAGTGAGGAGCTGCAAAAGTCGTTGGTACATGCAGAAGAGGTGTCCAAGTTCCTGCGCGAGAACGTAGTGCAGGGTCAAGCAGAGGATCCAGATGGCAAATACAGTATGATACATACAACATCATTGGTATTGGGGTCTCTCGACTAACAATCTATAGAGCTACGGATACACGAACACACCGAACGAGGCGATAACGAGGACATCAAAAAGGGAAAGGGAAAAACTACATTAGGCGGAACAAAGTGCTGCTCGTCCTAGGCTTTTTATCCATGACAAATTGAATCGTGATACCCATGCATGCAATCCACGCATCGCAAAACGCCGTCCCAATGCAAGGAAATATTAAGCTAGTTTAGTTGCCTGCCAAGCTGGCATACTGGACTTCATCGTCGGCACCTGGTGGCGGCGCAATGACCATGCTGTCAAGGTTGCTCTGTGGACCAGCCTCAATGGCGGCTTGAGAAGCGGCAGCGGCCCGTCGCGATGATCCCGCCACTTGACGTCCTTCCTTTGCGTATTGCATCCTGACGTTCTGATCCAGGCTGTCTAGCTGCTTCGGCTTGCCCCAAGTGACTCGCATCGGGCAACCCTTGATAACCACCTTGCCCTTCAGAGCTGCTGCCGCAGTCTCTGCATCCTCTCTCTTGGCATAGTTAACGTATGCACAGTGCGCTCGGTGCGAGCAAACCAGCGACCGGAGCTGTCCATATTGTGTAAAGTGCTTGCGGATCTCGTGTTCTGGCAGGTCGTCCTCGACACCAGTGACAAAGAGTGACGCAACGTTGGGGTCAGAAGGTGGTAGCCAGTCTTGTGGACTCGGCTCTGCAGCTGGACCTCCCATGCGGCCTCCCCGTCCTGGCCGCATACCTCCTCGCGCAGAAGGACCGCGAGAATCTCTGGTCCTGATGGGTCCCGGGATGTGATTGCTCTCACGGCTTGCACCAGCACCAGCACCAGCACCAGCACCAGCACCAGCACCAGCACCAGCACCTCCACTACCACTACCACCGGGCGCTGGCAACGCCTTTTGTCCGCTGCTCTCGCCCGCCTCGGCCTCTAATCGTCGTTGCTTCTTGTAATATGGCTCACTCTGTGCGAGGCGCTTCAAGAGATCACGCGCCTTCTCGTCGGTCTTTTCGTAGGCTTCCATGGCTCCCCGTCCCTCCTCGATCTCCTTCTCGTGTTCCTGCGCGTAGTACTGTCGGTTGATATCGCTCTGCGGGCCAGGTGCAACCATCTTCAGCGCCGCATCACGGACGACGATGGGAAGACCGAACGAAAGATCGAGCATGCAGTGTTGGCAGCAGTTCTTGAGACGCGCGCATGTCAGGCAGATGTTGGTGCGCTTCTGTCGGGCGGTGCGGTCGGCCTTCCAGCGGAATATGGTAAAGGGTCGCGTGCAAATCTTGCACTCGGCGCCATAGTCCTCCTTGAGCATCTGCACGTAGGGGTTGTCGGGCAGACATTTTTCGCAGACGGACGGGAAGTCGGTCGTCTCCCAGCCGCTGCGGTTCAAGTCGCTCTTGATCTGGGGCGGCATGGCGGACAAGGAGCGCGCAAAGAGTCGTGATTATTGAGAATGTGTTGCCGCAATCTACTCTGGCGATGGCAATGAGCGTATCAGCAGGCGTCGAGTACGTGCGGGTGGGGCGCGGTGATGATTGATTGCGACGACGGGCGGCGAAGATTGATGAGCAAGGTTGGCGGAGTGGCGCTAGGAACAAATGTCCAGGCACAGCAGCGCGGGCTTGGCTTTCACGCGCACGAGGGGGCAGCCGCTAGTGCCGTTGACCAGGCCGCGTACAGAGTGCGCTGTGATTGGCCGACTGCAGATTCCCCCCTTTGAATTTGTCCACTCTGCCTACCCATACCGCTCTTTCCCTCCAGCATTGCTTTCTTATAAAGTTTCCAGGGTCCTCGCCTTTGGAATTGCTTCTCTGACACCCGCTTCATCCGTTCCACTTTTACATCCCTCTTTATATCCCTTCTAATATCTACAATGTCTCCCGTTGCGCTTGAAAAGGAGGACCATACTCGCGATGCCGAGTTTAACAAGGCCATGCACGGCCAGACTGCAAAGTCTCGTGGTGGTATGACTGCCATGCTCGGCAAGGACAAGGCTGCTCAGCAAGCCGCCGTTGATGAGTACTTCAAGCACTGGGACAACAAGGCGGCAAAGGATGAGACCGAGGAGACTCGCAAAGTATGCAACGGGTGGCTCCTAAACACTAGCATGCAGACTAACTAACATCTGACAGGAACGACGAGACGAGTACGCCACCCTCACCAGGCATTACTACAACCTTGCTACCGATCTGTACGAGTATGGTTGGGGCCAGTCTTTCCACTTCTGTCGCTATGCCTACGGCGAGTCCTTTTACCAGGCAATTGCCCGTCACGAGCACTACCTCGCCCACAAGATGAACCTCCAGGACAACATGCGCGTCCTCGACGTTGGATGTGGTGTTGGTGGACCTGCCCGTGAGATTGTCAAGTTCGCTGGTGTCAACGTCACTGGCTTGAACAACAACGACTACCAGATTGAGCGTGCGACCGCCTACGCCGAGAAGGAGGGTCTCTCACACAAGCTCAACTTCGTCAAGGGTGACTTCATGGTAAGCATTGCCAAATACCTCGTAATATTCCCGGCTAACGTGCGCCCAGCAAATGTCCTTCCCTGACAACTCCTTCGATGCCGTCTACGCCATCGAGGCTACCGTCCACGCACCATCGCTCGAGGGTATTTACAGCGAGATCTTCCGCGTCCTCAAGCCCGGTGGTGTCTTTGGTGTCTACGAGTGGCTCATGACCGACAAGTATGACAACGAGAACCCTCACCACCGCGAGATCCGTCTTGGTATCGAGATTGGTGATGGTATCTCCAACATGGAAAAGGTCGAGGTTGCGCTTGCTGCCATGAAGGCGGCTGGTTTCGTCATGGAGCACCACGAGGATTTGGCTGAGAGGGACGACCCCTACCCATGGTACTGGCCTCTGTCTGGCCAGCTCAAGTACATCAGCACCCTTGGCGACATCCCCACCATTCTTCGTATGACAAAGGTTGGACGTGGACTTGTCCACAGGTTCGTTGGTTGCCTTGAGACAATCGGTCTTGCCCCCAAGGGCACTCAGAAGACCGCCGACAGTCTTGCCCTGGCCGCTGACTGCCTTGTTGCCGGTGGCCGCGAGAAGCTCTTCACACCCATGTACCTCATGGTCGGAAGGAAACCAGCGGATGCTTAAGTTTTTTTCATTCTTGCTTCACCTTGCATTAGAATTCGTTTCGCATCTTGGGCCTGGTTGGTCGCGGGCATTTTTGTTTCATCTTTCCATGTGGGAGAGCAATCTCCTAGCATTTACACCCACGCGCCTTGGAGACGCGGATATATAGTATAATAGCTGGTAGCAAAGCAAGGTCTAGGGTAGGTGACGGTAACGCGAAACGTGGTGAAGATAGAGGAGAATGAAATACGTAATACGCCCATCGGGCATTGACACTGAACTTGGGAGAAGGATGAGTGAATGTTCGAGGGTTGTGTTGATTATTAACATGTCTGGGATGGAAATGCGGTGCAGCATTCGAGTTAGGATGTCCGTCCGGCAGAGGCGTTATTCCCCGGCGCTGGTGTTGATCCCCGGCGTTGAGGGCTGCCGGAGCTGAAGAAGTCAAGTGTCGGGTGTTCTCGCACTTGAGAGTAGGGGACCCACCCGAAGCTTTATGACTTAGCGCGTTCAGGGCCCCAACGATTCGCATCCCCGACCTCCGAAGAAATTGTCCAGCAGCCCCAGCAACCACCAGAAGCCTCAGCGGCCAGTACTCGCCTCCGGCATTTCCTCACCACACCCCCTAAAACTCGCACATCACACACAATGGCTGCCTCAAGGCTCCTCCGACCGGCCTCGCGCCTCATGGCCTCAACACGACAGGCGCCCGCTTTCCGACCTGCTTTCCGCGCCGCTGCCCTGACACCGTCAATTGCAAGGAGAGGATATGCGTCGGGACAAAAGGAGATGACTGTGCGAGAGGCGCTCAATGAGGCCATGGCCGAGGAGATGGAGCGAAATGATAAAGTCTTTGTGCTCGGAGAGGAAGTTGCGCAATACAATGGAGCGTATGTAACCCACCATGCCAATCTCGGACAATTCAATTGTGCGATGAGGGAGAGACAGCTGCAATCAGAAGCAGCATACTTCCCATTGATTTGAATTGGGCTCAAGCTAAACCGGGTGCTGATTGATTCCCCAGTTACAAGGTCACCAAGGGCCTCCTCGACCGCTTCGGTGAGAAGAGGGTAATCGACTCTCCCATCACCGAATCTGGTTTCGCCGGTCTGACCGTCGGTGCTGCGCTCGCTGGCCTTCACCCCGTTGTAAGTATTTTCCAGCCCTCCTGATCGACAAAAGCAATGCTGACGGAGACAATAGTGCGAGTTCATGACCTTCAACTTCGCCATGCAAGCCATTGACCAAATTATCAACTCCGCCGCAAAGACCCACTACATGTCTGGTGGTATCCAGCCCTGCAACATCACCTTCCGTGGTCCCAACGGTTTCGCTGCTGGTGTCGCTGCCCAGCACTCGCAAGATTACACTGCGTGGTACGGAAGCATTCCCGGATTGAAGGTTGTCTCGCCATACAGCGCAGAGGATGCCAAGGGTCTGCTTAAGGCTGCTATTCGTGACCCCAACCCGGTCGTCGTCTTGGAGAACGAGTAGGTTACATTGATGGCGCAGTTGATATGCACATTGCTAACGTAAGCTAGGCTTCTGTACGGTCTCTCTTTCCCCGTCAGCGAGGAAGTCCAGAGGGACGACTTTGTCATTCCTGTAAGACACCCCACCTTTTTACCCACTGACCAGCATGCTAACTGTACCCTCAGTTTGGAAAGGCCAAGATCGAGCGCCCCGGCAAGGACCTCACCATCGTCACCCTCTCCCGCTGCGTCGGCCAGTCCCTCGTCGCCGCCGAACAACTCAAGTCCAAGTACGGCGTTGAGGCCGAGGTCATCAACCTGCGCTCCATCAAGCCCCTTGATGTAGAGGCCATTGTCAAGTCTGTTAAGAAGACCGGCCACATGCTCTGCGTCGAGTCTGGCTTCCCCAGCTTCGGTGTCGCAAGCGAAATCATGGCGCTTACCTGCGAGTACGCTTTTGACTACCTTGAGGCTCCCCCCGCTAGGGTTACCGGTGCTGAGGTCCCCACTCCCTACGCTCAGAAGCTCGAGGAGATGAGCTTCCCCACCGAGACTTTGATTGCCGACTACGCTGCTAAGCTGCTCAGAGTATAAGTGTCGAAGTTAGTGGTTAGTTCAATGGGTGGTTATAGCTCTGGGTTATGCGATTGATTCAGTGTATATCGCGCATGGACATGGGTGGGGGGGGGATTGGCGTAGGCAAGGATGATAGCTGGCCCGATTTTAGACCCGAAAGGCGGAATCCTTTCGGGCATCTTTATTTGTATGATCAGATGATGAAGACATTTGGAATGTTGGTTTTCTCTCTCTCCCCTTTCTGTTCTGTCCTTTCACTTGACTTGAGACTTATATCTGTGATGTGGTGCTTTGTTCGTTGTCTTGGGTTGGGGGAGTAGAAGTCTTTTTTCTTCCTTCGTGTCGAAAAAAAAAGAGGTGGGCTCGATAGAATATATTTTGTCGTAACAATATGACCTTGGAATTTTTCCTCACCCTTCAAAAATTTAGTAACCTAATCCTGTGTAGTCAGCTACATACATTTGAGTATATTGCGTAACGATCTTCACTGGCCCATTTTTTTGTATTAAAAATTTCATGAGATGAATAGATGCATGGGAGTAGTGTTTGCATTTTCTTTTCCATGCAGTCAAGTATTTTTTTTTAAATTTCTTTCACTATTTCCCATCTTGGGAGGATGGTGGGGGCGGGGGAGGTATAAGATTTGGGAGAACAACGTTGATTTGTGAGGGTTTTTTTCCCAAAGACTTCGAGCAAAGGGGAATTCATACGAAGAGCAAATTTGCATGTCGTATGTGGTTCTGATTGTTTTTTCTTCTCCTTTCCCTCTTATTCTCCTGTTTTTAAGGGAGATCTTTTTTTTGAAAGTTTATAGTTTCACTTGGGTAATAGCCTATGTTTTTTGTGATTTCTTTTGGAAAAGACTTATCAGATTAGGCTTTTTTTTTCTCGCAAGGCATTCTTCTATCAAAGAGTTTTGCGGGTCGTCAGGTGGTTGGCTTGGATTATGGGGTGGTGAGGGGGGACGAGGTAAGTGGGCTCATGGTTTTGTGGGGTTGGGTGGTGTCATGGGACTTTTCTTTGATGGGAGAAGAGGAAGAGGGGCTGATGGCGGTTCTTGAGGGTTGGTGGGTAAGTCAGTAGATGGGTGTAAATGAGGAGTGGTGGAGAAATATGTACCAGGAAGGTGGGGAGTGCTGGATAGGCTGGGCAGACAGGGGATAGGTGAGGGGGAAGAGTAAGGGGGGTTGCTGTTCGTTTATGAGAATATTTTTGCGTTGCCGAGAAATCTTAGAAGGTTCTATAGCAAGTGTTCACTTGTGCAGGAATGATATGGTGTCTACCATCTAACAAGAGACCAGATCAATTATATATGCTTATATGATCTTTGAATTCATCAAGCAAGACTTCAGTGTCAAGTTGTAGTGTCCAGGCTCTTAGTTTCGAGTCGATCTGTGGCAAAGCAGAAACTTTTCGATTAGAGACTGGAGAGAGTGAATAGTCAGAAGTATTACGTATTGTTAGATCACTTCATGTCTGTTGAGAATTTCGCAGATATGGTTGGTTCAACATTGTCTGATGCTGTAATCTCCTGGCATGCTGTTCAAATCAGATGCACAGTTGGAAGAAGTCTAGACCTGGGTGTTAGTGTGTTGTTCTTTGAGACTGAATCTGTGTGGTGGAACTGTCTTGTGCGGGGGAGGGGAAGGAGCGGTCAAGAGCAGCGTTAAGTGAGGGGAAGTAAGTGGTACTCGTATTGACGAAAGACCGTCAGATGCCGAAACAATTCAATCTTTGCGGTCAAGTGAGTATGTCGGAATCTTTTTCCCGCCATGCACTTTATTTTCTCTGTGGGGGTAGTGGAATCGGTATGTTCCTATGGGGCACACATGGGCTTTTTCTCTGGCTCAAAACACCCCTGGCAGAATGGAGAAATTGTTGTTCGTGTGTGATTTTTGCAACCTGATGTAGATTTTGAAGAATTTTCTCTCCAGTCCATCTATACTACTGTAAAGATACCGAGGTAAGTTTGGTAAACCCTGAATGCTCGTTCAACCAGAGCAATCTCTCTGTTCCGAGATTTTTCCCAGGACCCCGCTTCCAAGGGAAAACCCAGAGTCCGGACGGTGTTCCATATTTACTTAGGTTCGAACACAAGACAGACAACGTTTACTCCGCCTTACGCGCGTTACTATCTGACACGCGTAGCCTCGGTGTGGTATATGTAGTAAGGCTACACCCAGTCGGTCCGAAGAAAATGTTCCTATTGTGGCAAATCGCAGAGTCACTGGAGGCTGCCCGTTGAAACCGCAGGGGCGAGTGCACCAGGCGTGGGTGGTTATTTCTTGGAAACTGGGGTTGTTGCAGGCCGTCATGTGCTTTCAACACCAAACTACGGCCGTAGAAAGGTATGGTCCATTATCGGACCGGGTACGCATGATATTGAGGGTCCTTCCTATTTGAGCTGTGTGGCGCCTAGAACTTGTTTCACGCACAATCTCGACCACTCCTTCAACGTCACCAGATACCACACCATTCAACAGACGACGGTTCAACAACATGTCGTCGCAACTGACTCGTTCAACAGTTGTGATCTACGTCGCAAACGGGAGGGAAGACGGGTCTGGAGTTCCGGCCCACAAGATCGCTCAGCGGACACGGCTCTGAAAGACGCACAGGGCGAGGTACCTGGGGGCGGGAAAACAGCGGTTCATCCCCAAAATGGTACCACGACCGCTGCACGCGGCTCCGCTCCTACGCCCACCAAGAAGGAGATAGCAATCGTATTCTGGGCCATGAAAGCCGGATCAGAAAAGCCAGATTCACAGCCACTCGAGCGCCGTACACCCCCGCAGGGGTTTTGTCAACGACCGTTGCTGCAGGTGCTAGGGCCCTTTGCCCCGCCTTCAACATGGGCTGATTCCCAACGGTACCAGGTCAAAATTCAAGTCCAAGCATTTGCTAACCCATTTGATCTATGTCCCGTTGGGTGTGGCTGCGATTATGCATTCGTCCAGAGCCTCGGCACTCTCCATGATCAGCACTAATTCAGCTACTTTCAGTTTCAACCCTCGTGAATTACCCCTCGACGACAACTAGTCATTGGACGATTTTTGTTAACATGCAACCATTTTAGAGGAGGTGGGTTTAGAGCCGGACCTCACCCATGACAGGAAATGACCACCGCCTCCTGTACTCTTGCAGTCCCAGTGTAATGGCTCTCGACCACCACTACAACTTGGAACTACTCTACACGTGGAATGTCCCATGGATCTCAACACCACATTCTCATTCTGTTAGGTGCATGTGACTCCCAGCCACCCTCAAAGATGCTACCTGGAGCGAATTGGCGGTTGTGTGGTCCAGTGTATATATTACATCTGGCATGGCACATGATTTTGTGCAGGGAGTGCATCTGGACCAATTCTTGATCTGGGTGTGGATCAGTGTAAACCTGCCCAAGTATGCTCATCGCCAAAAGGAACTGCATATCCTTCCTTGGCATAAGGACAAGGTCTGTTCGAAATGGCATTGCTCATCATCTTCATCTGACGATAAGGCAAAACCCGGTATTTTTCACCGCTCCTCGGACTGCTACCAAATCTATTCCAAAGGTTGAACCCAGCACATATCAAGAGCATTAATCTCCGGAGCACGAAAGTCCCGTGTTTTCCGATTGGACTCATCGAGTACGTTGGCCTGGGAATTTTGGATGCATAATCAACACTGAGGAGGTTGTCGCGCTCTACCTCGGTGCGGCTGTGATGTTGGACAGCAACTGGCAAACACTCCCGTTCTTGAGCCCCCCCCCCACGCGACTTGCTTTACTGGAGATGGGTATGATCGACCAAGACCCTCTGTTGCAGACATGTAACAAAGCTCGACCAGGTGTTGTAGCCACTTGTGTGGCAATCCGTGTGCGCTTGTGGACTTTGGGTGAACACCATTGCGCCTTCAAGGTCCAGGGTGATCGCTCATACATCGAATAAGTCTCGAGCAATGCATTGCAACGATGCCAGATGTCCTGTCGTCACACCGATTACATGCTTCCACTGTACTTACAATGAACTCTAGATGATTCCCTTTTAGAGACGATTGTTGATAACAACATCATCAACGAAGCAGCACAGCGCCTACCATTTTGAGAAACGGTTTATAAACTTGCCGCCAATGACACTGCGAAGTGCTATCGCCTTGTCGTGCTCTGTCGAATGACAGATAGTAGCGCCCTAAACTCTTGCCCTTTATGGCAGCTCTTGTTCGAAATCTACACTAGTATCTTGCCAGGATACTACATCCCTGTTTTTGTTGCAATGATCGTTACAATCTTTGCACACACTACAAAAGAGATACATGGCACAAGCATTCACACGCGCAGGGATACGCAGATGATGAGACAACTACCGGCGTCGGTTACAGAGCGAAGTTTACCGCCATCTACGTCTTAGATCAAAGACGTCACCACGTCATCTTGTTCACAAGTGCCGAATTTGACTACAATTGGAATCAATGGGATATACCGCTACTATACAAGCGACGATGCGTTCTGGTCGACCACATTCTGGAGTCAGGCATAACGTCGGGTAGCTGACAAAGTTCTGCGTGGGCGTAAATCAATACAAGGCTTGCCAAGAGCGCGGGGACATTGCGATTTTGGGTTACGCTACGGGCCGAGTATTGCATCAAGATGAACCATCACGCGTCTGGCTGCACGTAAGGCGTTGTATCCTAGCATATAGCTGCCGTCTAGGTGAAACACTACGCCAACCTGAGTCGCTACCCGATGTCATCCCAAGGTGCGCTTCCAGAAGCTAGTGAGAGCCGTTCGGCTTTATCGTTGACACTACGGTGTGACAGGCAGCCGGGTTTGATTGACCGATTCACCTTCCATATTGCGGGCACAATTGACCTCTGGCATATCTATGTGCATAGACAGCCACAGGCACGTGGCAAAGTACCGGCCAATCTAGCAGCTATTGCCGGACACTAGGAAGCAAGGCGCGCAAAACACATCGGTCCTCGCCGACCCTGATGTTTCAAGGACAAGCTCCAGGTTCGCCCAAACTCGGGGGACATTACCAATAACACGGATCGTCCAGCAGGGATCATGTCGATTACCACATGCCTTTGCCCAGGAATTGCGGATTCGAGGCCAACCACAAAGGATTGTTGGGGAAAAATTCGTTACATTGCCCGCAACGGTTAGTCTTTGCTCAGCTCCCAAGATGGAGCATTCTTGCACAACTCAACTCAGGAGTTGTGATGAGTAATGTCGCGGCAGTCCCAGCGACGCGACACAGCGGAGTGCATGGATCCTACAACGGCTGTGCAGCCACGTGCGGCACTTAAGTATCCAGTGATTCAAGTAGCAGGGGTGTTAATTCGGTCGTCCCAACCCGTCACTTCAGCTGAGGCCTAGGATACGCCCCATTATAGCTGCCGCGGCAAAATAACAGTTGCAATCCTAATCACCCCCTGAGCTGCACTATGTGCCGTGGGGAGGGAGTGCAAGAAACCAAGCACTTGCAGGGGAGAATTGGCTCGTTGGTAGCCTATCTGTGTGCCACAATACTATTACTAGATACTCAGCTAGCATGGTTTCTCTCTGACTGGTGGGGAATCAGAAAAGGAAGATCCACCCGTGGTTGCAAATCATGTCGTCAGGAAGGGTAGCCTGGAGATCGGTAATCGTCTTCGGACAATGGGCTTGTTTTGAGCAAGTGCTAGCAACGACCATCCCGCGCCACGCAACAGACATGCCGTAGTCTACTTCAAGACAGTTTCAAATTCTTGTCGATGGCTGGCTGGCTGTACCTACGTACCGCGGGGTACATGTGCTGTATGCCGGCTATAATATCCGCGGATGCTCCCGAGCGCTGCGCCCCTTGCCTTTTGCTTCTTGGGAGCCACTGTTTATTTTCATATTTCTTTTTTCTGATTTCGTCCTCGAGTCGACTCACCGTTTCGGTGCGCGAGACGAAATGACCTCGAGGTTTCCCACTGCGGAGGAGTTCGCGTCGTTCCCGCCGCCGAATTATGTCGACCCAATCAACCACTTGCCCATGGCACTGGGTGTTGTCATTCCAATGTGTGTCCTGGTCGCCGTTTTCATGTCATGTCGACTGTATTGCCGGACTGTTCTTGTAAAGACATTAGGATGGGATGATGGGTTGATGTCCATTGCAGCAGTAAGTTCAATATGCAAAGCCCTATTGCTATAGGTCGACAGCTAAACACTCGTAGGTGCTGTGTATTGGGAGCAACATCATGCTCATAATATCCATGCTGCCAGAGTACCAGATGGGCTATCATCTATGTATGCTTCTGCTCTCTGATATAACCAAGCCTAATGACTGATTTCAAAAAGGGGATATTCACCCAGAGAAACTCTATGGCTCGATGAAGGCTGCTCAGGTATGTCGTATGGGATATCAGAGGGTACTCGTGCTCACGCTTGTCTAGATGGGTATGGCTACTCAGCTGCTCTTTACTGCCATCACGACTTTTATGAAAGTCGCCATTCTTCTGACCTACATACGTAAGTGGGCATCAAGCTACAAAGTCGACCGAACCATGACCTAACACGAAGTGCGTAGGCATCTTTCCAGCCAAGCTCGACAGGTGGTTTTGCCATATGATGATATTCTACACAGTGACGCTAAACACGGCTTGCTTTTTCGTGACACTATTCCAGTGCTCGTAAGAACTATCCACACCTTTGACCTGAACATGGTGTGCTGACAATGAGCGTCACAGGCCGGCAAGCACGTACTGGAAAGTGTTCGAGTTCATTGGCACTGCCAAATGCCTCAACATCAAAGCCATATACTATTTTCACGGCGGACAAAATACCTTGAGCGACTTTGTGATCTTTTTGTGGCCTGCACGAAACCTCATCAATGTTCAGGTATCACGGCGACAGCGGTTGACACTGATTATGATGTTTTCACTCGGCGTAATGTGAGTTTACTTTGGTTTATTGGCTTACAGACCCGACCCTAACATCTCAATAGTGTATGCATTGCTGGGGTTGTACGACTCTACTTTACGTACCGGTATCTCGTCTCCTTCGACGCATTCTGTATGTTGTTCTTTCCTTTTACCTTGAGCGATTACATGATCCGCCCAAGCACAGATACTAAGACGGATTAAAACAGGGTATGGAGGCTCAGTCTTTATCATCATGTCCATTGAAAGCGCTGTGGGCGTCGCATGCGGATGCCTTCCAGGCTGCAAACCTTTGATGAACAAAATGTTTCCGCGCATCTTCGCCAGCTCTTCGCAGTCATCGTATCCCCGTCGGTCGGCACATTTGCGTGCGCACAAGGGCATCCAGGAGTCTTCTTCGGGAGCACGCTCGGTACAAGCATCGTTTAACCAGAAGGAAGATAATCCGAGCGCAATGGAAAAAGCGGTACGACGAGATACACCATCAAGCCATGAAGTAGTAGTAAGCCCGTCGAAATCGCATCCTCAGCATCCGGGGCTACGGCCGCCCAGTCGAGCCGCATTTCCCGGAGGAAGAAGAGAGGGATACAGCGAGCTGGACAACGGGAGCGATGACAGCATAGAAATGTTCTTATTATTGCAGCGAAACTAGAAGATGTATATCACGTTTTGTCTTTCTTGCGGAGTTTGCATCGATACCCTAAAAACCCGTACTATGTCGGGCTCATGAATACATGGTTAGTAATTTCAGTCTTCCCCTGACTTACTTGGATACCTCGACCGGGCGGTAGAAGTCCGGAGTCCGGGCTAGGCATCCGCCTCGTGGTGATGTTGAATAACATGGATTCCGCGGGCCGAATTGTGCAGAGGCTACTACGACATATGACAGGACTTTACTAGTACGCGTATGAGGCGGCTGGCCGCGGGCGTTATTTCGCAACAGTAGTTTTGTTGAATTTGTACCTGGTTATCGGGATATGGAAGCATGGAATATGCCTGCCGAGTGCTTATTCGGCCACGCTCCTCAGAGCAAAGCAGAATCCTTCGTCGGTCGGTTAGGATCCCATTCACCCAAACCGTAGCGCACAGACCAGTACATTTTGCACACTACTAGGCGAGATGACACGTGCCAGGTCGGCCACAAGGGACAAGGATCTATCTTGCAAGAATAGCACTGCATCAGCCCCCCAACCCAGCCCATGCTCGACCACATTACACGCATGAATCATTTCCTATCGCCCGCTTTTTTTCCTTCTCTGCCTTGCACTCCATCTACTCTTGTTGTTTGGCGAATTAGCGGGCGCTGTTGACGTCGCGGAGTAACAAAAACGTGACACTGGATGCAGATGGCGCCATGCATGCCAAACTTGACTAGTCCATGTGTTGCTGCAATCGCGCGGCCAGCCAGAGAGCCCAAAGCCGAAACGGACCGGTGGTGAAGACATTGATTCACGCTTTTGGGACGTGGGTTAGTAGATGCCGCGAGGAGAAATGTGAGGCGACTACGGAGGAATGGAGGGGTGTCCTTTCTCTTTTACTACTATTACTACTTATGTTTTTACACGGTGCTTGTTCCCCCGCCATTCTTCTTGCAACTCTCCCTTCACTATCGTGTCCCGACCATTTTTGCCGAATCGCAACTCGGACTTCGTACACCGAGAATTGTCTTTAGGGTTTGGTGAAGGATACTCGACCTTTGCTCTTCTTCGCTCTCTATTGGGGATCGTCGACTGTACTACCTGCCTGTCCATATCGCGGGGAGTACTAACGATAGCCTCGCGGACACGGACGTTATACGAGTGACCGTTCGGCAGTTAGTTTATTCTTTTGGAGACGAACAACCCTTTCCACATATCTCCTAGACAACATCTATAATCGCCGAGAACCCCGTGGACCCTACTTGCTAATCATGGCGACAACACCGGTTGAACACGCAACGACGACGGCCAAGTTTCCCACACGCCAAAAGCCGCTTCCCTATACTTTTGTCAATGGGCGCCGTACCCCTCTTTCGTCCATTCTCCCGCCCCTCGTCTTCGGTACCGCAACCTTCAACCACCTATACAATACTGATCCCTATGCCCTCGACACCACGGGTCTCGTCACATCGGCCCTCACACATGGCATCCGCGCTTTCGACACATCGCCCTACTACGGGCCCTCTGAACAATTACTCGGCGATGCGCTCGCTACACCCTTTGTCCGCGAGACGTTCCCGCGCAGCTCATACATGATATTGACAAAAGTTGGACGGATAGCAAGCGAGGAGTTTGATTACAGCAAAGAATGGGTGCAGTATAGCGTCCAGAGGAGTCTGCAGCGCATGCAAACAGAGTACCTGGATCTCGTATACTGCCACGACGTCGAGTTTGTAAGCGCGGCAGAGGTTCTGGAAGCAATCAAGGAGTTGCGCCGTATCAGAGACGAGGAGGGAACAATCAGATACATTGGTATCTCAGGATATCCGCTGGATGTACTGGGCGACTTGGCTGAACTCATTCTGCGCGAGACGGGCGAGCCCCTCGACGCAGTGCAGTCGTATGCAAACTTTACGCTTCAGAACCAGGAGCTCGCCGGCAAAAATGGTGTCTTGCGTCTGAAGAACGCGGGCGTCGATGTTGTCCCCAACGCATCGATTCTCGGTATGGGACTTCTTCGTCGTGAAGGCATTCCCGTCGGCGCACTGGGCGACTTCCATCCTGCGCCGTCTGATATCCGCGAAGCCGTGCGCAAAGCCAGCGAATTCTGCGACGGCTACGGCGAGCGCATCGAAGTCATCGCTATACGCTTCGCGCTCGAGACATGGATCTCGGCTGGCGCGCTATGCGGCTCCAAAGGCGACCCCGCGTCTGGCCTACCCTGGCAGCACGAATCCATCGACGACGTCGGCGGCTCTAAGCTCGGCGTCAGCGTCATCGGCGTGTCGCGCGCAGAGGAACTGGAAAAGACAATGTTGGTCTGGCGTTCGATTCTCGACGGCCTCGAGGGCGGCCAGGAAACCGCTGTCCAGGCTGGTCGCTGGTACCGCGCGTGGGAATGGAGTACGAATCGCCGAAAGGCAGTCCAGATTCTCGCAGAGGGTGTGCAAGAGGTCCTGGGTAAAGCCTTTGGTTACACCTGGGCGAGTCCTAACCCAGGCTATGTGAATAAGAGGGTCAAGATGGGCCTTCAGGACGACGATGCGTCTGCGTCTAAGGCCGGGGTATCGCATTTGACACCTGCGGCTAGCCCCGCTGCCTTGCCCGTGAAAAACGTAGCGGATGTTACTGAAGATGAAAAGGTCTTGCCGTTGAGGTAACACACGTGCGGAGGGAAGGAAATGGAAATTGTTGCATACCCCGTAGTAACGTTCTGAAAAACGAAAGTTACATACCCACGCCAATGTAAATAATTGCCTTTACGATCCTACTTACGTCTCCACCATTCTTCTTCTTCTTTTCTTCCGAGGGGTTTTCTACCAGTAACATGGAAAACATGGTCTGGTGGAATGTCAAGAATCAGAGATCCTAGGCTACATTGTCAATTTTCCCTTTGCGTTTTGTATATGCGTGTGCAATGGACTAATGATGGGTAAGGAAAGCTCATGTCATACGAAGAAGGAAAGAAAAAAAAAGAGAGATATCTCATAAGCTCATCACATTCCGAATCTCATGTCAATCTATCTTCAATAATATACACAAAAGAGAAAAAGAAAAAAAAGAAACTTCGCTTCCGCCTCCTCCCCCCCATTCTCTCCACGTGTTTTTCACAATTTCGCAAAAACCGTCGGCACAACCCCACCCATCTCAACCAAGGTACTCTTATTCCTAACCCAAGCCTCAAGCCCCCTCTTCCCATTCTCAACACCCACACCGCTCTGTTTCCAACCCCCCACGCTCATCTCCGCAGGGCTTTCACCCCAGGTATTGATCCACGTGATACCGGCCTCCAAGCGTGCAATAATTTTATGCGCTGTATTGAGGTCTTTGGTGAAGATGCCGGCGGCGAGACCGAGCGGGGTGTTGTTTGCGCGGGCGACGACCTCGTCGATGGAGGAGTAGGATAGGATGGACATTACGGGGCCGAAGATTTCTTCTTGGACGATTTTCATGGCGTCGGTGCAGTTTGTGAAGATGGTGGGTTGGACCCAGTAGCCTTGCTTGTATGAGGCGTCGGGGTGCGAGGTGAGCCAGGCTGGAGACTCTGGGCCGCCGTGGAGCAAGGTGGCTTTGTCGGTGTCGATGCCGTGTCGGATGTAGGAGAGGACTTTTTCGTAGTGCGGTTTGGAGACTAGAGGGCCGAAGTTTGTGGCGGGGGAGTAGAGGTCGCCTGGGCGGATGTATTGCATTTTTTCGAGGAGGCGCTGCTCGAATTGTGACTTCATGGCTTCGGGGACGAAGACGCGGGTGCCGTTTGTGCAGACTTGGCCTGTGGAGAAGAAGTTTGCGAGCATGGCGCCGTCGACGGCTTGGTCGATGTCGGCGTCCGGAAGGATGATGCAGGCGGATTTGCCGCCGAGCTCCATGGTTACGTATTTCATACCGCCGGCTGCACTACCTGCGACTTTCTTGCCCGTAGAAACTTGGCCGGTGAAGCTGACTTTGGCAATGCCAGAGTGCGAGGTGAGGTATGCGCCGACGTCGCCGCCGCCCTGGACTACGTTGAAGACACCGGGAGGCACACCAGCTTCTGTGTAAATGTCGGCCAAGACGGTAGAGTGGAGAGGTGTGAATTCTGACGGCTTGTAGACCATGCAGTTTCCAGCGGCGAGGCAGGGAGCAGATTTCCAGAGAGCGATTTGAATGGGGTAGTTCCACGCTCCGATGCCTGCGCACACACCCAGAGGACTCTTGGTTGTGTATACCCATGCGTCTGGTCGTAGCGGCGCCGTCTCGCCGTTCATACCGCCTCCTCCGACTAGGTTGGCGAAGAATTCCAAGACATCTGCGCCTGTGACGACGTCGACAGTCGAGGTCTCGGAGAAGGGCTTGCCCGTGTCGGTGGTTTCAATTCTCGCGAGTTCATCGTTTCGCGAACGCAGAATCGCTGCGGCCCGTTGGAGAATGCGCGCGCGTTCGATGGGAGGCGTGGCGGACCATGCTGGAAAGGCCTTGTGAGCAGAGGCTATGGCAGCATCGATGCCAGCGTTGGTAGTTGCGTGAATGTTCGCGACAGGCTGCGCAGTCGCGGGATCAATCGTTTGAAATGTAGATGAAGAACAGCCTGATTGTATCTTGCCGTCGTAGTAGGCAGAGCGAGGCGCATATGGGAGAGACATGGTCAAGGAGTCTGTTTGGCGCAATGGAGTAGAAGCAACAAGTGAGGATAAAACAGGGCTTGTACGGGGATGTCACGAAGATGGAAATACGGCAGGAAACAAATCAAGCACCGACTGTCCACTGCAAGGTGTCAGTTTTGTCCTTGAGAGATGATGTAACGTCAAGGTACGAGGTTTTGCGCCAACGTTTGTATATAGGTAGTCTATGCAGAGTGACAGCTAGAGGCAGGGGGAGCTTGTATGCAGCCGTTGCACTTTGCTTTCCCGTCTGAGGTTAGTCAACGAAGAAGCGGATCGCGTCGGACAAAAAGATGGTCTTGGTGGTACGTATGCCAGGAAATGGAGGGCAATGCGCAGCGGTTTCCAGCGGGATGGCGCGACGTCTTTGAGCTCAGAGTTTCTCGCAGGTGGCACAAAACGCCTTGTCTGATGGCTGTCGTGCTCACCGCCTTTGGATCGGGTAAAGTGCGGCGTGGAATGGCAGGGATCCCACGCTCGGAACTCGCACAATCAGCGGGGTGCACTAGTCCCAGTACGGAAATGGCGTCATTGGTCAGTTTTGCGACGCTTTTTTTGCGTTGCTGACCTCGCGACCGATATGGGACGAACGAACGGCGGGAGAGAAAGCCTTTGGTCCCTTCAACACCATCAGCAGACAAGATACAGCTCTCGTCTTTGATTCGTCGCCAACAACCCCTCCCTCCTTTAGTTCACGTTTCCCCGCTCAGCCATCGCATTCCCGCTGACACGCACAGCTAAGACGTTGACCAAAGCACGTGCATCGTTCCGGCCCTATCGTAAACGGCCCTTTTTAGGCCCTCTTATCTTGGAAAGCAAGTTACACATCCTGCAGCGGAACTACGACACGCCATCCGCCCAGCCTCACCACTCAATCGACTCCCTTTGGGTATCCGAGTCTCTGCCGATCGTGACCCCCAGGTCCGTGCTGACAAGACTGACCTTTTCACGCCATAGTCTACATACATATAAGCTTGCCTCTACGTGAAAACTTGGTAGAGTCCAAGGAAGTATCCTCCTCACCAATTTATCCCTCTTCATCCTCGACCCACACGCGACCATGGCTTTTGAGACTGTGACGTCCATCCCCAAGGATGCCGACTACGACTTTGTCATTGTCGGAGGAGGCACAGCTGGCTGTGTCATTGCCTCGCGCCTCACAGAGTACCTGCCCAACAAGAAAGTCCTCTTGATTGAGGCTGGCCCAAGCGACTTTATGGATGACCGTGTCTTGCTTCTCAAGGACTGGCTCAACCTTCTCGGAGGAGAACTCGACTACGACTACGGCACTACCGAACAGCCCAATGGCAACTCTCACATCCGACACTCACGTGCAAAGGTCTTAGGTGGCTGCTCCTCACACAATACGCTCATCTCCTTCAGGCCGTTTGAATACGACTGCAGGAGGTGGGAGCAGCAAGGGTGCAGGGGATGGAGCTTTAAGACGTTTATGCGCGTGCTTGACAACCTCCGCAACACCGTTCAGCCCGTGCACGAGAAACACCGAAATCAGCTCTGCCTTGACTGGGTCGAATCATGCTCAACCTCTTTGAACATTCCTGTAGTTCACGATTTCAACCACGAGATCAAGACCAAGGGTGCTCTCAAGCCTTCAGTCGGCTTCTTCTCGGTGGCATACAATCCTGATGATGGTCGTCGAAGCAGCGCCAGTGTAGCCTACATCCATCCAATTCTCCGTGGCGAGGAGACTCGCAACAACTTGACCGTCCTTACCAACGCATGGGTCAGCAAGATCAACGTGTCAGGCAACAAGGTCACTGGTGTTAATATCACCCTCCAGAGCGGCGAGAAGCTCACCCTCAACCCCAAGTGCGAAACCATTCTCTGTGCAGGTGCTGTCGATACCCCCCGATTGATGCTTCTGTCCGGTCTTGGCCCCAAGCAACAACTCTCCGATCTTGGCATTCCCGTTGTCAAGGACTTGCCCGGTGTCGGTGAGAACTTGCTCGACCACCCAGAGAGCATCATCCTCTGGGAGCTCAACAAGCCTGTTCCTGCAAACCAGACTACCCAGGATTCAGATGCTGGTATCTTTCTGCGACGAGAGGTCCCCAACGCGGCTGGTGATGATGGCGAGGTTGTTGACCTCATGATGCACTGCTACCAGATTCCTTTCTGCCTAAACACTGCTCGGTAAGTTGAGAATGACTTTCAAGAAGAACCAAGTTCTAACGTATAACAGTCTGGGTTACGACTCTCCTATCGACGCCTTCTGCATGACCCCCAACATTCCCCGTCCCCGCTCTCGCGGCCGCCTCTACCTCACTTCTGCTGACCCTAACGTCAAGCCTGCTCTTGACTTCCGCTACTTCACTGACCCCGAAGGCTACGATGCCGCCACCATCGTTGCTGGTCTCAAGGCTGCGCGAGAAGTCGCCAAGCAAGCCCCATTCGCCAACTGGATTAAGCGCGAGGTCGCACCTGGCCCCCACATCACTTCTGATGAGGATCTTTCCGAGTACGGCCGTCGCGTCGCCCACACCGTCTACCATCCTGCCGGTACCACCAAAATGGGCGACATCACCAAGGATGAGAAGGCCGTTGTCGACCCTGAACTCAAGGTCCGCGGCCTCAAGGGCGTGCGCATTGCCGACGCTGGTGTTTTCCCCGAGATGCCCACTATCAACCCCATGTTGACTGTGCTTGGTATCGGTGAGCGTGCTGCCGAGCTGATTGCGCAAGAGTGGGGCTGGAAGGGTCTTGAGAAGCAGAAGTTGTAAGCGTGGGATTGTGGAGAGAGCGAAAAAGTGGGCATTCGACCAGGCATTTTTTGTTACGATTAGATGATGATGTGTGTGTACCATTTCCCTTTCATGTCTGTATATCTTGATGAGTAGAGTAGTTATTGCTTGGTATTATTACAATGTAACCAGAATTACGAACAAAAATACCCCCTTTTTTACAAGTTCATGGATTTTTTTGAATCTAATTTATGTGATTTAAGTGTGTTTTCAGTTCAATTAACCCATACAAGGAAGGAGACTTCAGAGCTCCTCAAGTCGAATCGACGCTTCCTTCGCTTTCGATGTCGAGAAGCTTTCGACGTTTCCGTGTGCGTCTGTGTTCCCGCGCATTTATCTTGTACAAAAAAAAAGACCCCCAGTCCAGGAAACCCGACTAGTTACCCAAAGCGAAAAAAGTACAGCTGAATCGCCTTGGTAGTGCCTGTACAATCGCTGTGTCGGTTGGACAATATACCAAACGCCCGTAGGTTGTCGCTGTCTCGTGAACATGTACAAAGACTCTCAGTTATCAAACTGAGCCGTCAAGCTGAATCGTCAAACCGAGTCGTCAAGCACTCAGTCATCAAACTCAAACATGCTGACCAGACCATCATCTTCTCCCGCGTCCTCCTCCCCCTCCTCGCTGTCACTCTCCTCGTCAGTATCAGCAATAGCGAACCGATCATCAAAAGGACCACCGCCCCTCATCTCCTGCTCGCCCCAACCGGTCTCTTCTCCAGCCTCAGCTTCCTTGGTTTTTGACAGATTCTTATCCTCGCGTACGAAATCGCCTGCAGCATCCGTATCATGCATATCAAGCACATACCTGCCCCTCGCATCGGTGAACTCGCGCTGGGACATCTCGCTCTTGATGCGTGCCTTGCTCTTTTTCTTGTCGGCCTCTTCTTTCTTGGTGAGCCACTTGCAGATTGGGGCGGGGAGTTCGTTGCGGCCGAAACCCGACTTGGCGAGGCCCCAGCTGGTGAGGGAGGCAGCGTACTTGTTGGTGGTGGAGAGGGCGGCGGCGCTGATGCTCCGCGTGGCTTTGCCCATGCCCGAGGTGGCGAGGGCGCCGACGTACGAGAGGGTTGCGCTGCTGACTTTGGTCATGGCGTGGTTGGAGTCTTGGAGAGCCGCGGACCAGGTTCCCGGGAACGGATACGAGGGGGACTGCTGGGGGGTTTGGGGGTTAGTGGGGATGAATGGAAGAGGTGTGTGTTTGGGGCTCACGTTTGCGGTGGGGGTTTGAGGTACGAGGTGCTCCCAGTCTTCGGTGCTCTCTAGCGACTCGTATTCGGAGAGAGAAGAGACTTCGTTGTCTTCATCGTCTGTGACTGCAGGGATGTCTGCTGGGTTGATGAAACGGGAGCAGAATGCTTCTGGCTGTGCTTGACGCGGGACTGAACGCTGGGCATGCAACACTAACTGCTTGTTGCTCTGGGCTTCATCTTCACTGTCGTTTTTCATGCCGTTGAGATAACCATACTTCTTGGGGTTCGACTGATTTCGACCCTGAGGGTGCTCGCGGCGGGTACGAGAGCGGCCTCTGGATCTGCCCCTTGCGCCCTCGTTGCTGCCTGCAGCCTTGCGCCGCGACCTTCTAGTAAAGCCCATGACACTTACCGTGTACAGAGCTTGGACTTGCTATATCTTCTCAGTGTCAGTATGCGAAACTACGACAGTGTCCAAAAGCAACGCAAAAAACAAGCAAAGCGGCACGAGAGTTCCCGTGCGGTGATGACGAGGTAGCGACTGCGACAAGAGATTCTTGAATCGGTTGAGGAGATGGTAAGAAAAGAAAGTGAGTTTTGGCGGGAGCGCTGCTGGGTTGTTGTAATCAGGTCGCGCTGCGCGTGAACCTGGGTTGTGAGGGTGAGTTGCTACAAACGACTAGTGAGACGTCATAATGTATACAGTGATAGCTAGTAGAGGGGAAAGTGGAGTGTTTGCAGGACAAACGGTCGGCGTTCGTAGGTGCCAAGGTTTTGAGGGACTTATTCGGGGTGGATGGTCGTCCCCACACGATTCGCGACCGAATCCAAAGGTAGCCTTACGTTATACAAGGCTGCGGTAGGCCAGTGTGGTTCGGCATGCTCGTGACGATAACCTTGGGATTGCTCTAGCCCTTTGCGAAATTCAGTTGCTCGTGTGCTGTCAAAAGAATCAGAATCTAGTGTAAAGAGCTTTCATCTTCTCGCTCTCGAGCCAAGGTGTGAAAGCGCGCACACGTGATCTCGATGGTTGCGAGGCAACATGTTATGCCGCTTCAACAATGTCTGCTAAGTTTCTTTATGGAACAAAGGTCACCAAAAATCCTTTATTGGGGTACAAATCTTCAGTTTACGCTCTATATTAGGTAGTGTGGTCCGTCGCGCGCTCAGCACGCGGTGACACAGAGTGAAAGCATACTCAACCATTGCGAGAGATTTCCCAAACTCTTCTCACTACCAAACGAAGGTTTGTTTCAGGGCTATCAAAAACCAAACTCTTCCACACAATCACCCTGTGTGCTTTTCCTTGGCTCGTTCGCACATCTTTTTGACTACTCCACACTCAATCTGCCCTGAACAACCTATATACCACCAGCATATACAAACCCAAATTACATGTCAATATCGACCATAAAATGGCTAATCGAGGTTTGTTGAAAACTCGTCTGACAAGACTATCGCACACACTAACTTCCTACAGCTGTATACATCTCCGCTCAGGACCCAAGGCGCGTGATGCGCGAATTGCTAGACATCATGCATAATGACGAAGACAACAACCACCTGTCACTTTCCTGTATGAGAGCTATGGAAAGGTACCTCGTCGCAAACCTCCACCAGTCGTCGCTTCCAGTCTCGCTGCTCGACGAGATTCGCGCGGCTGATGACCGGGCCATCCAACAATCTCGCATGGCCGAGGCACCTAGCGGGAACAGGAGGATCTTACGATGGATTGCGAATGTGAATCCGATACCAGTCGTTGATTCAGGCGAGAGTCACACGAGAGTACCGCGTAATATCACTAAGTCCTTCTTGCTGACCAAATACGACCTATCCGTCGATGAACCTGCACCGGTACAACACGAGGCACCACCAGCTCTTCCGAGTACAAGAGGTTCATCGCCGACTGAGAGGGCTTCTAGTGTCAGTACTACTAGGGATAATAGGCTACCGCGTGATGTCAACCGGGCCTTCTATATGGCTGGCGACGACGAGACGGCTATCGATGAATCTCTACCAGCCTATCACAAACCACCACTAGCTCCCCCGAATGCACGCAATTCGTCTTCGACCGAGAAGGTTTCTAGTGCTGGCACTTCCAAGGAGAATAGATTACCATGTGATGTGAACCAGGCCTTCTATATGGCTGATGAGGACGAACCAACATCATCTTCTCAGCCTCTCCTCGCTCAAACCTCGACCGAGCAGACTTTGGCACCTGTGAGGAACAGGTGGGTCTTAGGGGAGATTTCGAATACGGTTTTGAGACCAGTGACTGGCCCAGGTGAGAGCCATCTAGGAGGAACGCGTAGTATCAACCAATATTTCTATGTGGCTGAAGATGACGGGCCGGTCATCAATGAATCTCCACCAGTGCCTGAACCAGAAGAGAGTCATTTGGGAGGACCGCTTAATTTCAATCAATCCTTTTATATCGCTGAAGACGACCCATCCTTTGACGAGCCTCCACCAGTCCACCATGAGCCACCAAGAGCTCCTCTGAATCCCCGCACTCAACCTTCGATCAGGCAGCCTACCCGTGTCAGTAAACCCAAAGCTAATACTCAACAAACCGCCAGCTCCACCCTCCACCCAACTCAAATTGACCAGCCATACCGGAGGTTACTCACCAACGCCAACTACGACGCAGCCGTAACCCTCGAGGAACTCGAGCAGACTTTTATCGAAGAGACAGGACCAGCAGACGACGGCTCCGACACAGAAGAAGCCACCGAACCCGACACCCCCAGCGACCTCAACACCGCACCCGCCCCCCACATCTTCGAAGACATCCCCAAAATCGTAGTCACCGACTCCCGTGAAAACATCCAAGCCATCGTCGACGTCGACCCCGAGCAACGTCGAGAAAAAACACCAGATATCCCCGAATACAACTTCCTCAAGCAAAAGAAAGCAGGGTTCTACGACAGAGCAGCCGACGAGCCGCAGCGCTTATACCCTTCTACGGTTATGGAGAGGAGAGATGCGCTGCCTCCTAGTTGGTCTGCGCGCTATAAGGGAAGGAGTAAGAGATCTGCTCGGCCTGCGTGCTCGTCGCCGCCGATTCAGAGAGCGGGCTCGGCGCCGGGGGCTGCTGCAAAGGCTACGGAGGTTACAGGGGGGAAGCAGGTGAGTGGTGTGGAGACAATGAGTACGACGGGGAAGCGGACGCGTGGGGCGGAACCGCGGACTACGACGAAGAGGCTCAGGAAGCCTGGTGGGGGTAGGAAAGATGTTTAGGTTTGGGACAATGAGACAAAGGCTATTGTGCGGGTTTTCCTTGTGGTTGGGTGTTTTTCTGGGTACTTAGATGTTCTTTATACCCCGTTTAGTTTTTTTCTTTGTCGTTATGTTGTTGTGCCAGAAGCTAGAAGATGTGTCCTTTGATCTTGCTTTTTTTAAATGTCGGTTCTAAGTACTAACGTGGATCCATTTGTAATGGAACAACCGCCGTAGCGGAACTACCAAACACTCCTTTTCTTTCCTCATAACATGAACAGCGACTGTATGCCTAGGATATCTTTAGAATACATTCTTTCAAACCTTACTCACCTTTTAGCTTAGTAGTTTAATTATAGCATTCTTGTTGTCTTTTTAGTAGCACGATAAGCCGTAAACCTAGACGCTACCGCTCCAGGCTACGAAGGCCTTACTTTTGCTCCTATATAACTATGAGAAGCTTTCGTAGACTATATGAAGCAGTAAAGAATTTCCACGCCAAGAAGCCTAACGTACATCCCTTCGTAATGGAACAACCGCCGTGGCGGACAAAATTGCTGGTACTTTCGCTTTACAACACTATGGTGGCATGCAGATACCATAATGGTTATATTTACCTATTAAAAAGTAGATTAGACTCGATTCTGAGTCAATATATGCCCGCGAACATAAAAATTACATCGGTGCATACACCTACCCTCTAGGTATGCGAGGGCACCCGCTTTATCTTAATAATGCGCCCTGCAAATTTTAAGGCCGCCACCATCAGTTCTGTCTGTCGCAACAAATCTGTCGCTTCTGTATACGTCTAGGTATTCAATAGGATCATCCAGGCCTACTCGCCAGCTGTAGGGGCTGGTATGTTGACTGATTCGCGGGTGATTGCCACACAGTTTTGGTACCTCCGTATCTAGTACACCAATCAGTAATGCTGACATGATTGGAGTTATCAAACTAGCTGAATAGAGGCAAACTCAGGATAACCAGTCACCTGACGCGTGAAGCTTACTAGATAAGCGTCACAGCGATAATGACAGCTCACAAGGTCAGGTACAACGGCCAGCAGATATCAAAGTAGGCAAGCGACAGCAAATCTATGAAACGACTTTACGCCTACGATCTCTCTATGTATAGTCGCGATCACGATCGGTTTCCAGATCTTGCGTCAGCTCTGTTCTTACCACACGAACCATGCCGTAGGGGTATTTCTACAGACGTGCTAGTGCTTTACAGGGGTGGTCGTGTAAGGTGCACTTTATAGTGTTACCGTGCAGCATTATATATACTAGACAGCTGTCCCCTCTGCCAGAACAATGCACTTGTTAGTCCTAATATAGTGAAATGGGTGTGTTCTACCAAACAATAGTTATACTTTTATTACTCAAAAACATTTCGGAATGACTAAGCAGTATGTCGTTCTCTATGTTCGCTGTAGATATCCTGCTCTTTAGCCATCATTCTATAGCATACAGAGAAGTGTTATCAAAACATGAACAATCTCTGGCCATGTGTCCAGGTAAGCCACATCTGAAACACAAATCATAGCCCCACCGGAATTCACGGACAGTTTTCTCTGAAGCGTAGCAATCTTTTCTCATATGGTTGTATACACCGCAACGAAAACACTGATTTTGCTCACGAAGTTCAGCATGGAGCGCTTGTTCCATAGCAATAGCCCTGTATTTGTCCGACTGACAACAATTGTTCGGTGTATGATATCTATTCGAGGTATCGTTTCGAGCTACAAGATACTTAGCGTTGTTGTTACAATGTGATTCCAGATAACTCGAGTAGGGATAGGAAAGATGTTCTCACCGTGAACCTTCTTTGTAATAGCCGTATTGATTGGAAGTGCACCTTCAACCTCGGTTGTTGGTATCACAGACAGCATTGCCTGGGCGCACGCTGCCGCTGTCGCCGCCGCATATGGCTGCCACCGCTTGCTCTTGTGCGAGTCCGCGTAGTCGGAGATGCCGCGGATCACCAGACACGGAAAGCTGTTCATAAGCCCAGCCGCTTCCATCTCGAAGCAAAGCACGCCGCCCAGCTCTGCGCTGATCCTGTCTCGTTCCGCCGCATTCCTTATGATTTGGTTGCCCGATGCGATCGTGCCGTAATGCACTACCACCTCTTGCTCTCGCGGCTCCCGATCTGCTAGATGGCTTTTGTCGCAATGCTTACATGTTGCTCCTCCCTCATGGTCGTACGTCGCGGCAAAGAGAGTATCCGAGCCGGCAGCTTCTCGCGTGAAACCTGGCAGGCTGTCTAGCTTAGAGAGATACTCAGACAGTCTGTATTTTCCCCTCATATGACTGGCCTTCAGGTTTGTGACCGCGTGAAGTAGGACTGGCGGCGGAGCGTCAAGCCACCCCGTGCGCTCAAACCCGCTCGGTGTAGCCTTGCCAGAATCGTACTGCACCACTCCGCCATGCACTTGATGCGGCTTGCTAACCACGACATCTCCAAGCCTAATATCTGCATCCTTGCTAGGCACGCCTCCTCCAACGCCTACCATCAGCGCAAAGCGCGTGGATGTGAATGCCAGCTTCATTTGCACAGCGACCGCGGCAGCTGAGTGGGTGCCCATTTGTCCTTCGGGCAGACATGCAATAACGACGTTATGCTTACCAACTCGACCGCAGGTGTAGATGTTAGTGTCATGGGTGCTGGACGGAGGCATGCCGTGCTCTTCGTCGAGCATCTCCTGCGCAGCCGCCAGCTCGACGGGCAGGGCGCACACCCAGCCTACCGTGTAGTCTTCGCGGCGCAGCTGGCGCGCCATGAGTTGCTATCAGTAAGTTAGGAACACAGAGAGGCTGTTGTGAGCACTTCTGGTGGAGAGAAAGTGGGTGTTTGTGAAGAGATAGTCTGTTGGCCTGGCGGCAACGTTTGCTGCTGCTCAGCCTTGCGGCCTACACAGTGGCCTGCATGCCACAGCATGTCAGCAGGCTGAGATGCAGGCTGAGATGCAGGCTGAGATGCAGGCTGATTGAGGTGTGGACGAACGCTGACTCCATGCCGTGGACATGGCTGTGGGCGCGCGGCAAAGGTCGCCCGATTATTGGCCAAGCGTGCATCGATATGCCTGACCCCTAGCCTCGCAACTGCCTGCTGCTTGGGAATCCGTACCGTCCTCGCTATGCTATCATTGTGGACCTTCCTGCAAGGCACATGTGTCTTCTACATGCGATCAATAATGCGTTCACTTTCTATCCTATACTCGTGCAAGCAATAGCTAAAGTCTATCTGCAGCTTAGAATAAGCACAGTGTAGCGCCAAAGGGTTGCATGTCAGAGACGAGGCAAACGGACTAGTAGTTATTGCTTTGTTATTTCCTAATTCAATCTCTAGATGACGGAGATAGAAGGCTTGAGGGTAGTTCTAGGGTGGTGGTTTAGCGGGTCGGTTGGACACTTGTCGGCGGGCAATGCAGAAGGCGAGCGAAGGCATATACTTGATACGGATTGGGGATATACTAGCGCTCATTCTTAATAGGAAATTAACGCTTTCTCCTTAGCGGGACTTAGGTATTGCTGGCTCTTAGTTTTGGCCTTCTTTAAAGGTTGACCTCGATGCTGATAATGAACAATGGTGCGAGGAACGTTACTATCTTTAGCTCTAGCAGAGATGCTGTTATGCACGTTACGAGGCAACTCTAGGACTAATGCCTTACTAGCAGGGTCTATCGTTACTTTAGTAAATATTACCGCTTCTTATATTAAGTGCATATCCTAGTCGTAGATGTTTTTCACGTTTATGCTAATAATAGAATAAAGACTAATAGAAAGTGCTAGAAGAAAAGTCATATAATTGACTCAAAGAAAGTTTACGTAAATATTTATTCAAGATAATAAAGCTAGGTCCGTTACGTTAAACCCTCGTGGCTAATTGTACTAATCGCTTCCTTAACGGAGAAATTTTCTTATTGCTACTACAGATCGTTATCTAGTATGTTAAGAGAAGGAATTAATACTATTATACCTAGAGAGTTACTTGATATATCTGATAAGGAAATCTAGAGTAAAATAATTGCGTAGGCTGAGATGCTAGCGAAGGCACAAAATATTGCCGCCAGCGTATAACGACCTACGGCCGCACCACTACGTATTTTTCCATTCGAGTATTAGTAATCTGTAGAATGTATACGAGCACAAACGATAAAAGTTCGTGAATATCTTTCAACAAGTTTTTCTGCCTCTTATCTGCTTACTCGGAGAAAAGTGTTCCGGTACACCGGTTGTTCCGGTACGAAGGGATGTACGTTACTACTTCTAATAAGCTAGCTGTGTTAGGTAAGTTCAGCGCCGATAGAGGCTCAACTAAGGGCTAGTAGCGCATCCAGATCTGGGTGCTGCCGAATGAATCACCTCTATCTCGTATTGCACTGTGTCATGTTTATCTAAATCACGCGAATGTACCTATAAAGATGTCGATATTGACACTACTGGTGTTTTGTGAGAGGGATGCCGTGCATTGCGATGGTATAGTCGAAGAATGCGCCACTTCGAAAGACAGGAAGTTCTCCTTGGTAACATGGACAGGGTGGTGATTAGAGCCTATCGTTAGGCTACGGCTACGGGTAAGAAGGTAACAGCGACGTGGATCTGAATTTGTCGAAATGAGAGCGTTTAGCTTTGCTCTTTCGTGCGTTATCGATGTGTACTGCGGCTCTCAAGACGCAGGCGCGCTTAGTATATCATGAGAACTCGCCTGGCAACTCGGAGCGAGCGTGTTTCCCAAGTATAATGAAACAAGGAAGAACAGTTTGGGTGGTGTTTGTGAGATTCTGATACAGCATCGGAGGTGATATTTGGTGGATACAGGTCGGCAGATTGATCTACCAATCATCACATATTTCACATCGACGTAGCTAAGGTTCAAGCTAAATCCCCTGGAGCGTGTATCGCAGTTCTTCCCTGCACTCTAGTGAGGAGCTTTGCGTCATCCCCTGAGCCATCTAAGCCGCGAATGGAAACATGAACCACAAGCACAACCGCTACTCACGACATTTTTAGAATCGAGATGAACCATCCTTCTAACATAGCTGGAACGTCAACCGAAGTGGATATGACGCACTTTACACAGGATGCTCTATGCTATCTATCGTTGTCGATGCCGGCTTCACCGGCGATATGGTAACATCCGAGCTAACTGCCGACAAATTTCCTAAAAACATAAAAAGGTGGACTGGAGATAGTGCTATACTAAAGGTAATTCTAGGTGCAATAGAGTTATATAATTCACAACTACGTGCCGTGACGTATGGTGAGACGGGAAATTTTTTCTTTCGGAGGCCTGTCCGGGTTACTTTAAGGTTTCTTCTAGCAGCCTATGTCAGACTACATGAATCAAAGACTTTAGCTGACTCAAAGCAACAAGTCACTGTAGCAGCAACAAGGATGCACTACTTTAGCAAGAAAAAGCAGTAGCTATACACTACTGATAAATGAATACCGTGGATAGTTCATAGCGATGGAGAATACACAATATGATATCAACACACAACCCCGTACCTACACGTACGATAAAAGGTTGTCAGCAATGAAGTCGGATATTACTATATCACCAGTAAAGCCGAATCTCTAATCTTAGGTAATCGAGTCAGCAATACTTCAAGGGCGCGTGGTCTTTGAGAACTATCTTTAAGGCAAAACATAAGCGTGTTTATCAATAATTGATGTAATGTCTATGACGTAAAGATAAACCTTCACGGAGAAGTAGCCCTCACTTAGAATTAAAAACTCTAAATACTTGTCAGCCGGAGAACGGCCGATACAAGCACAGTGGAGAGACTAGTTTTTCGGCCATATTTGCACTGCGTATATAAAGGCCGCTGCTGCCTCCTCCTCCACATCTTCTGGAAATAGGGAAGGGACCATAGTCAAGACTCTTTTCCTACTTAAAACTGACACATCTACATCACATATCACATATCACAGCCTACAAACCCCACGCTTTGCAATACATTTCCCAGCATGAAGCTCTACAAAAACCTCCTTCCCGTTCTCTTCACCTTGCTAGCCACTGCAGCTGCGGTATGTTTAGAAGAACTTGTTTTCCCGAGCTGTATTCGACGAGGCTAACGGCGTAAAACCTTTGTTAGCAATGTGCAAATTGTAACAATGAATTTGACTGCACGACGTTTGCGAGAAATAATTGTAATGGAGGGGCTGGGTGTCACGCTGGTTGCTGTGTATGCGGGTAGGGCGGGCTCCATCGAAGAAAGAGGCTGGGGATGGTTGCTGTAGTCAGATCACAGGTGCTGTTAGGGGTAAATACTCTCGGTGAAGCTCTATAAGAAATGGCTCTACGGTTGTTTGCAAGTTTTAATCTGGTGCTAGGTAGAAGCATCAACTACAATTGCGTGTTCGGTAGCTAGAGTGTTTCTTACCAAAGTACGAAGTCGTTCCTGACGCTCTTACCCATCAAACATTATATCAAGCCACTTCATATATCCCAACTCAGCCAACACAACAACTATTAACAATTAAATAAGTAAAAATATACCTGACCAATAGTAAGAAAACATCCAGCTCAGCAAAATCAATATGTACCTCTCAAACAGCCTACATAGCCAAGATGGCTCAATTATATGATTCGAAAATTTGCAGCCTTTTCACCAAACTCTGCGCCATCAGTGACGCCCCGCTTCATACGAGCCGGTACAACAGTAGGTCCAATATGAGCGCAACGAAGTGACATAACCGGCTCGGTGTTAGTTGCCATCCCAGTTACCTCACTGGCGTTGGAATCATTGGTCCTCCGCAACGTCATCGGCAGGGCCGAGCCTCTGACTCGGCAAACCAGGTCCCCTGGCCGCGTGACGCGCGAGCCCATACCTACGAGACCCGATGCCGTACGGTACACGATACGGCACATTGATGGCCACGTCATGCACTCGAGGAATCCGCCCGCGGTGGCTCCTTCTGCGCGTCGTCGCAGCTCAATTTGCGCCTCGGCCGGCAGGCTGTCGAAGAGTGAGCGAACAGGCAGATAGCTCTTGTCGTCATCATTAACATCACCGGCTTCAGATAATGCGCCGCGAAGCAGCTCGTGATACTCGAGAATGTAGGCGGCAAACGATCGACGGTGTTCTTCTAGTGTCTGACTCGACCCTATATCGCTGTTTGGATCATCCTTTTCCCGCGTGCCGAGCGAGAGGGCCATTGAGAGTGAGTCCAACACGGCCAGCGCGTCGCCACCAGGGCTTGTGAATGTGTTGTTTGGCTGTTCAATAGGGTAGATCAGCTCCCACACGTGATCGAGCCAGAAAGGGTTTTGCTTTGTCCGTTCTCGTGCCAAGTGCGTGATTGGGAAGTCTGTCGTTTCCATGCGGCGCGAAACAGTTGAGATCTCGTCGATCACCCAACCTCGTACCAGAAGGTGTGGGAGCAATGTCCCATTCTCACAATCAAGTCCACCCTCGAAACAGATCTCGTCATCCTCAGTGGCGGTCGCAGCTATCGGGTAGTCGATCGGTGTGGTACGGTTAATGCTATGCCAGTCAGGCACCCAGCTGGGCATCCTAGCTTCGTGCTGCGGGTCCCAATCCGATTCCTCCAGGGAAGGGCCATTCTCGTGGTCGACAAAGCTGACCACGTGGAGATTCCTCGTCTTTTGGATGAAGTTGACGGCTAGCCTCGTATATATGACCCCACGCGTACGCGTGTAGTCAGGTTGAATTACAGGCTCGCCGCCAAGGATGGCCATAGGGTGACCAAGTAGACTGAAGATACGGTCACGTGGGTCACTTACGCCCAATATGCGCGTCCAGTGCATAGCAGTCAGAAAGTCACACTTGGGCGTATCATCTTCCTTAGTAGCCCAGACCATCACGATGTGATGGGCGACCCACGACGATAGACTGAGATGTGTCACGAGCGAGGCACCGCTGTAATCCAAGAACTCGACGAAGCGGCCTGTTAGTCCCCAGTCGATAGTGTCGACATCTAGGGCCCAGTTTCCGTCCTCGACAGTAGTTGCATGGCCAGGAGGGTTCTCCTTATCAGCTTTGGCACTGTCGTCGGCGGGCTTCAGGGCCGTGATCAAGAGAGCCTGGCGGGCGAGGCCAAGCTCCTGCACAATCCACGCTCGGTGGAAGTATTCAATCTCGAAGAAAAATCTGACAGCCTCCCACTTGTATGCCTGCTCCTCAAATCGGCGCCGGTCGTCTTCGGATAAGTGAGCGACATCCGCCGAGGGGTCAGCTAGGTAGTCGTGCTGAAGAAGGATGCGCGCGTCGCAGAGACCAGCCTCTGGGTCTTTCATGAAATCGTGTATGAAGCGGATGGCGTCCTGGATTAGGAAGCGGCCAACCTCGCTCGTTTCCCAGCCGAGCCACGAAAGGACACGGCTCGCGCCGGCATAGATAAACGACATGAGTTTGACTTGGGAGAGACGTTCTTCCAAGTCCTCCTGGTTTATACACACTGCGTCGACCCATAACCGCCGTACTGGTTGTCTTTGCGCTGGTGCCTTGCCCACATCTAGCACTTCGCTGCTCCCAGCAACCGGTCGGTGTCGGTAGGCTGTCAGCGCCCCATGCAGGTTCTCTGTCACAGACAGCGTCGCTCCATCGATGGTGATGTCGCGCCGCTTTTTTGGGTCACCCCAAACGTATGATATGGCCTCGTACGGCTCAGTGTCCATCGCCTGCGGCACCAGCCGCCCGGCTATGGGGTCCGAGAATTCGCCGGCATCAAGCTCAAAGACGCGGATGAACTTAGGGGCGAGAGGGTGATAGAAGTCGGGGAAGGGATTATGGCTTATATCCTTCATGCTGATCGGTAGTGGAGATCTTAGTATAAAGCAATATGTCTACTAAGACGGAGCTACCATACGACGGTGTCGGGCAAAAGTGGGGTGACGGCTTACACAGTCCGTGCACTGCAGGGATGCCCATAGTTGTGCCGCGCTCTGATTCGCTACATACAGAATCCAAGTGCTCGGACCCGCACCTACAAAGTAAGTTCTGCAACTAACTGGGGATTTGCATGACCTAGGGGGACATATTAAGTAATTACTTTACATTCAGAGTATAGCTTATGCATCTTGGCATGCTGATTTCAGCCTATCTGTCTATCTTGCATGACGCAGTACTGTACACTATATCGTGACACTGAACTCACATAGCGTAATCCATCTATCCAGCTATGTGTAGATTCTGAGAGCAGATACCTACCAAAACTCTTGCATAATCAGAATAGAATGTATTTGGGTAGATTTGGATGTCGAAGAAGCACACGATTTTGATACCTTCAATTCGTTTCTAAAATTACCATATATCTTCTCTTTGACAAGTCTGCCTCTCGCAAGGTTAAATTACAATTCCGTAGCTACTATTACTGCCTAGTTACAAATGCAGTAGCCTTGAGCAACGAGCTTTGAAAAGGAAATGAATTGGGTTTTCGAGTTCGAGGAAAAGTATATAAGCGAGCCTATTGGCTGAGTAAGAGACGCAAAGTGCGGGCTGTTGGGGAGCGAAAATAGCCGGATAAATCCACTCCAACTATCAGCCCAAGTCACAGCAAAGGTTACTATAGATAGCGCAATCAAATACACAAAAGTGCTAGAGATTTACTTACTATAACAATGTTTGTTTACTGAGTTTTTATAGCTAAGTAGTGCGTGGTGTTGGCGGTATGGAGTTGTGGTCGGACCACCTTTTATCCGGCTATCTCAGTTACACAAGAGGCGGGGTCGTTTCTGCGGACGTGTCGCAAGATTGAACATCTTCACCGCAACCTAAGAATGGCTTCCTAAGATCCTCAACCAGATTCGGAATCATATTGGCGACGAACCCCAACTTTGGCATTGAAACAAGCTCTATGCTTCTACTGCTGAGACACAACGTCCAATCTCAAGCGATGCAACGCTTGCCAAAGGGTCTCATACTGCTGAGCAAAATGTCAAAAGCAAGACTGGAATAGAAATCACAAGCAAATCTGCAAGATGCTTGTTGCTTTAAACAAGCAAAAAGGATATGTGCCCTTAGCTGGCAGGCATTGGAATGAGTACTATTGTGAGCAGGTATGTGGTTCGGCTCACTTGGCAAGACGAATGAATAGATTCTGAGACATTTATAGGAGCTAGAAGCTCTCAAAACTCGGTACTCTGGACCCTTGTGAAGTTGGAACATCAGTTGGGAATGTATGAGAACTGACTGCCAACAAACTATGACCATTTTGTTCGTCATTAAGCTAACACCTATAGTTAGCTACGAACCATATTGCTATCACTGTTATAGAAGAGAGTCTCAACTTGAAGATGGTGCGAAGTTGAATACATGCTGATACTGCCATCTTACCTCATTCTGCACCTCTTGCCAACAAACACATCCATCCGCGGAGTGTACGACCTTGCAAGATGTTGCAGCTGATGTGAAGATTTCGGTAGCTTTCTACTGACGAACTGGAAACAGCTCGACCGTTGCTTTCTTCAAATTTCCCAGAAAGCAACATTGTCTTCTCTCTTCTGCAACGGACTGGTATGACTAGTACATGAGACTCTCAGACAAGGGTAGCCTCAGCTCTAAAATGAACCGAGATTTGAGATGCCAGACAAACGACCCCAGAGAACGAACATTCGTCGAGCATATGAGAATCGGTACCAATGAGACAACTATCCAACTCACCTTAATTGCTGCTTTGGAAGCGACGATACCCGATAACGGCACTCGGCGTTCGATCACCTTCACATTATAGGTGCAGCTAAAAAAGAGTTTGGCGCCCTTTTTGCATTTAAGAAGCTATTGCATCTTCTTCCATCGCTGAAAGCACTCCAATTACCATTCGTGGGCTTGAATGTAGTAAACCAGACGCCACCCAGACTTCAATGCTGCGCCATGTATACCAAGGCGGGACGTTCAATTTCCATTACCACCTGGAGAGGTCCATACCAGGAATACGTCACTACCAAACTCTACAGGACTCCAGATCTAGCAGCAGCATTCCACTCTGGATTTTCGGTAGACGAACAAATGTGCTGCATCCCAACCATCGGGTATCTTGCACATGCTCCGCATCCAATACTCTTTACTGCGGCTAGATACTTTGAAATAGAGGGAGAAATGTGATGCTTGAAGGTTCTAGGGGCGGAATTTGTGAAGGAAGTTGAAGTAAATAAGTGGAAGGGCATGTCTCCTTCTCTCGGAGTGTGTCCGCATAAGCCGAACGAGGTCACCTACAAAAACCATTGGTGGTATATTGTGAAAAAAAGGTGATTTTTTTTGAAATATAGAAGATTATTGCAAGCTACAATTTGGTAATTGGATTCATGGGATTGATCTTTGTCAACATCAGTTTTGGTTGCGTGCCGTGTGAAAGTAGTCGTCTCGGCTCTCCGCTCGCTTGGCCGCTGCCGCATTTGCTATGCATGCAAGTGAACACGCATCTCCCAACCACCCCACTCCGCTCCATGCATACGCATGCATAAGATATCACACAAGGCCACGACTTTCCTCTCTCTACCTGGTACCTCACTTCGCAAATGCATTCCATCATTCCATCTTTCCGCCTCCTCCTTCTACCTTCGCTCCTAATATCCACAGCCATGGCAACCCAGAGTGCGTCTGACTCATCGCCTGTAACACGTATCGCAACGTTTCGATTCCGCGACGAAGTAACGCCGGCGCAGAAGGGCGACCGCACTGCAGCTTTTCTGGCGCTTTATGCTGAGTATCCTGAGTTGCTGGTCGAAGGACCGAAGGGAGGCAGGCCGTTGAATACGCCACTCAATTTGACCAATGTGAAGAGGGAGAGTGTCTGGGATACAGGGTTTGTGGTTGTTTTCAAGGTAAGTCAATTTTACTTTGTTTCGTGTGTGGTGTATTGGATTGAAGAGGGAAAGAGTCGGCGAACATGGATGGTTGTGGGAAAATAGAGAAGACTGATGAGTTGTAGGACGAGGCTGCGAGGCAAAAGTTTGATCTCGATCCTGGGCATGATAGGTTGAAGGTAAGTCTTCTTGACCTACACGGCTTTTCCCTGTTTGTATTTGTATGTTTCATGAAGCTGATCAATAATGTAGGAGGAAACAGATCCGTTGCTAGAGCAGGTATTTGTGTATGATTTTGTTGCACAGCCAAACTTGGGTTGGTGAGGGTTTCATCGTCAGTCGGTCATGTTAATATTTAAAGGAATAATTGATTGAATAATGGCAATACAGAAACATGGAGTTTGGACGCGTTATGCCTGACTAAGTTGTGGATGATCCGAATCGCTGTATGCAGATGATTCTCCTTGTCATGCCTCTTTCTTCCAGTGCGTAGTGATATTGTGGAAGAAGAGACCCATCCATATTTGGAATCATCTGTACATATTTCCTAAACTTGGTCAGCAGATATGATGACCGTATCTGTGATCTACGTACCAAGTCGAACAAAGAGAGTGTAAGTCATATCAGGTCGTGGAATATTCATCACACTGAGACATACAGCTTCTCCCCAGCCATTACCCTGACCGCCATTGACATTCTCATTCGGTGTCAATTCAATTGCTGGACGCCTAGGACTATCGGATCGGGGAGCTGTTGCACGCAACTCCACATGAGCACCAACGTAACCATACACTTGGACTTGGACTGTAGGATCTCCACCAACAATTCCCGCCCTCCATCGCCACCTATGGTTTCGAACGTTGCCTCCGTTGGTCCAAGGAATATCTTCAACATTGCGATAGACGTTCAGGTTAGGGGTGATGTTGATGTAGACTGGTGGAAGCCCAGCCTCGAGAGTGCGTCCGCGGAAAAGGCCGGAAAAGCATGTAAATCCTGATTGACGTGACTCTAGATCCTTGATAGGCATAGGAGACGCATCCTCAATTGGTACACATTGGGCGAGGAGTGCTAGGCTGGAAAGCAAGACCAGAATATGATGAAGAAAATGCATAATGACTTTAACAGCGAGCCGAAACGATGGATAGTGATTCTGCTGAGATTCTTATAGCAAAAATGATAGATCAGGGTTGTTAAGTACTTATATGCTGAACCTGGTAAATTTTTATAGAGCAGTGGACAATAAATGAGGCTGATCATAAGCACCTGGGTGAGCATCGAAGCTGTATCGTGCCTTCTTCGGCACTTATTCGTGTTCAGTTAGTTTCCATAACTCGATCTGATAGACAGAAGCTCTAAAATGCGCATCAATGCATACTGGACGCACTCAAATTATCTATAGATCATGACTAAAAGTAGTATGATCATATCTAGAGTGGGTTTTTGTTGCTAAAAGACTTTCAGGAACTTTCTTGGAGTTCAATATAAGTGGCATCATCGTTAGTAAAATTGTTATAGTAGTACTTACGAAGTTCAGTTCTTGTGTAGTTTAGACCCACAATAAACGCCGATTTCCGGGCTTACCTGATGTACACCAAAACTGCCTGTTTAGGAGAATTGTAGACGTAATATGCGAGGAAAATAATTTCAAAACATTCGGTCCGACCTTATAGCCAAACTTTACTTATGGTGTGCTGGTGTTCTCTCCAATGATGGTAGCACCGCCCCAGTATTTCTTCTAGAACTATACAAACATCTCTTTGCCTGCTAAAAGGATGTTTCCGAGGTAATACCATGGTCCGTGATTAGTAAATCATCTGCCAGATGTGCAATAAGATAGGCAATGACGGTGGTGTTGTGACAAAAGCACCCAATTACGTTTTGCACTATAATGTCTTCCTGCTCAGAATCTAAGACCTCCTCTATTTATTGGGAGTATCATTGCACAAGTGTGTGCAATATTACAAGCTGTGATAGACAATTAAACTGAATAAACTCTTCATACGAACCCATTCAATGTTATACGCGATCGTAGGACTGGTAAGGTTGGGATTACCCAAAAGCGATCTCATTGCAGCATCGGAAATACATCATGACTTAGTCTTCACTTTCTTGGCCGGTGCAATCATTATACGAGCGGTTGATTCAGCATGCTGTACTATAATCTTACTGCCGCTTACGCTGTCTGCCGAAATCTATGGACTTTGAGAAACACACCGGTGTTGTTTTGACCAACAGAGCGTCTGTGGCCTCGAGTCCGCCGAAATAGGGTAATGTTTTAGAGGAGCTTTATGAAGGATATCGGCATATATTGACGTCTGTTATGTAATTGATCGATCAAAGTCAACCATATAAAGCTGGCTCACGATCCCCAGTCGAAATCTTCATCAACTTACCACCACCACCTCTCTCACTACTAACATCTTTGCTCGCTTCGGCACGCTTTCACAAAACTCAATCACCATGCACTTCGCCACCACCCTTTTCGCAGCTGTCTTAGCCCTCCTGCCGTCCGTGCAGGCCGAGATTCCTCCCGGCAACTGGATGCAGCTTGACTGCTATGTGGGATACGTATACAAGGATGGCCAGATGCTTGATACGAACCATAATCTCCACTACGACTGGCAACTTACTGCACAAGCCTGTAACAACAATTACGCTTCCTCTGTGGTGTGTACTAGCGTGACCTAACTTGTTTTTGAAGTACGCAACAGTGCTAATGAGATGCAGGCGAAATACAGCATTGGACGCGGCAGAGTAAGATCCTTCTCCATTTTCTTTTCGAAATGAACGTAGCTAACATGTTTAAAGTGCATCGCCTATACTAGTGATGGGTTGAATGGTGCTGATTGGTGGGAGAACTGCAAGAAGCAAGCTCAGAATGGTTGGTATGATGTCGATAGGATCACTGGAGATGTTGTCATCAACGGTTCTCCTTACAAGGCCTATGATGCCGAAGGTCGGGGCTATTAGGGATTTGGTGCAGGTGATGTGAATACAGAGAATCGGGACGAGCTGGTCAGTGTGGCGGTATTAGTATTGATTAGGAGGATTTTTATTCTTCGAGTCTTGTGTCTTTTTGTCTTTGATTTACCTGTCGAGGATTTGCTTTTGCTTGTGAAATGGTGTCATTCTCTGACCTTTCCAAGTTTGCAGTATGTCACCGTTTTTGCTTGCATACCAACATGAATTGTGTTTATGAGAGCGACAGTTTGGCCTCATCAAGACTGCCAGCAGGATGGCTCTTTCCTTCAACCAACTCACTCAAACGTTGAACTTGTTATGGTACTCACCCAAAGGAGTATAGTGTCTTATTACCTACCTGGTATCAGTAGTTGCCTCGAGACTGAACCACCGAACCAACTTCACGTAACACTTCTATTCCAACTTTACTCGTCCAGATTTTGCATAGCAACGATCCCCACCCTGGTTCATCCAGTTCACGAACTTCGGGTGGCGAAATGAATGCTTTCACTGCCAAGGACTCACCTGTTTGCTCTATGCTTATGTAAGACAAACGCATTTGAGCTCTGTTATTTTGATTCCCAAGAGGATAAATATCACTTCTCGGCTACTCAGGCCACTTCTCGTTACCTGTCTTCTGACTTACCTCATACCTATCACTCACAATGTCTGCACCAGACGACACGAACCTCAAAGCCCTACTTCTTCTTTCTAAGGAGAGCCTTCTGGCACGTGCTCGCGAAAGCCTTCTGAGAAGTTTGCCCAATAACAAACTAGCTAAGTTAGTCGCGCAAATAATCAGCCGAGATAAGCCGCGAGGTGATCTAGAAGAGATCGCACGCATGATGCTAGATGTCCTTGCAAGGCGTGATGCCCAGAATGATGCCCTTCACGGTCTCGCTACGAAAAATGACACAGCAGTCACAACAGGTGATAAGGAGATCGAGGCCAACTATACGTCAGGTAAACGAAGGGCTTGCACTGAAGGGTAGAACACTTACTAACAGAGAACAAAAAGAAGGTACACAGACGGCTGACAAAACTGGCCTTGTCTCGAAGGTATCCAAAGAGACGACAAAAGATAAAAGTCCTCTGCCGACGCGAAAGCGACCCGCTAGCGAGCGATCCCCGTCCACCATCGAAGAGACTGCAAATACAAAGCGTGCAAAAAATGAAGATGGTACGTGATCTAGGCTCGGATATCCCACCATCACAGCTAACAACCTCTTGGTGGCAACAGAAAGTACGGCGCCTTCACTCCGCACTTGGAACCACGAACAGATAGCCGGAAAGCCGGTACAAGTCACGGCAGTTTTGTACTGGAATCCCGTCAAGGAGTGCTACTCCAAGCTAGCTCTTGATAAAGCCGGGAATCCTTTAGCCAACCTCCTCACCTACGAGTTCGATACTGAATATCTCTCTGAATCAGACCACATCGACACGTGGAAAGATATGTTAACGAATCCATAACACTACCTCGACAAGCCAGGGTGCGTCGGCCAGGCTCTTAATGAGGAAGAAGAATTTTTCCTGGATGAGAATGCCATGATCAGTAACACGACAGCGTGTGGAAACTGCATCCATCATGAGCAGATCTGTGCCCGCCTGGTCAATTTCCGGGGATCGATCAAGCTTGTCTTCTTTCCCTTACCACCCCGATTACGGTGCGTTGATGAACTACAGGAACCGCGCCTCTGGATACTGTCGGCAAGGTACGATTAGCATGATCAATTCAAGGCTGATTCAGTCACTGGTCGGAAACAGGATTAGCGATGCTGGTGTAATCGCTCGACAACCCTGATCCTAGTATCCGATCCACACCACCGCCGTCGTACATGGGGCCCGTTGAATGCGACAGAGCAGTGATCGATATTCATGTACAATAATGAGGAAAGTGAATGCCATGAGGGGCCATATGTACTAATAGTCAGAATGCTAATACATAATACAAATCTCAATGCCACTTGGTAATAATATTTGTATGATGCACACGAGAAAAGCTGTATATTTTTGTCATCTTCTCTATCTTCTCTTAGCTCTAGCTCTGATCACTACTTAGCGCAGCATATGCATTGGTGATCTCTTGTTTAGATTGTTGTCTCTGTTCAGCCTTCCTCTTTTTTCTATCCGCTTCTCTCAATTGGCGCTTCTTCTTCTTGTTCGAAACGTTCTCAGTGGGTACCTCAACGCCAGCAGAGACATAGATCTCTTCAACCAAACCCCGCAACTCGTCGTGGTTTGCTAATACGCGCTTTGTCTGTCCAGGTACTCCAAATCCTTCAGGAATCGACGGAAGAGTACGCATACGTTCATCCAAGCTTAGTAGGGAATCACGTAACCTTTGATCTGCCTTTGGTTTGACTACAAGCCATACTCTCACGATTTGACTGAACATGCGCAGTGAGTATAATGCAGACTGTAGGCGAGCCATCAACTGTACGAAAGACCAGGTATTGTCAAAGTCGCCGTTGATCACCCGAAGTACCAGAGGAATTGCAGGGGCGCTGTTCAACTCAACGAGTACCAGGCTGAGCGCAAAAAGTGGCCAAAATAGCATGGGTTGAAGCTTTCTAAAAGTAGCCCAGTCCATCAGGGTGCGAGTCTGTCGCTCGAGGTCCGTGATTGGTGTTGGCAGATCTTTTAGAGAATATGTAACAACTTCTTGTACAGTGACGACCTGCGCTTTTCGCCTATATTCGTGGACAACCATTCTTTCCGATGCAAGTAACGAGTAAGCCATTGCGCGGACATCGTAGCCTATATTCCATGCAGATGCTTGGCTTGGGTCTTCCATCAGTAGAGGCATGTAAACAAATGGGCTATCAGAATGTTCCAGAGCTTGGTGCACGAACTCTGACACCCGAACGTCCAGATCAGGCAGACTGGAAAAGGTGCGTTTTGAGTCGGATTTGTATAGCGGGGGAACAACTTCGGCGATATACCTTTTGGTAAAGTTTAGGTATGGTATAGAGTCTTTATCCACGCTCTTGGCATTGCGGACCAGATCATTGGCGGTATCCTGAGGGCCTTGCAGAAGAGCAAAGGCAAACGGTAACAGGCTTTTCAACTGCAGCTTTTTTTGTATCTCATCGGGCCAGTATGCTTTGATGCCAGTAGATACGTCAGCATCATGTAGAAATACTATCAGCGTGTCTATGCAATAATCGTAAAGGATGAGATCTGTATCGCTGGTGAAGATGATGGATTTGGCATTCTCTTTAGCATGTAATGCACACCAGTCGTCTGCTTCTCCAGGTACGATGTGCGTCCTCGAGGCAAAGGGTGAATTTTGTAACGCTTCTTGCAACGCTGGAGCAAGGAAGGCATAAGATATCGAACCTAGGTACGTGGGTACTGGGCATGCAGTCGTTGAATAATTTGCACGGAGCTGCTGCACACGCCTATTGTTTTGTTCGGTCCTTGACAGCCTCTCAGTCCGCTTTGATGGAGGCAGCGCTCCGTCGAAGAAGATGGCGACCCTGGCGAAGCGCAATCAGCGATGGAAGTCGTGGGTCAATCATTGGCATAAGTTCCAGCACAAAAGATGTGGAGATCCGTTGCACCCGAGGGTACACCGCTGGCCTGGCGGACATTTGACAATGCAAATGTTGGAATGCCGACCAAACCCCTGTGCGAAGAGCGGTGAATGAGGCGACATTTGTGCACACCTTATTGGTTTTGCAGCGAAGTTCCATGGGGTGGAACGTCGATTTTGGTGTGCACATCGGCAAGGCGACGAAAAGCAACGACGGTTCACTCACACCTTGATGTTGTTGGCTTCCAGAGCAGTTAACCAGCAAAGAGCCTGGGAGACGATGTCTGAATAAGAGGGCATTCGCGAGGCGCTAACCGAAGTTGCGAGAGCCAGTTTGTGAGCATGATAGGCGAGTGCGGGCCCATCGACCACGGCCGAATAGCCGTCGAGCTGGTCGGAGGAAAAGCGCGTGGCGTATGGCTCCAGACGTCTAGCGAGTCCCTGAATGCCCATGTTGTCTGGGGCAACTAGGCGGCTGTGCAGAACCCGGTTTCGACAGGGTGGAGTATCGGGTGATGCAGGTGGGTGTTGAGGGCTCTGCAATCAGACTTTTTTTTTCTGGCCTCAGTCCGGGAGGCAAAGGAGCTTGTCGAGGCACACAAGAGGCGTCCCGACCTTGAATGCAGCTCTAGCGCGTGCGGGCAGCGGCTGTTGGGAATGGACAAGAGAAAATCTGGTGAAGATAGTCGAGCGTGGCGTTGTCTTTCTCTAGGATGAGCTAGCTCCGGCGTCATCCCGCGAGGTGGGGGGAAGCAGGAGCTGCCCCTCTCCCCAGCCTAAAAGTTGCCCGCTGCTGCCACGCCCCAACATTACTCTCAATTGCTTTGATCTTTCTTTGCATTGTTTCAAGCAAACACTCACACGTCCATCATGAGCATCCGAACTGTCGAATTGAAGCCTTTCCAGGACCAGAAGCCCGGAACGTAAGTTGCAACTCCAAGCTTAGCTCACTCCATAGAGAAAGCTCCGTAGTACATGACAAGCAGCTAACCACGACACTATAGTTCTGGTCTCCGCAAGAAGGTCAAGGTCTTCCAGCAGGAACACTACTCGGAGGCCTTTGTTACCAGTATTCTCCTGTCCATTCCCGAAGGCGTCGAGGGCTCGTTCCTCGTTGTTGGTGGTGATGGCCGTTACTGGAACCCTGAGGTCACTCAGGCCATTGCTAAGATTGGTGCTGCCTATGGCGTCAAGAAGCTCTTGATCGGCCAGAATGGAATCATGAGCACACCCGCTGCCAGTCATCTCATCCGAATTCGCAAGGCGACAGGTGGTATCCTGCTGACTGCCAGCCACAACCCCGGTGGTAAGTGACTGCCCCTCCCGTCTCATGTAGTTTCGCTTCAGAACCTAACACCTCTCAGGCCCCGAGGAGGACTTTGGCATCAAGTACAACTTGGCCAACGGTGCTCCCGCTCCCGAGAGCGTCACCAACAAGATCTACGAAACCTCCAAGACACTCACCTCATACAAGATCGCCGACATTCCTGATATCGACCTCAGCACCATCGGCACACAAAAGTATGGAGAGCTCGAGGTTGAGATTGTCCACTCCACTGAGGACTACCTCAAGATGCTCAAGGACATCTTCGACTTCGATCTCATCAAGTCTTTCCTCAAGCAGCACCCTGACTTCAAGGTTCTCTTTGATGGTCTGAGCGGTGTTACTGGCTCTTACGGAGTCGACATCTTCGAGAAGGAGCTCGGTATCCCCAACAGCACACAGAACTGCGTCCCCAAGCCAGACTTTGGTGGTCACCACCCCGACCCTAACCTCGTCTACGCCAAGTCGCTGGTCGATGCCGTTGACAAGAATGGAATTCACTTTGGTGCTGCCAGTGACGGTGACGGTGACCGAAACATGATCTACGGCGCCAAGTCATTTGTCTCCCCTGGTGATAGTCTGGCTATCATTGCCCACCACGCAGAGCTCATTCCATACTTCAAGAAGCAGGGTATCTACGGTCTTGCCCGTAGCATGCCCACATCTGGTGCGATTGACCTTGTCGCTAAGGCCAAGGGCGTTGAGTGCTACGAGGTGCCCACTGGCTGGAAGTTCTTCTGCGGTCTTTTTGATTCCAACAAGATGAATATCTGCGGTGAGGAGAGTTTCGGAACCGGTAGCAACCACATCCGTGAGAAGGACGGTCTGTGGGCTGTTGTCGCTTGGTTGAACATCCTGGCTGGCGTTGGACAGAAGAGTGGTACCACACCCAGCATTGCTTCAGTCCAGAAGGACTTCTGGAAGACTTACGGACGTACCTTCTTCACCCGATACGACTACGAAGGCTGCGAGACCGAGGGTGCCAACAAGGTCACGAGCCACATGAAGGAGCTCATCACCACCAAGAAGGACGAGTTTGTTGGTTCAACCATCGCTGGCCGCAAGGTCACCGAGGCAGACGACTTCTCGTACACAGACCTTGACGGTAGCGTCAGCAAGAACCAGGGTATCTACGTCAAGTTCGATGACGGCAGCCGCATTGTCGTGCGTCTGTCCGGTACAGGAAGCAGCGGCGCCACCATCCGTCTGTACATCGAGAAGCACACTAGCGACGAGTCTACATACGACATGGATGCCCAAGACTTCCTCAAGGACAACGTCAAGCTTGCGACTGATCTCCTGAAGCTCCAGGAGTACATTGGCCGTACCGAGCCCGATGTTAAGACATAAGCGTGTTGCTGGAATAGATGTGTGTGTAGAGTAATGAGCATGATGAGACGAGTAGGCCACGATCGCACGACTTTAGCATGATAGCAAATTGTAAAAGTAACAACGTAGTGTTTGAATCTTGCCAAGATTGCTGTGACTGATGCTTATTGACGAGGGTGTCGAGGTGCACCGTGTGACCAGTCAAATTTGCATTATTGATACTTCTGAGTAACAAGAGCCCTACGACCTGGTGGCAATACTCCTATCTAGGAGCGTGGCGGGTGAGATCATCATGGCGGACTTGATGTTGCGCGTCCCGCTAATTAGCCTGGAGACGTCATCCGAAACTAAACGCGCCGTCTCCATAACACAAGCACTGGGCCTTCCCACCGCTAACTTGTCGCATCCCCCGCTTTTCACGCATCTCTACCCACGCGCGCTACCCCGTAAAAGGCTTCCTCACCCCCAACACCCTACAAGGACACCAAAACACGCCAAATCACCCTCAAGTCGCAATCATGGCCGAGAAAGAAGGCGCCGCTGTGCCCCCTCAGGCAAAGAGCTCGTGGTCAAGCTTCCTCAAGGTACGGCACGAGACCATAGCGAGCACGCTCTGATGCTTGGATCGAGAAATCTCCCCAGTCTCTGGTGTGGGAAGGGCAGATGGAACTGCCAAAAAAATATCTTCTTTGCCTCAGATCCGACTAGCTAACATTTGGCAATAGTCCATCGCCTCTTTCAATGGCGATCTCTCGACTATGACCGCGCCCGCCTTTATCCTCTCTACGAAATCCCTCACCGAGTTTTCGTCCTACTGGACCGAGCACCCGTCCCTGTTCGTCGCGCCTGCCGCCGAGCAAGACCCTGCTAAACGGGCTATGCTGGTGTTGAAGTGGTTCCTGAGCACATTGAAACAACAGTATGCTAGCCGGTCCGAGAAGTTGGGTAGCGAGAAGAAGCCCCTCAACCCCTTCTTGGGGGAGCTATTCTTGGGTAAATGGGAAGATGAGGCTGGCACCACGCAACTCGTGAGTGAGCAAGTCAGGTACGTATGCATCTCCATTGGCTTGAGATTAGTGGGACGATACCATTGGGTAGGTCCGATATCTGTCAGTGGGCTTACTAACGCAATACGTCCAGCCATCACCCACCAGTTACTGCCTATGCCATCTGGAACGACAAACACGGGGTCCGGCTAGAGGGTTACAATGCCCAGAAGGCATCGTTCAAGACCACCATCAATGTCAAGGTGAGTCGGATATCCGTCTTCTTACATCATTCAATATTGATGGACAATAGCAAATTGGCCATGCCATGCTTCATCTGGATGGCTTCAACGAGAGCTATCTCATTACTCTCCCTCCCCTTCACATTGAAGGCCTTATTACCGGCTCGCCATATGTGGAGTTGAACAGCAGCACCTACATCCAATCTTCAACCGGATACACTGCACGCATCGATTACAGCGGAAAGGGCTGGGTATCAGGAAAGAAGAATACTTTCTCTGCAATTCTATATCCCGAGGGAAAGGAAAAGGATGTCATTTACAAGGCAGAGGGACAATGGAACGACACATTCCAGATCAAAGATGCAAAGACCAAGACTGTCGTTGACACATTTGACCACAAGACCACCAAGACGACACCCCTGACTGTCGCCGAAATTGAGGACCAGGATGACTTTGAGACCCGAAGGGCATGGAAGAAGGTTTCAGATGCTATCAACTCGGGCAACATGGAATTGACTTCGGCTGAAAAGACCATTATCGAGACTCGCCAGAGAGAGATGAGACAGCAAGAGAAGGATGAAGGTCGCGAGTGGGAGCGCAAGTTCTTCACTCGTGCAACGGAATACCCACTGTTTGAGCAACTGGCCAAGAAGATTGGCGAGAGCGTCAATGACAGCCAGACAAACGGCGTGTGGAGCTTTGACAAGCAAAAGGCAGACACGGCCAAGTCACCCTACCACCCGACTGTTGTTCCTCCGATCTACGAGCGAAAGTGAAGTAATGTGTTTTGACACTTTTCTCAAACTCGAACGGTTGCTGTTCCTTATGGATTATGAGAGTTATAATGCTGGAAGAAGGATCAAGGTGAAGGGGAAGGACGATGGTGGTGAGGAAGGAAATTTCGGTGGGGTTTGTGCACAGTGTAAACCACGTATATGGGACAATGGGCAATGCAGATGCATATTAATGAAGGGTTATTGTCGACTAGGTATAAAATACTAAAGAAGTCCAACAAAGCTTTGGAGGTAGTCACATACAACATCAGGTTAGCACAGTGGTGATATAATTGCTTTTTTAACTTGATTTTTTACATGTACTAGTACAGTGGGTTTGAGGCACCAGGCTGTTAAGCATCTTTGGTCGCAGTCCGCTTGTTATTCCCATGTCGCTGCCAACACTGTCGGAATATCTCCATCTAGATAGGTTGTGTTAGCTGCATTCTGGTGTGGTGACTGTTCGGCTCCGTCTCGGCTTCCGGGCTAAGAGTAGCACTCGACCTACCTCTTGCTTGCACCCTCGCCAGTCCTTCTTGTCATAGTAGCAGTCGGTCAATTTGGCGTTCTCATCTGCAAAGAAGTCAATTGAGCTTTCTTTCCTATCCCACTCCGCTCAGTATACCTGCACAGCCTGTGCTGAAAATACGCTTGTCCCTGCCATCGCCATTAGCTTTGCTACTCGCAGCCACCGAAATCGCCACCCACCAGTCATCGGGTTCGTCGTCAATCATCAACTGCGCAGCAGCAGCACGTGCCTTGTCATCGTTTGACATCTTGAAGAGCTTGGGATTCGGAATTGGTGGTGTTGAGGTCGAGTGACTCGCGCCGACGTACGTACCCTGAAGGCGCACGGACAAACTCGGTCCGCACTGGTGAACGTCACCATACTGTATCAAGCAACATGGCGTCCAAGAAGATGAATGTCCTGGTCTACTCGGGTATGCTGATTTGGACAAGATATGGAAAAGAAACTGATGCATCGTAGGCCATGGTAGTACCACTGAGTCTGTTCGTAATTGTATATACACTTTACGGCGATTATTGTCTCCTTCGTATGCCGTCATACCTGTCACGGGAGACGTGATCATCAAAGAGCCATGGTTCAGCACTTGCGCACTTCTTGTGTTCCCAGGAGGTGCAGATATGGCATACTGCCGTACGCTCAATGGCGAGGGAAATCGCCGCATCAGTCGCTATGTGAATGGAGGTGGTTCATACCTCGGCTTCTGCGCAGGCGGGTACTATGGAAGCGCGAAATGCGAATTTGAACTCGACGACCCCAATATGGCTGTAGAAGGGGATCGCGAGCTCGCTTTCTTCCCTGGCACATGTCGTGGACTGGCGTTTGCAGGGTTCAAGTATGCTAGTGAGGCTGGTGCTAAGGCGGCCGACATCAAGATCCATAAGGAAGCTTTTGATAGCGCAACCGAAGGTGTTGCGGATACTTTCAAGAGTTATTATAATGGCGGAGGTGTGTTTGTTGATGCGAAAAAGCTGGAGAGCCGGGGTGTACAGGTTCTTGCCAGCTACACTGAGGACTTGCATGTCGATTCTGGGGACAGCAAGGCTGCGGTTGTGTATCGGAAAGTTGGTGACGGTCATGCTATCGTTACTGGTCCGCATCCTGAGTATGTTTACTGTTGTTCGTACAGTACTTGTTGTCTAACTCTGTACAGATTCGCACCACAAAACCTCAGCGTCGTACCAAGCTTGCCAAACTACAAAGAACTGATTGACGACATCGCTGCCACAGATGCCACGAGAGTTGATTTCATGCGCTTGGTCCTCGAGAAACTTGGCCTGCGTGCTAATGAGAAGGAACAAGCGGTACCGTCCCTCTCCCGCCTGCATCTCACTGCTCATAACCTAGCAGACGTTTCGGCACTCGTTGCCAGCTGGGCTGAAATCATCACTGTAGTCGATGGCGATGATTACATCAAGGGAGGCAATGATGTATTCCACATAGAGAAGGAAGGAACTGCTTGGAGCGTGAGAGAACTGAAGAGAGCGGTGAGTGCAGTATCGGAGAAACTACCTATACTGGCTGCTGTGACGGACGGCAGAAAGGAGCATGCAGATAAGGGTTTCGGAGGGGAAAGCAAGAAGAACAAGCCCAAGACGGATGAGGAAGAGATTCAAGATTGCATTGAATACACTGCAAGTACCGATCCGGATCAGATTGTCGAGTATGAGAAGATCGTCAAGGTCGTGATTCCGCATGAGAAGGCGCTTCCATCGACAAAGGATACACCATTTCATCACGAAGCATACTATGCTAATCTTCATCATTACCATAATAAGCTGCGCAACCCAGCTGCGTCGTTTGGAAAGCATCTCATCTACGGTGAGGTTGTCACTTCTACAAACACCCTTCTCGAAAAGAATCCGTCACTACTCCGGAGTCTTCCCAACGGCTTCACCATGACTGCGACAACACAAATTGCCGGGCGTGGTCGAGGAAGCAACGTATGGGTTGCACCCAGAGGAGCCCTGATGTTCTCCACCGTCCTACACCACTCCTTCTCACTCAGCCAAAGCGCCCCAGTCATCTTCATCCAGTATCTCGCCGCACTCGCCATTGTGCAAGGCATCAAGGGCTACGCACCCGGATACGAAAAGATGCCCGTAAAGCTCAAATGGCCCAATGACATCTACGCCCAGCTCCCCGGCTCCGCCAACAACCCCGTCGTCAAGATCGGCGGCATCCTAGTAAACAGCAGCTACTCAGGCTCCTCATACGACGTCGTAACAGGTATCGGACTGAACCTCTCCAACGCACTGCCCACCACATCCCTCAACATGCTCGCATCGAGCCTCTCCCCGCCACTGAAACCCCTGACGCACGAAAAGCTCCTTGCATCCATCCTCGCGCACTTTGAGACGCTGTACGCGTCCTTTTGCCACTCTGGGTTTAATCGCGAGATGGAAGGGGAGTACTATGATTGCTGGTTGCATACAAATCAGATTGTTACGTTGGAGAGTGAGGGTGGGGTTAAGGCGAGGATTAAGGGGATTACGCGGGATTGGGGATTGTTGCTTGCGGAGGAGCTGGGTTATGAGGAGAGGCCCACGGGCAAGGTGGTTACATTGCAGAGTGATAGTAATAGTTTTGATTTCTTTAGGGGGTTGGTTAGGCGGAAGGTGTAGGTGGACTTGGCTTGTTCGGTCTATGGTGGGCGTTCATGTAGAGAAAAGAGGTACTCGGGATGTTTGCATGTTGGTGATGAATCTGGGTAAAGTAAAAGTTGTTGTCATTTCTGATATTCACGTAACAATACTTGGAATGAAAAATAGAACGATATCACGGAACAACTTCTTCGAATTCAACCAGGAACATAACGCGATGCTGTACCACCACCATCGCGAGAGCCGTAATCCCACTAGCCCCGCTTGGCAGACAAGGATGCTGCACCCCTGCCACTTTGAAAGTCGGGAATTTCCCCAACACCATGATGGCGCAACATCCAGCCCACCTCCAAAGGTCCCAATTGCGGTCCCCCCTTCCCACCAACAACCACCCAAAATGAATCTCTCCGCTTTCCGACCAGTCTTCCGATCTTCGACCGCGCCATCGATACAGCGACCATCTTGCAATTGGCAATCCCTCACACGCCCGCATCTCCAGCAAAAGAAACCAAGCACATACTCGTCCCCATTCTCGTCTACATCCCGGTTGCAAAAGCGCTCGAAAAAGGGTGGAGGCAATGATCCGCGGATAAGTACGATTTCCCCCACTCTTCCTCCCCTCACCATCCATCCCCCAAAACTTTCTTTCCTCCAAAAAAAACAAAAAACGAAGCACAATATATATTTCAGATTTACTAACGTAAAAAATAAATAGCAAACATCCGCTACCACCTCTCCCACCCTCTAACTCCGCGACCCCTTCACTTCTCCCGCAACCGCTCCCTACGCCACTGGACCATCCACCGCGCCTGGCTTCTCTTCCTGCGCAAGCGCCGCGCCGCCGAAGAACGCGAGTTGGAGCGCCAATACAACAGCATGCGCGCCGCGTGCGAGCATTTACGTCTACTCGACGATAAAGGCAATAGAGTGAGTGAGGAGGAGGCCGGGGGCCAGGGACCCGATGCGGGGAGGTTGGGGGTTAAGGGGAGGGAGGTGGGCAGGTTGTATCGGAGTGCGATGCTTAAGAGGGGGGTCTGGGGGAGTGTACCGGTTGAGTACGCGAGGGTTCAGACGGATTTTCCGTCTAGGGAGGGGTGGAATAGTGCTTGGACGAGGAATTAAAGAACTCCCCTCGGTTGGGATATATGAGTGTGTGTGTGTGTGTGTGGGGAGGGAGGAGGGGATTAGTATGTGTATTATATGAGGAAAAGATATGGCTTTTTCTGTCTGATGAATAAACAAAACTAGCTACTACAACTACTTATCCTTCTTTTCTCTTTCTCTTGTTCCCATGTCTAACATGCTCTCTTTCATTAGAACTTTCAATCTCAGAAGGAGGGGAAGGGGAGGGTGCGGTTTCTTTTTTTTGATCTTCTCTTTGTCTCTTTGCACAACGTACATATATATATATATATAAAATATAAAAAAATGTATAATCGGGTAGCTCACACACAGACAAGACACACGTACACACATACGCACACATGACTCTAATACTCCCTACCAAAAAAATAAACAAAGAGAAAAAACACCAATCAAGCCTTGTCGTACATTAGAGGTAGAAGTAAAGAAACCTTCATGCCTTCTCTTTCTGTCTTAATCTCTCATTCTCTCGCAATCTCTTTTACCAAACACAACCAACAAAAATCAAGAGAGTCCAACAAGCAATACAAGCAGAAAACTCGCTCAGAACGGGAAACATGGAACTTGGAATAGAAAAAAAAGCACCAGGCAAGAAACCAAGAAAAAAAACAAGATTGGGGGAGAGGATTTAAAACGGGTGTCAAAAAGCCAAGAAAATGGATGATATGGAAAAAATAGGAATTATGGCGATTGAACCTGTCCATAGAACGGGACATGTACTCCATGTAAAAAAAAAGCTTTTACTCCGCCCAATGCATTTTATGTCAATTGTGAGACAAAGAAGAAGAGAAAATCTTGGTTAAACGTGTTCAGCGAGCGAGTGTACGCTCGACTGCTTTTTTTCCTTTTTTGTGATTATAAAACGACGCATCCGCATCCTGGGTTTTCCTTCTTGTCGACAGAAAGAAGAGCGGCACGGGTAGCGGCTTCAAAGACGTCGTCGACGCCGTCGCCGGTTAGAGAGCTGCACTCGAGGTATTTGCGGGCGCCAATCATGTCCTTCATGTCACTACCCTGCTTGGTGGTTGTGAAGCGTAGCGACTTTTTGCGCATCTCTTCCTGGGCCAAGGGGTCATCGCGGAGATCCTTTTTCAGGCCGACGAGGATAATGGGAACCGTAGGACAGCGTTCACGGGCCTCTTCGGCCCACTTGTGCTTGACATTGTCGAGGGAGTCGGGCGAGTCGACCGAGAAGCCAATGAGGATAACGTGTGCTTTGCTGTATGCAAGAGGGCGCAGACGCTCGTAATCTTCTTGGCCAGCGGTATCCCACAGGGCCAGCTGAACGGACTTGCCGTCTACTCTGCAGTCGGTGACGTAGTTTTCAAAAACTGTTGGGACATACCGCTACGAGACGGCGTTAGCATGCTAAGTTGAAGAGGAAGGTGTTGTTGCCGGTGGCAACGAGTACGAGGACATACGGTTGGAAAGTAACCCAAGGTGAAGACGCTCAGGAGACTGGTCTTGCCGCAGGCACCGTCGCCAATAATGACTAGCTTCCTAGAGAGAGAGGATCAGCAGGGTGCGCAAGAGGTGCATGGTTTGGGTGCAGTGTCGGAGTGGTGCTAGGGTGTGACGCTGATGCAGGAGGGCCGAAAGCAGCAAGAATTGAGCGCGAGTCGATAAAAAGTGGACATGGGGATGGAGTGACATGGGCTATTTTTAGGCGGGCGAATGCTCGGACCGGGAGCGCCGTATGCAAGGTGTGACGCAAAAGCCGGGGTGCAACAGGCCAAGGTATCGACGCATGTCAAAGTTTGAGCAGCAGTCGGGCGGGTGGTGGTGAGGACGGTGTGAGTGAGACGGGGAAAGGAGGCGACGAAGAGGGGAGGTGCGACGAGAGCGAGCGATGAGAGCAGGACAGATGCGAGGATGGGGGAAGCTGAAGAGTGACAGGGGTGTGTAGAATGAGAATAAGAGAAAAAAAAGTTGAATTGTACGCACCTGCGCATGACGGGCTCGCCGTTTTGCTGTTGTTGGGCCATGGCGGGTGTGGAGTGGAGGGGAGTGAGGCCGCGCGGAGGGTCGAGAGTGGAGGATGAGGGAGACGGGTGAGCAGAGGGCTCGGATACAATCAAGTAGCCGTGGTTGAGCGAGGGAGAAGTAGCGACGGTGGATGCAGCGACGTGTGTATCGCTATCGCGCGTGTGTCAACAAGCAGCGGCGCGGGCTGGGCGGACGGGCGTGGGCGTGGGCGTGGGCGTGGGCGTTGGCGTTGGGGGAGTGAGAGCGCGACGGGCAGCGAATGGACGGGCGGGCGGGCGTGGTGACGAGCCAATGAGCGGGGGGCGATGCAGCGAGTGAGGGAGTGAGGATGGTGGGAGGTGTAGTCCTCGTCGGCGGCGGAGGAGGAGGAGGAGGTGGAAGTGGAGGTAGACGAGTGGTGGTGGTGGTGGTGATGGGAATGGCGGTGTTGATGTTGTTGGTGTTGGTGTTTGTGGTAGCGGGTAGTGTCAGTCTCGTGCGACAGCGACGGCGGCAGGGGAGCTAGCGACGGCCGGGTGAGGAATGGTTCCGTGGGCGGCGGATGAGGCACACAGCACAGAGGGACGGGCGGGACCCTTTAATAATGGGCGTTGACGATCACGGCGGAGGCACGCACGAGCGCGGGCTAGGTGAGGCGGCGGCGGGGCGTGTATCGGTCGTGTCTGTGTGTGCGTGTACGGGTATGGGTGGTGGTGAGAGTCGGTGTGGGTTCAGGTGTGCTGGAGACTCTCTCTGGTACCTATGCTAGCAGCGCTGAGCGTGCAGTGATACGGGGGCGCTGAGGCGCAGTCGATGTGGTTGGTGCACAGCCGCCGCCTGCCTGTGCCTGCCTGCCTGCGCCCGCCCAGCGCCGGTCGCGCCTGCCCTCGCTCTCCTGGCCTTCCGCTGCCGTTGGACACGCACAGGCCGGACGGGCTCAAGGCAAGGCCGCCACAGGCAAGTGCAAGGCTGGCCCGCGCCAAGACATGGCACCTGCCGCCCGCGACACCTCCAACAACTGACGCCCTGCCGCTCTCCGCAAACACCAAGCCCTGCTCACCACCCGACTACGCTGCCCGCGAGCCTCGCTCCCCCCCGCCAGCAACTCCCCCCGCTGTGCTTCTACTCGCCGCCCATAGCACCCGCCCTCTCTGCACGCCGCCCGCCCCCGTCGAGTGCCCGGCCAGCCCCTCCTCCCGCTGCTCCACTCCCACCACCACGAGAGCACTTTTGTACACGCCCCCCGACCCATTCCCGCTCCACCACCTGCACTGCACTGCACTGCACCCCCGCTCCCATCCGGCCCATTGCCCTGCGAGTCCATGGCACAGGGCACCAGAGGTCCGGCTACGGCTACCATGCCGCCCAACGGCACTGCGACTGCGACTCACGATCCCGCCCCAACCCCCGTCAACCGCAAGAAGCAAAAGCGACGCGAGAAGGAGGCGGCTAAGAAGGCTGCACAGGAACCTCACCCGCCTGCCTCTGCACCTGCGCCTGCCCGGAATGGCCTGACCCCCGCCCAGCAGCAGCAGCAACAACCACAACAGCAACAGCAGCAACTTCAACAGCAGCAGCAACAGCAACAGCAACAGCAATATGCCCATCCCGAGCTCGATGAACCCCCGTACGAAGAGGGTGCCTACTACTCCGACGATGACTACGAACACACATACGGCGCCAACGGCGACTACCAGCAGCCCTATGGCCACGCTCCCGTGCGCGGCAGTTCGGGAAAGAAGTCGCGGCGCAAGAAGAAGGCGCCCTCTGCACCCCCGCCGCTGGCCTACTCGCAGCATCTCCCCACGCGCCAGAGCCCCGCCCCAACCTCGCACTCGATGAACCGCTCAGCCTCCAAAAAAGACCGTATATGGAACACGTCCACGGCCGAGGAGCGAGAGCGCATACGCGACTTCTGGCTCTCCCTCGGCGAGGATGAGCGCAAGTCGCTCGTCAAGATTGAAAAAGAGGCCGTCCTGCGCAAGATGAAGGAGCAGCAGAAGCACTCGTGCAGTTGCACCGTCTGCGGCCGCAAGCGCACCGCCATCGAGGAGGAGCTGGAAGTTTTATATGATGCATACTACGAGGAACTCGAGCAGTACGCGCACCACCAGCAAGACGTCGCTAGTTTCATGCCCGAGGCTAATCATCGCTATGCGTCCAGTGCTCCTCATCCGCGCCCCATGCTCAATCCCCCGCAACCGCACGGTCCTTACGACGACGATGACGAGGAAGAGTACGACTCGGGCGAAGAAGACGACGAAGACTCCGAGTACGACAGCGAAATATCCTCCGAAGGCGATTACAGCTCCGGCGAACCGTCGCTGCCGCCCCCAGAGCCCTCCGACTTTCTCCAGTTTGGCAGCAGTTTGCAGGTCAAAGGTATGCATACATATACACCGCCAACCACAACCCCCCAAACCCCCCTGCTGGGAGCATGCTGATTCATCCCTTTAGGTGGCATACTTACAGTCGCTGACGATTTGCTCAAGAACGATGGGAAAAAGTTCATTGAAATGATGGAGCAGCTGGCCGAGCGGAGAATGCAGCGCGAAGAAGAAGCACAATTCTCGGCCCATCCAAACATGCAGCACCGTTCCTACGCTGGCCACAGTCATAGTGCTCCCCCACCAGAAGACGACGAGTACGACGACGAGGGGGAAGACGATGAGGACTACGACGACGACGAGTACGACGAGGATGAGGACGATGAGGAAGTGCGTATTTTTGTGCCGGATTCTCACTACTTGCAACTAATCAGCCCCAGGGGACCATGACGGAGGAGCAGCGCATGGAGGAGGGTCGTCGAATGTTTCAAATATTTGCAGCCCGGATGTTTGAGCAGCGAGTACTTCAAGCATATCGAGAAAAGGTGGCCGCGGAGCGCCAACAGCGATTACTCGAAGAGTTAGCGGAAGAGGACATACGAAAGGATGCGAAAGAAGCAAAAAAGGCAAAAGAGGCCCAGAAGCGAAAGGAGAAGAAGGACAAGCAGAGACAGCAAAAGGCAGAGG